AGATCGCCCAAGGCCTCGGATGCGGATGCGGACTTTCTGCAGTGCTTGGACAAACGGAACTATGCTACAGTAAGTAGAGACAACCTGTAATAGGGCTCTAGCCTCGCATTAATGTAACGTGGGGTTAATTTACTCGATTGTGGGGTAATTGCAGCTGCCGTCATTGCACGGCAGTGACACTCGGCATTCATTCTCGGTAGTAGCGCATGGCACACGACAGCGCATTGCGTCCCGTCTAAGCCAGTATTATTTAATAAGAGCATTTCCCCCGTTTTCCTCGTCTCCAAGATAGTTCAAGTCGACCTCTGATGCAATTGTTGTTTTCACAAGGACTGATCTATCGCGATGAGAATTCCAAGCCTATGCGTGTTCTGGCTGTTCTCGGTCGGACATGCCACGTGCAACCTGACCCGGAAGTGTTCAGATCTCGCGGACAAGCTGTCTCTGCCTAACACAACAGTTTGGTTCACAGAATCCATCCCCGCCGGCGCCAATGTGTCATTCCCAGACAATGATCCGACTTGCGGAAGGCCGTACCAACAAGTCGACGTTGACATTTGCCGAGTGGCAACGCTCACCGAAACATCCTCGAACCCAGCAAGCAACATTAGTCTTGAAGCCTGGCTACCGTCGGACTGGAACGGCAGATTCCTAAGCACAGGAAATGGGGGTCTCAGTGGCTGCATTCAGTACGAAGACATTGCCTATGGTGTTTCTCGAGGATTTGCAACTGTCGGGGCCAACAATGGTCATAACGGCACTTCTGGCCAGCCATTCTACCAGAACCCCGGCGCTTTAGAAAACTTTGTCTACCGTTCGGTGCATCTTGGTGCCGTCTTGGGAAAGCAGATTGCCGAAACGTACTATGCGAGGGCCCATGACAAGTCTTACTACCTTGGGTGCTCTACCGGTGGCAGACAGGGCTTCAAGGCAGCACAAGAATTTCCGACCGACTTCGATGGCATAGTGGCAGGGGCTCCGGCCTTCGCCTTTGCCAATTTGACGTCGTGGAGCGGTAGTTTCTACACGATTTCAGGCCCACCAGGCTCTCCCACGTTCCTCACACAAGCACAGTGGGCCCGGGTCTCCAAGGACTTTCTGGACCAATGCGATGATCTAGACGGCCTTGTGGACGGAATCATTGAGGACCCCAATCTTTGTCATTACCGGCCAGAAGCTCTACTCTGTGGTTCAAAGCCGTCAACGGACTGCCTCTCTGGCGAGCAAGCCGAGACAGTGCGGAAGGTGTTCTCCGATCTTCACGGGAAGGACGGTGCTTTGGTATACCCTCGACTTCAGCCGGGCGGCGATGCTTCTCTTCTCATGTCGGGCTACCCGTTCCCATACACAGGTGACTGGTTTCGTTATGTCGTCTACAGCGACGCAGAATGGGACCCTTCGACCCTAGGCCCTGAAGACTACGCTTTTGCGGCATCTCAAAACCCTTTCAATGTGCAGACATGGGAGGGCGATCTGGCTGGAGTTCGCAATCGTGGAGCCAAGATTCTCCATTACCATGGGCTCCAGGATCCCGTCATAAGCAGCGACAACTCGGAGCGCTACTATAACCACGTTGCAAGGACAATGGGTCTGACAACCACTGAGCTCGACCACTTCTATCGGTACTTCCGGATTTCAGGAATGAGTCACTGTAGCGGCGGCGCAGGTGCATATAAGATTGGCAATGTGATGGGTGCTATGTCCGGATACGACCCTGACGAGAATGTGCTTTCGGCAATCGTGCGTTGGGTGGAAGATGGACTTGCGCCCGACCATGTTAAAGGAACGGGCGAGACTGGTGAGGGTGAGACATTTGCTAGGAATCATTGCAAGTATCCTCTAAGGGGCAGGTATACGGGCAAGGGCGACCCAAAGTCGCCGGACAGTTGGGAATGCGTGTGAATGAGGGGTTTCGCGAGGGATTCTTGAATTCTTGACAAAGCTGAGAAATCTACGCACCGGGCTACATGATCGCGCTAGGGTATTGAGAGTTTGAACACTAACGGCCGTCGCGGTTGTTGTTTCCGCAACGTCACTAGACAAATCTCAAGACGAGAGACCTTACCCCGCAGATACAGCACGTGATTGTCACTTTGTTACATTAGAGCCAGAGCACCACCTTCACGTGGCTGCAGGCAGCCAGGCACCCAGAGCCTCGGCTTGTGGAGTCCCAAACCTGGCCCGGACCGGGGGGGGCTGGGGTTGCGGGGAACCAAGGGACAGTCACGGTCAGGCCGGCGACCTATCAAACGACGCTCATCCATTCCAGTCCTGTTTCGAACAAAGTAGGAACTGCGCAGCAAGAACGGCCAGGACACTCTTCCTACTGGAATGAAGTAGGATATTGCTGATTTCTTTGATCATCAAAGCACCCTGTCAACACCTCGACGTTTCATCGCCAAGGCCCAAGCTACAGCCATGGCCAACGGCAGTCGTTTGCCCTCCTCCTCGACGGCTGGCTTTTTTCAGTCGCTGCCAGTCGTTGAGCCCCAGTACACACTGCCCGAGCTGGTCAAGTCGGGTGCTGAAGATGTTCAGGAGGCATCTGACGACCCCGTCCTCGCCCGCATCCTGATGCAATACCTTCCTCCCAAGGCACAGTCTGAGGTTGGCGCTGCGATCCACCGTCTATCGCGCCGGGTGCTTCACCCATCAACACTTGGCCACGCGGTGGATGCAGAAACAAACATACCCGTCCTTCGGCCATTGACGACATTTGGCATGGAGAACCGCGTTGATCCGTTGTGGACGTCTGAGGGATGGAAAGCACTGAAGGCCATCGGCATCGAGGAAGATATCGTTGGTCGGGCTTATGCCCAGAGCAAAAGCCACAATCGGCGAGTCGAGCAATTTGGGCTCGCCCACGTCTGGACGCATACATCAAGTATGACCATGTGCCCAGCAAGCATGACCGATGGCGCAGTTAAACTCCTCTCTCGGCACCTGGAAAAACCAGATGGCGACCAGCCAGGACGCAATGCTGTGTTCAAGGAGTCATTGCGCAGGTTAGTCTCCAAGGATCCACGCGAAGCATGGACTAGCGGACAGTGGATGACTGAAAGAACCGGGGGGAGCGACGTCAGCGGCACCGAGACCCTCGCGCGTAGGTTGACGGGTGAGGAGATTGCCTCTGACGAGCAGCTGGGACGCACACAAGACGGCATTGGCCTGCCCCTTGGACCCTGGCGAATCGACGGCTTCAAGTGGTTCAGTAGTGCTACTGACTCCGACATGGCTGTGCTCTTGGCGCAAACTGGAAAGGGCCTAAGCGCCTTTTATATACCCATGCGCCGCAATGAGGGTACACGAGTTTTGACAAGCCTGGAGACGACGGTCGATGTAGCGACAGAACTTAATGGTATCCGCATCCAGAGGCTGAAGCATAAGATGGGAACCAGAGCCCTCCCCACGGCGGAGCTTGAGCTCAAAGGAGCGCGCGGTTGGCTCATTGGCGAAGAAGGGAAAGGAATCAAGGAGATCGCAACCTTACTCAACATCACGAGGGTTCATGCCGCGACGAGCAGCGTCTCCTACTGGGCTCGTGGCATGTCCATCTGCCGCGCCTACTCGAGGGTGCGGAAGACCAGGGGCAGGCCGCTAACGGAGAATTCGCAGCATGTCTTTTGGATGGCAGAGGAGACAGTCAAGTACTGGGCCGCGGCGCACTTTGCCTTCTTTGGTGTTGCGCTCTTGGGTTCCAACGAGCAGGGTTGGAAGGAAACCGCGGAAGATACGGCAGCCAAAATACTCATCCCGCGCGAAGACCGTGCACGAGAAGCGCTCCTCAGATTGCTCACGCCAGTGATGAAGGCTCAGGTGACAGTGGGTGCAGTGAGCGGACTGCGCGCTAGCATGGAGTGTTTGGGTGGCGTTGGCTACTGCGAGAACCAGGAAGATGGCGGCGTGCTGAATATTGCCAAAATGTTCAGAGACGCGTCTGTCAACGCGATTTGGGAGGGTACAGTGAGTGTGATGGCTGAAGATGTCGGGAGGGTCATCAAGGGCAGCCAAAAACAGGGCGTCAACGTAGTCGAGGACATTTTTGCCGCCTGGGCTAGAGGGGTCCTTCGACACTGCGGAGCACGTTTTGCACAGGAGTGCGCAATTGTCGACGAGAGACTGGAAGAGCTCATTTCCCTTGTGCGAAATATCGTTCCTGCAGAGCTCGAGTACAGAGGAAGGGACCTTCTTGTCCATCTCGAGGCTATCAGCTGTGCGGTGCTGCTTCTCTTCAACGCGCATACGGATGGAGACGAATTGGCATCGCATATTGCTACACGGTATACATGGTCCAAAGCCGTCTTACATAGTCAATACCGTCGGGAGACCTCCAATTGGGAGAGGGAAGTGTCTACTGACCGCTATATCTTCCTGGGGAAAAAGGACCAGCCACGCGAAGGACTACAAGGCAAGCTGTAGCAACATAGGAATCAACATATTCCGGGGAACATAATTGACCCGACCGCTCGAAACAAACATCTAATTGCTCCGACTTTTGCGACTAATAAGTCTTGTCAACTTGTGTCTAACGTGCGCGGGCCTTTATCAGTCGGTGTACTCCGGCCTCCGTACTCGGATCAGGCGATTTACTCCGCTTCCGATTGCCAAATTAGGAAGGAGGTCGCTTGCCTCAGCCCCAGCTGTCGGAGACCCCCGCCACTAGCGTGCCTAACTGTAAGAGCTGCCACTGTTGTGCGGGGGAATTGGCAATCGGATACTTATGATAATAATAAATGAGAATGGGTTCGAGGTAATGCGAGAACTCTGTGTTCCCAATTCTATTAGTAGCTCTTCGACTGACTGATATACATGGACGGTGCTTATGCCTAGGACAGTCAGCAGCTCTGTCGGACAAAACCCTCCTCTAGTGGAGTTAAGATAAGGGATCCAACCTTGGCGTGTATCGCGCCACAGACGACCCAACGCCTTTAGGAAGCTCGAGTAGATAACTGTGCCGTGTGAGCCGACTTGACAAAGTCTTCGTGGTTGGAAAAAGAAATCTACATAATCATGTTGCAGAACGTTTCGGTGCATCTGGTTTGTCGCGACTATTCACTCGCCCTTCACTCGACCGTGTTTGTTGAGGACCACAATGACTGAAATCTCGAGGATGGCGTCGAAAGCCCTTCTCGTCGCCGCCACTCTACCCAGCGCGCTCGCTTGGGGCCCCCTTGGCCACGAGACCGTCGCTCTGGTTGCTACCGAGTTCGTGTTACCTGAGACAAGAGCCTTCTTCCAGGAAGTTTTGGGCGATAACTCGTCCACCGATTATCTCGCCGCCGTGGCCAGTTGGGCAGACGACTGGAAGAAAACGGACGAGGGCGCCTTCTCGTACAACTACCATTTCATCGATGCGCTAGACGAGCCGCCGACATCCTGCAATGTTGACCTTGAGAGGGATTGCGGCGAGTCAGGGTGTGTTGTGAGCGCACTTGCGAATTATGTGAGCCTGGCTTATATCGGCAACCGTTTATACACTACTGACGAAGAATAAAAGACTACACATCTCGTGCAGAGCGAGCTGAACCGCGAGGAAAGGGAAATAGCTGCGAAGCTAGTCATTCACGTGAGTCTTCCTATGCTTTCTGCCGCTTCCGATCGAGCATCTCTTGACGCTGATAACATATAGTTTGCTGGCGACATTGGCCAGCCTCTCCACTGCGAAAACCTTGCTCGCGGCGGCAACGACATTGCCGTGACCTTTGATGGCGAGGCGACCAATCTTCACTCAGTGTGGGACTACAACATTCCCGAAGCCATTACAAACGGCTCCACCCGTGCAGACGCCCATGCCTGGGCCGCCGATCTAATCACTGCTATCAGAGCCGGTCCGTATCGATGCAAGACGAGGAACTGGGTCGCAGGCTTGCGGGTGGACGACATTGAAGACGTAGCGCTGAGGTGGGCCCGAGAGAGCAATGAGGACGTCTGCACGGTAGTCATGCCAGAAGGCGCGGAAGTGCTAGAGGTTGGCGACTTGGGTGGTGAATATGCCGAGGGGGCAAAAGGAACCGTGAAGTTGCAAATTGCAAAGCAGGGATACCGACTCGCGAAGCTTCTTGATGCTATTGCTCAGGCTCAATAATCTATGATTAAGGTTGCTATCACACGACGAACAGTTGATTCCTGAGAAACTCTTTCATTACCTGGACTCAGTGAGCACGATCCGAGAAACGTACCTGTCGGCCACAAGTCTCAATGCCTAGTAATCAGAACCTCGTTAACAATTCCTCTATCACGGCTCTAAAAGGCCTTCCCTTTTAAGCTTAGAACAGCGGGAAGAATATAATTCCCGTTATTGAACCTACATAAGTACGACAATAGGTTCTTCTGTTTATTGTTTACATGGACCGTCAATTCAAACATTGAGGCAAGGGCTGTTTCGTTAAGAGAGGTCGACCATGACGACGCGAGATCATATCCCAACGGATACATGCTACACACATGATTCACCACAGGGTAGGTAGGTCACAGCGCCGAGCATGGTATAATATACGTGTTTGACTTATATCCACGGATATCCCTCTCGCCTCCTAGCAGATCGGACCAGAGTAGCAGTTGCCCTGGCAGTTGTAATATCCACCAAGGTTAGAGTCACTGCCGTACATGTCGTATCCCATGAACCATCCGTTGAGCACCTCGTGGAGGTAGTCGAGGTTCTGCGGCACGCCATTGCTCTGTCCTTCTCCTGAGCAAGGGTAGCCCTCCGTCAAGCCTTTTCCACCATTCAATCCAGTGTTATCGGCCGCTGTGAACCATCCGTTGTAACGGCCCAAAGCCCGAACGGCATTGCCATCGGAGGAGTCGAGATAGTCTCGAAGCACCCAAGCACCACAGTCGACATTGTCTTGAATTGGGTACTGGCAGCTTCCTCCCTGTCCTTCGTAGCAGTTGCCTGGAGCACACTGCATCAGGCCGGGCGTCGGGCCTCCAGCATCCGCGTTGCAGCTCGACTCCTGCATAGCAATGAAAGCCAGGATAGCAGGATCAATGTTGTACTTCTGACCTGATGACTTGAAGAATTCGTCGTATTGGGCACAGTTGCTGCCTACGCCCCCGTAGTACTCCTCGAGCGAAATGTGAGACAGCTCGTTGATGTCGAGGTAGGGCGGGTTCCAGCCGTCGTCACCGAGCCCCGAGTTGAGCCACTCCTCAGAGCCATTGGGGCCGCAGAAGCCGCCCTCGCCCTTGGTCGGGTTGCAGGGGCCCTGGGCGTTGGGGTTGACATCGGCCTGGGCTGTGGCTAGGCCAAGAGCCAGAGCTGTGGAAAGAATGGTAGTTGTGGATGGCATCTTGTAAACCTAGGGCTGTGAACAATGGCTTTGGGTGAATCTGAGGGTCCTTGTTGTTCGTACGGTAAGACAACACTTCCAACCTTTGGCCTTTATACCCAAAGAGGTCCATACTTGGAGTCATGAGCACCAATCTTGCAGTGCTTCATGCGTCATGCTTCGCCCCATGCAACTCCGCCGCTTGCATCCGACCACGCGATGAACCTCCATGCAACAAGGTATCGACCGGCCTTCTCAGCATGCGACTACTAAAGTCTCATGGGCCGATACGAATTGTCGGAAAGGGAGATCAGAGTGGGATCGATCCCTCGCTAATGTCAATTCGAGAAGGTAATCTGCACTGTTTGCCGACAGGGCGCCGATCTAGGGTCCAATAAAGCTAGTGGATCGGCACTCGCTGGCTTGAAATCAGCGGGCATTCGGGACTTTGTCGCAGCACGTGGATCCGGGGAGAAACATGCCGGGCGCGAACACTACAGAAGTTTGCGCTAGGAATTTTAGATGACCTCAGAGGCTGAAGGAAAGGATTCGGAGCTGAGCAACTACCTACCTATTTAGGTAATCCGAGGACTAAGACGAGTGTCTGCTTGGGGCAGCCCGGACCTCTGGCTTGAATCCTACACGGAGACTATTTCCGCTAGCTGCAGCTACTAGTGAGATGAGGCAAATGCAACAAGGTCATAACCTCGGAATTAATCGACCCGTCGGCCGCCGGCAGACAGCAGCTCCTGGTTCATTTCCAGCCCTAAATCATCAATGCTACTTGTACAAGTTGTACATGATCCTGACCAACAGGTGGGCGTCATAACGGAGGCATATAACTCCGTGCTAGCTCGTACACAAGATGGCCGGAGGCCTGTCGATCAGAGGAGCTTTGCTCGTTGACAATGTCACAATAAGTTCGCCTCGATGTGCTTCCAGCCGGTTGCTGTTGCAGAAGAGGACAAAGGTCCCCGGCAGACCACACGACAGCTTTGCGAGTATCAGCTGATTCAACTCTAGCAGAAGTCAAGACTCAAGCGTTGCATCGAAGGATGCCAGGCTAACCCCAATCGTCATCATGCGTTGATCGGGTCTCGTTTTATACGACAGCCCCAGCTTCACTATGTGCCGAGCTCCGGCTGAACAAGAAGCCCGACAAGAAGCCTGGACGGGCCCCTTATGCGTGTACATATAAAGGGGTCACCTCTTTAGCTTGGCAATCCAATGACACAACTCACAAAAGTATTAGGTCTTCTAACGAGCCCAAAACTTTTCAATAATGGCAAAGTTTCAAGCGTTCTCTATATTCGGGCTGCTGGCAACGGTGTCCGCCCGTGATGTTCCTGACAATGTCCGCAACTTATACGACTCCATTGTCAACCAGGGCCAAGGCGAGTGCCAATATGAGCTCCAAGGCGGCTTTCTTAGCGCCGATGATGGCGAATACAGTACGTGCCACGAACCAGAGACGCCGTCACCCGCTCACTGACAACGGATAGGCTATGGGTACTGCGGTGATCATTTGGACAGCAGCGGCATCATATACCTTCAAGGCAAGGGCGGAAACCTTGCCAACATGGACATTGATTGCGACGGCATTGCCAATGGCGCGGGCGACGATGGTCGCTGCGGAAATTCCGAAGACACCCAGTACCAGACAGCGTTTCAATACACTGTCTCCTCCTACAGCAATGGAGTCAGCGACTTGAACGCCTACGTCCACGATTATATTGTCTTCGGCAACTATGGCAGTGCCGATGGTTACACGACGTTTGACCCGCAAGAGTATGGCGTAAAGCCCCTCAGCATCGGGGCTGTTGTCTGCGGTGATAAGCTTGTAAGTGTTCATGGACGAAGGTCGAAGTCTGATACTGACATGTCGATCAGGTGTACGGAGTCTGGGGTGACACCAACGGCGATGATGGAAATCCGCTTGTCGGCGAGGCTTCCATTTCTCTTGCCACACGATGCTTCGGTACCGATGTGAATGGCAATTCCGGCTACGACGGCCAGGATGTCCTCTACATTTTCTTCACGGGAGATGATGCTGTTCCAGGCGAACAGGCGGACTGGCAAGCGGACAGTTCGGATGCATTCCAGGACAGTCTGCAAACGATTGGTGATAGGCTCATCGCGAACCTCTGAGCGAGGGCCACGAACATTCCTGTGTTTAGTTAGCACCTTCATTAGACATGGCCGGCTAGGACCTTGTCTCCTAATATGTCAGATATAATCCCGGATCCCTGCTAATATTACGAATAGCAAAGTCTCCCTTTTCCCAAATGCATGCTGCGGACAGTAGGAAAGCGATTGGCAACCGTCATTCACACAGCAGGGGCGTATCGTTTGTGCCAATGCATCATTGTATTTCAGTGCTATCCAATGGCAAGATTCGCTGGCGGCTAAGCCATTGAATCTAGCAATTCTCTTCCCCTAACTACTTATACCATCCGTCTTAACCCACCATGTTCAGTACATGTATGTTGAGAACAAGCAGCTCCCTCTCAGGCCACGGCCGAGGGTTATTCCACTTGGACTTGCTGAACCAGGCGAGTTCAGCTCTAGACAGTCGGGGTGCTCTCGCTGGGTACGCCGCTGGGGACGCCGCTGGGGACACCGCTGGGGACACCGCCAGGAGCGCCGCGACCTGGTCCTCCGACACCCGAATCACTGTTCTCTACGCCGCCAGATTCGTAGAGGAAGGCAGCAGGTGTCACCTCGCCGGAGTAGGTGGTGTTGATACCAAAAGCGAGCCAGGCGAAAAAGCCCTCCTCGACACTGTCGCCAAGATAGACGTAGCTCATGACAGGGTCCACGTCGGCTGTTTCCTGGAGCAGGATGCTGTCGTCGGCATTGAGAGTGATATCCTGCGTGTTGCTTGCGTAAGGCTCTACCTTCTCCACCTCGGTGATCAGATCCTGGTCGAAGAACGCCTGTCCAACATGGCTGGCGTAGACTTCGTTACCGAGGGTGTGGTTCGCCAGCAGCGTCGCGTTGGTGTGTACCATGACATGGATGTGCGTTGCGCGACCGGTGTAGTGGCCAGGGAAAGTAGAAATAAACTGGGCGACGCCGTCGCGATCGGTAGGCTGGATGCCACGGAGGAAAGTGTTGTCGAGGTTGGACTCGTCCGAGGAGTCGCCGTTGCCGTTAGCGACAACACCCGAGTAGACACCAGTCGAGTTGCAGTGCCACATTTCGACGTACACATGGGGGACCGGCTCGCAAGTCTCGACGTCGATGACTTGGTAGTCGAGATGGATTTCGACACCATCCTGGTCCTCGGCAACGTTCTCTCGGACATACTCTCCACCAACATCTGCAGGATTGTTAGCACAGGTGACGAGTCCGGCAGCTTCAGTGGATGCCTACAGTAAGGCCCCTGAGTGACCTCTGGGGTCAGCACGCAAGAGGCATTGCCCGCGAACAGTTCGGGGATGGGCGTGTACTCCGAGTAGCCGGAGCAGGTGGAGTTGTGCGACTCCTCCCAGGTGTCGTTGTCGCGCTTGTGCAGTCCCTTTGCAGCACGGGCATTCTTGACAGCAGCAGACCTGCGAGCAAGGTTTCTGGCCTCGAGTCCGCGAGCCTTGATCTTCTCAGCGCAATGGTCAAGAGATCTCTTCTCGACAGAGTTGACAAAGGCGCGGCGCTCTGCGATTTCCTCGCTCAGATCGTGGCCCGGGTGAGCGACGGCCACGCCAGCGAGACTGATGGCAGCCAAAGTGAGGGAGGTGAGCTGCATGGTGGGAGATTTGGTATGTATGTTGAGTGAGTAGTTGTTTCCTTGGAGTTGATGATCAAAGTTGTCTGGTGTGCTGTCGTGATTTGCAGCAGCAGACTGGTCTTGTTACTTGTATTTGTATTGCATGCTCTGCTGCCCAAAGTCGGCTTTGGCCGACAGACAGTCGGTGACCACTGGCCAGGCCTCGTCAGCCTCATCCATTCAGGCTGTGTCCATTACTACGACGACTCAGTATCGCCGACGCATGAGGCTCATGGACCTCAGGCCCCAGGTTTGAGCAGCGGGACCAGCCTTGCGTCGACGGGGCGGCTGAAAGGCGCAGGAAACAAACACGCAAGCTTCACAGCCCAATCAAAGAGTGTTATTTGCAATGCAAACACCACATGCAAATAAGGTGACCTGTCAACGAACAGACCCCCGAGTCTAGCTCGATCACGGGTATACGGCACAACGGGGTGCCAGCCAAAACATGTGCCGACCTGGGATGTGGCATGAAGAGTGGAGATTTGCCGGCAGATGTTGGTGACGAGGGGAGGCTTAGAGTTGAGTTGCGATCCACAAGATTGGCTCGCGAGGCCTTGTGCCTGCTTAATCTTGTTTCAAACCTACCGCGCCGACTGCCACATGCCGGAAGTTGCTCCGTGATGTGGTCGGCAGTGCACCGACACGCTAATTGCAGCTCCGCGTGGTGATGACGCGGCTTGCGGCCGGTGAAGAAGAATCTGGCGAAGAGAACACTCGCTGGACGCGCGTGTATACGTAGGCCATGTCCGGCTTCATGTGTGTGGATTGGTACATGATTGGTCGCAAGATCCTCGCGTCGCTACGGTAGATAGGGTCGGGTCATATGTAACCTGTGAAGGAATGGAGATTAATTATGATATTGACAGAGGAAAACAAATAATTAAAGTGCGGATACGGAGGTACTGAAGCCCCGAAAATCGCGAAGTCGGACTCGGAAGAAGACGCCCGGGCATTCGGCAATGTGGGTGTATTGCATGACCTGGCCAATCACAGACTGTTGGCACGACCCCTGACACAACGCTTCTCCATGCTTACCCTAAACCGTGAAACATTAAGAAGGTTTCGGCCTCATACTCGAGAGCCAGCAACCCTACGGCCGCCCACGTACACGTCGCTAATATTACGGTCATCTCCTGACATGATAAACTTCTCAAAGACTATTCTCGCAGAGTCGCCATGTTCGCGAGGCGTCATCGCTGAATCAAGCCTTTGTGTTGTGGTGATCTGCAAAGCGTCAAATTGCTTCCCAATGTCAAAGCTCCCAATTCTGTCATTTAGCCCCATTACCTTGGCGCCCCCCATTGTCGCAAGGTAGAAAACTTCTTCCAACGACAGGCTCTTATCCTGTCCCTGTGATACCACTTCTCTTGCATTGGAAGCAATCATCGCCTGGCGCATCACTGCGAGCATTTGCGATGCCCAACCTCCACCGCTATCTGTCCCGAGGCCGACTTTGATACCACGTCTCAGAAAGTCTCGGACGGGCGCGACCATGAACCCGCCGCCGACCGTCATGTTAGCGATAGGACAATGTGCAACACCACACTCCAGAGCACAGACTCTCTCCTTGTCGTAGTCAGTCATGATCGTGCAGTGTGCGAGAATTGATCGCGGCCCAAGAAGGCCAAAGCTTTCATAGAGATCAGCCTCGCTCCTTGCAGCAAGGTCAGGGAAAAGTTCTCTCGTCGCCTGAATCTCCTGCTCAGCCTCGTTGAAATGGGTCTGCATTGCCAAGTCGTCATCGGCCTTCATCATGTTGCCCAGCCCTTGGAGCAAGTCTGGCGTACAGCAGATAGCAAACCGAGGTGTTAAGACCGGTTTGACCAGCGCAAGCTTGGATTGGCTGCAACCTGGCAGCTGTCGGATATGCGAGATACACTCTTCCGTCTCACGCAAAGAGTCGTCAGCGCTCCGCTCACAAATGTACTCTGGTGCGTGTCGGTCCATGTTGCATTTTCCGACGAAAGCCCGCTGGCCCTTTTCAACGCATATCTCAGCGAGAATACGCGTCGCTTCAGCGTGGCGGGAGCCATAGTAGGAAGCTGTCGTAATACCGTGCCGGAGAAAATCAGATACTGTATTCTCGTACGTCGCGCGGGCGTAGGAGGCGTCTGCAAAGCGCGCTTCGACTGGAAATGTGACCTGCTCGAGCCAGTCGAGGATGTGAAGGCCCTGCCCAAGACCGCGCATTGGCCACTGTGGAGCGTGATTATGCGTGTCGACGAAGCCAGGGATGAGAAATTCGCCGCGGGGCAGGCGATACACTTCCGCGTCTTTCGGGATGCTGGCCATTGTAATTGCGTCGTCGCGTGACTTCTTGAACTCAACAATGTCGCCATTCGCATCGACGACCAGCGTTGCGTCTTCCAGAATCTCGAGCTCTTCGAGACTTTTCGAATGAATGACCGCGCCATAAAATATCTTTGGCGCCATTTTGCCGACCAGCGCGATGGTCGACAAAGAGTAGGCGTCTCGTAATCAAAAACACAGACAAAGGCGCTGTGCCGGGTGGTCGCGATGATTGCTGTCAAGTGGAGACGGACAAGAGTCGTGAATGAGTGTCCGTAAATCTAAGAGCAAAGCGAGGACTATGGCGGTCAAATACCAAACATCCTATCTTGTGGCGCTGCGTTAGTTAATTCTCGCCAAAAGATAGATATCAATGACACAGTGACGCTTGTAAGCATTGAAGTATATCTTTCCACGTACGGTACTCTCCTCCCAGGGACAGCGGAATTCCGGGTGGAGTTCGGGGGAGTTCGGGCGAGTTGTTACCCCGCGTCGATTCAAGTAACCAAGTTATCGCTAATGTGGGGTTCAATGTTGTGGAATCGCGTCCAGTCGCCGTGTGGGCAGCGCGTCCTCCCCGAGTCCAGTCCCTGTCATATCATTGTCAACGCACACCTGGTTGGATTGTCTGACCGACAGGATGTAACCATGACCTCTACGAAGAGGCCTCATGTAGTTCTCGAGGACATGGCCGCTAACTCTGCCCCCTTCAGGTCGACACAACGAGCCCCACGCAGCTGCATCCCCTGTTCAACACGCAAAGTCAAGTGTGACAAGTCGGAGCCGTGTTTGACTTGTGTCCGACGCGGCGAGTCGGCTTCTTGCATTCGAGAGACTGTCTTGATCAGGGGCGAGCCGAAGAAGTTTGTTTCATCCTTGGTCGGCGGGCTACTCCTCAATTATTGTCTAGAATGCTGAGACTTTCCCTCGCAGATGGCAAGAAAGCACCGGAAACCCTCCGCAGGTGGAGGATTTGCGTAGAGAGAATGAACAACTGAGAGATGAACTGCGCAAGCCCAAGAGTGGTCAGCTTTCCCATTCCACACCCAGCACGCCACGAGGCCCGAGAAACAGCCACAGCCTCGAGAACAGCGATTCGATAGAAGACGCACTTTGGGACAGTATCCGCTTCAAGGCCGTTCCTTCAGGTTCGACTATTGGCAGCTGGGAGGAAGCTGTCCTACCCAGTCGGTCCGCGAGCGACCATCTAATCGCATACGACCGGACATGGAATTGCTGGGTTCATTATGCTGTGGAGTACCCGCAGTTCCAGCAGGAGTGCGACGCTTTCATGGACGCGCTTGAGAGCGGCCAAGCTCTTGAGAGCTATGATCATCATTGGAAAGCTGTTTACTTCAGTGTCTTATGCGTACGTCACGATAACCTGATCCTCCTGTTGCCTGTGCTGTACTAGCGAAAACTTCGAGCAGGCCGCGTTACTCATGATGGAGGAGGAGGAGGCCACATGCCTAGTCGCCTCGGAGCACGTGGGTGAGAAAACGCAGTCAAGTGGCATCGTGAGCCGATTCGCTGACCAACCTTCCAGATATGGACGTCAGCAGCCTATGTCGCAACTGGTACGATGCTGCCATATTCTCTCTCCACCGCGCAGATTTCATGCGAGTGCCGCACATTGGTACTGTCCAGTGCATCGCTGTGTTGGGCATGTGCTTCAACAATCTTGGCGATGCAGAGCTCTGCCGACACATGTGGAACATTGCGCTTCGTATTGCCCAAAAACTAGGCTTGAACACGCCAAGGTCTGAGCATGCAGGAAGCCTGGGGACAGAAGCGCAGCATCGGCTCTGGTGGACGCTGACGATATGCGAATGGTGAGTTATTGCATAGATGACATGGCACCCTTTTCATACCATCTCTAATCGTTCGTACAGGCTGGGTGTTCCACATGAGCCAACCAGTCTTGAAGAGGTCGATTTCGAAGTGCCTCTCCCACGCCCACATGTTACCACGCGGAATGGAGGAAAGACCGTCGTTGACCCTGCACACTATCACGTCTTCATGGCCCGGACATCGATTGTATACAACCGTTTCTGCCAATCCCTCCAGAGAAGCCCACTCTCCTCAGAGAATGTTGTCAGAGCAGCCGACGAGGAATTGGCACTCGTCATAGACACCCTGCCTGACCATCTGCAGCCTGAACTTGAAGCACACGGGAGAATCCGTGAACCGGAACTATCGGAACCATGGATCAAGTGGCAGCGCTTTGACATCACCTTAGTGCTTCTGCACCATCGCATCCGCATCAATCGTACACTCCAGCGCCACTGGCTATCTTCCCCCGGGGAGTTTGCTTGGGCTCGTACCGTGTGTGTTCAGTCCGCACTCGACATCATCTGGATCAGTCGAAACTGGGACCAACCAGTGTCCATGCGGAAGCAATGGTACGTGCCACTTCAACCAAAGGTGAATTAATGCCTGATACTGGTCTTCTAAACTTGTCCTAGGGCCCTATCTTTCCATCTTTTCGTGGCAGCAATTCTGCTCCTCAGGGAATGGCAAAGTTCCCTCGACGGTCGCAGTCTGGAGTACAAGGAGGCCATCGAGGCTGGTCTGTCCATTCTTGAACAGGTCCAGTCGCACAACGCGATTGCCCGTCATGCTGTCCGAATACTGAAAGAAAACATGTATGTCACATTCTAATACTACTCTCAGGCCACTTGGCTTCCATCGCAAGTCAATATCATCGATCATGCCCTGCCAAGAAGATCAAATCCAAATGCGCGCTTGGCCTCTACCGTCAGGTGGTCGAGGCCAACATATCCCTTGAGCTTTGTCTCATCCAGGTCATTGCCTGCGCTATAGTCCGGCGACGGCTTGCCAGCCAAGGTGGCCTCGAGTTGCCTCTTGACGTAGGCTTTGTTAGCTGGCGTGGACGGGCAAGCCGCGATGTATGCCACGGAAGCATTGTTTGAGCCTAAATGCTCCGTGTCCACGGCATGGCAAAGCTGTGACCGAGCTTCTGATTAGCAAAGAGTCTGGCGGAAGAGTATGGGCTACACTCACGTCAGAGTGCCACCAGACACTGTCGCCTGGTTGAATACTTGGCATGTGAACGAGGCACTTTTCGAGCTTCAGGTGCGGGTGAGAAGAGCGACTGAGCCGTTGACTGTTAGGCTTTGTGGTGCCAGGAAAGAAGCCAGTTTCTTCGTCCAGCGTCCACTTCTCTGCATCCAGAACATCGTCGGGGTCTGGCGGCGGGATGAAGAATGGCCGCAGCAGCACATAGGCAATCACGCTGGCGACGTTGGGGTACACCATGATTGTGCCCTCCCGAGGAGCGGTCGCTGTCAGGGCAGTCCAGCCTTGGAATGATCGGAACACAGAAGAGTGAGCCACTCCAGAAAACAGCTCCTGGTTCGCCAAATGCCGAACTGCCAGATCATAGCAATCATGCTCGTGGACTTTCCCTGCAAAGATTTTGTCGTAGGCTTTGAGATAGCCCTCGTCAGCCCATCGGCACAAGCTGCCCGCATCGATGTGTGGCCCCAGTCCGAGAAATGGCTGACCAGGCGCTCGATCACGCACGCCGTCGTGGTACACCAATGGGTCGCTCGTGGTCTGTCCAGTCTTGTCATGCCAAAGGCCATTTAGCAAGCGCTGGAGTCGAAGCTGGTTTGGGTGGGCTCGCAGCGTGTTCTGAGTTGGAGAGTCGTACAGAATGAGCATTGATGGGCTCTCCGCCGGCCATCCCTTGACAGCGTCTTTGTTGTCTGCAATGTAGCCCTTCAGCTCCTGGTACAGCTTTGTCGTCTCTCGCTCCGGGACAACCCCCTTGAACACAAAGGCCCCGATTCTCTTGACCTCTTGTCGTTGACACTCAGTGAAACCTCCTGAAGCCAGGACCTTCTCTGTTTCAAAGATGGGGATGATGGAGTTTCCTTTGTTTGAGATCTCTTCAGTGACATGCTCTAAATCTTTGCAAACTTGGAGCCAGCTTTGACGAAGGGCATCAGCACCATAACGCTCAATGACTGCCCTCTTGGTGCTGCGGAAGTCGGGGTCTCGATTTTCCTTCAGCCCCTCTGAAGTGAATTCGGGCCACGCAGGCCACTCCCAGACTCGCGATGGCATGTTGGTGTGCGGAGTGTGCCGATGCAAACGGCTTGACCAAGGTTTGATAAAGTTGAGTTGGGTCTGACCCGAATGTCGTGGAGGGAGTCGGTCTGATCTGCAGCTTATCTTTGCGAGAAAAGTAAATTTGGACCACAAGTTAATATGTCGCCTAGCTCTCGAGAGCATCATTGCCTCGGACCAGAACACCATGTTGCCCCTGAGTCCCGACTCCCGACAGGCAACATCTAGCTAGGTCAGAGTCGGCCGAGCTCGGGCGAGTTCGGGTGACTTATTCATCATGCTCTCCGCTTCATGGTCATGGAACGCTAGATAGAGTGCCGAATGCAGGGTCCACGCCCGCGTATCTTTCTCATTGGCCATTCGGGCAAGATATCGTGACCCGACCATTCGGCTAGCAGCGAAGCCATCACCGCTTGGGCATAGCGGCATGGAGCCCCCCGACGAGACAAGACTGGGCTTTGATAAGCAAGTCTGGTATCTTGCGACGTCTGAAGATTGGTGTCACATCCCTAAACAACTCTGTAGCTTGTGTCAATTTTTATAAAATTAATGGATTGTCTGTTGTCATTACCCTTGCTCTGCGCATCCATTGTCTGTTCCAGCTCGCTCACCACACCGCACTCGTGCTTCTCCACCTACCATGGCCTCATCGCAGACTTTTGATCGCAAACATGTCTCAAGGCTGGTCCCGGCCGACCACAGAGTGCTCATGCCCTTGCTTCTGGCCGTGACCATTGTCAACTCGGCGGTAAGTCAGCCTCCCTGTCACCGCAAGTGAAGACTCCCCGCGAAGCTGCGCACGACCAAGACGTTGATTCAAGTTGCATTTCCGCCATAGACTCTCGGATACGATTCTTCCGTTATGAACGGCCTTCTGATCTTGCCGGTGTACTCTGAATATTTCAAGCTCAACACTGCGACCGAAGGCCTCAACAATGCCGCCATGTGGATGGGGGGCATTTTCGGAGCCTTTCTGATGCAGCCTGTGCCGGACTACTTTGGGCGCAGAAGAGCGATTTATATCGCTTCGGTTGTGACAATAGTCGGCGTTGTGCTGCAAGCCGCAGCACAGAACGTCGCCATGTTTGTCATTGCACGATTCACCGTAGGCGTCGGTTCGGCCATTAGCAACGGTGCAGCGCCCACACTTCTCGGCGAGCTATTGCCTCCTCATAAGCGCGCTCGGGTTCTTGGCCTATTCTTCTCATGCTATTACGTCGGCAGCCTAGCCTCAGCCATTGTCAACTACGGCAGCCAAAACATCAACAGTACCTGGGCCTGGCGTCTGCCCTCTCTCCTCCAGTTCGTCCCCAGCTTGCTGGCTGTGGTCATTGTTCCATTTGTCCCCGAATCGCCCCGTTGGCTCATTGCTCATGAACGAACAGAGGAAGCTCTTGAGGTTCTCTTGATTATGCAGGGCAGGGGCAATGTTGATTTCCAGAAAGGTGATGAGCAGCTCAACGAGATCCGGACCACAATCAAGCAGGAAGCCATCGAGTATTCTCGCAACCCATGGGTGGAAATCATTTCCACACGGGCAAATCGCAAGAGGCTTGCTATCTTGTGCACATTCGGTCCAATGATCAATATGTTTGGCAACTTTATCATCTCGTCAGTCACTCCTACCTTCAAGTGGTTCTCTTTGACGCCACTGTTCTTCTAACCAGCTGCAGCTTTTATCTGGGCAAGATTCTCGACCAAGCTGGGATTACCAGCCCGAAAACGCAGACTCAAGTGCAAGTGATCATCAGCTGTTGGTCTTTCGCGGTGGCCATATTGGGAAGCTTCATGCTGGATATCCTTGGTCGAAGACTCCAGACATTCATCGGCGTCGGAGGGATGACAATCACTCTGCTTCTCATCGGCGGTCTTATCAAAAGTTCGTCATCAAGTTCGACCTAACGTGAGTTCGTTTGTTGCTGACCAATGTTAGCATATGGCGAGAGCGCAAACACATCGGGCATTTACGGTACCATAGCGGTCATCTTCCTGTTCCAAGGCTTCTATGCCTTTGCAATCACCCCGATGACGAGCTTATACCCAACCGAGGTATCGCCCTTTAAGCTCCGTGCGACCGGCATTGCCATCTTCCGCATGCTGGACTCTGGATTCGGGTAGGTCCAACAGCTTAATTTCATTTTGCCAAAACCCGCAACACATGGCTGACTTTGTTCTTTCCCATCAGTCTTCTTGCCTCGTTCGCAATGGCGTATGCAATGGTCAACCTCGGTTGGAAGTTTTATTTTATCAATGCGGCCTGGAACTTTGTCTTTCTTATCATAGCATACCTCACATTCGTGGAAACAAAGAGTCTCAAACTTGAGGAGATCAACGCCAAGTTTGAGGGTCGGGACATGTTAGAAGGTGTGGGCGAAGACGCGTCGATCCAAGGCGGCGAAGTTGAAGCGGTCAAGGCAGGCGGCGTCGTGACTGAGCTAGCAAAGTAACCTTGAATCGGGGATATTCGTGAACAAAGAACGGACTGTTTAAATTAGCAGAAAGGTCAATAGCGTCCTGCCTCCTGAGTCCTGAGTCCTGACTCCTCTTTTTCCGTCCCTAATGAGTTCATCTTTTCAGCGCTCCCCCAAAACCCGTCCTGAGCTATTGGATCTGTAGTCATAGACACCGAGATCGATCCAGAACGACGTGCCGAAAAAAGATAAGGAAATTGTTTGGGGGGTTTCAAAGGAGGAGTTCTCGAGTAGACAATTCAGAAGACCCACGACGGCAGCGAGGTAGCATCATTCCTGTATGTACGCGTTCGAGAGTCAAGAGCATTTCGCGGCATCATGGCTGGCTTTCTGGTGTGGTCTTGGAAAGTCTTTCGATAGCGTATCCCCTCGAAGTACGAGCTTTGGCGACTCTGATGACTGCTAGTTGGTGGTGTGCAGAAGTATGAGGCGAGGTGGCAGTTGTGATTTCATGTTCGTTGAAAGACGCGATGCGTCTCCATGTCGCCTTACCCCTATTTTCTCCATCAAGCAAGCACTGGGTTCCTCACCGGCACACGCTTGAGTCAGGACTCAGGATTCAGGACCACCCTGTGTCCCTGCGTTCCTGACTGGAGTCCTGTACAACTCGAGCCTTTGACTGTCAGGCTTTGTGGTGCCAGGAAAGAAACTAGTTTCTTCGTCTAGTGTCCAGATTTAAAATATTATCTAGGTTCGGCGGCGGGGTGAAGAATGGCCGCAGTAGCACGATAATTGTAATACCCCCAAGCTATAGGATAATCACGGTAGGGCCGAGTTTGAATTATGCTACAACAAGCAGGTCGATGAGGTTGCGATCTCTCTGAAACAATGGTGTTTGTTAGACCATAACTGGTTTGAAGGACTGGACTATCTCGGAGATAAGATATGGAGAATCGTACTTGGCACGGGCTCACAAATCAGTGCCGAAAGAGGCACAGACTAGCAAACCAGCTAGCTCATAGCGCACAAAGCCCACGGAGTCTGCCGCCTGCGGCATGTTGAAACTGAACCAATCTTGTCTGAAGAGCTTACTCGGGTTTGATCACAGAACCATCAAGGTCGCGAAGCTAATGCCCACGACCGCTGCAAGCGAAACCGCCAGTCGTCCCGAATTGCTCTCATCAGCGGGGCTGGATGGTGAGCTAGAGTCCGTTGTCGAACTTCCAAGCGCAGTCGCCGGCTTCGTAGCTTCCACTTGGACTTCCTTTACCGCGATTGTTGCCGATAATGCGTACGACGTGGACGAGAAAGAGCATTGTGACATGATCTTATCAGCATCTATTGAGTCGTTAGTAGGTCGAAACCCCAATCAGAGTGAGCGGAGAAATAGGGCGCCATACCTTCTGTCGTTCCTCCATTTTGAGCAATGCAGCTGGCACACAGCGCCATGATGTTGGCCACATCGAAGCTCGTGTTCTTGCAGATGCATTCTGCCTCAATAGCTTCATCTCCGTCTTCATCCTCCTCAGTGCCTCGCAGGCGCAGCTTCTTTCGTTCATCGTTGCCATCATTTGCCTCGCTGGGGTCGATATCACAAGTGTTGGTGAGCTCGACGATGGGCCCGCAAATTGTTTCACAGGCCTTAGGAACATCTGCAGCGCGAAGCTCCTCAGCTAGAGCCGGCAAGATGACTAACAAGCCTGGAATAAGGACGGAATGCATGGTTCAAAGCGGTAGAGCTGAGCTTATTCAGTTTGAATTAGAGAAGAATGTGAAGAATGTGAAGTTGCTGCGTGCTTGGTTTCCCGAATCTTGGGTGCCGCGGAAAGGCTTCTTCTTATAGTGGCCAATACCCAACCACCGGTCTGAATTCACCATCACAAACTGCGTCCATTTCACACCCAGCCCGGGTTCCTGCGACAGTGAAACTCTTCCGCACCGCAGGTATACCCCGATTCCTAACCTTCAGCGAAGAGTAGTAGAGGATATATCATATCACGACACACCAAGTTTCATGTTTTTCTTAAATTAACTACGGCTTATCCATCCGTTCAGTTGCATGCGTGGATGGACAACGTTGTGAGGCAAGTGAGGTCTCATAAACCTGAAGACAAGACACGAAGGCGTACTGTAGCTCTTTGAGCTTGACAACATGATATTCGCAGATGTTTCGTGGCTGAAACTACGGCTTCTTGAAAGTTGATGGATAGGTAGCAAGCCCTATTTTTGGCAACGGATTAAGTCTTTGGCCGCTGGAGTCTGGACCCACGCAGGGCCGCGCAGCACTGAGCAGGGGCGAGGGCTCACCGCACACTGGCACACCGTACACATGCTGCATGCACGCATGAGTCATGACCATACCGCGTCCCTGCGACACCAGGAAAAGGCGAATGATTTCTGCAGGTTTAAGCTGCAACAACAGGACCAAAGCCTGATGGAACTTGCCCAACCCCCAGCATCAAGGCGGGGAACAAGGGCAAGTCGACCTCGCGTGAAAACTGGATGCGGCATTTGCCGGTAGGTCTAGTGACTTCAGTTGGTCCCTTGCTATAGGGGGACTTTGAAATCGAGACACAAACTCTCAACTGACATGAGCCAAGAAAGCGACGCATCAAGTGCGATGAGCTACGCCCGGCATGCGCAAGATGCGTTCGCTCAGGTTGGAAATGCGACGGCTACCCAAGTACGACACCCAGTTCAGCTGCACGGGCGGCCCTGTCTCGTTCCGGACCCTCCTTGGACATCAGCGCCTACTCCATCCCATTCCAGGTCCCGGGAAGCAAGCGGGATCGTGAGCTATTCCATTACTTTTGCACGCAGGCTGCGAGCGACCTTTCTGGGTTTGTGAGCTCCCAATTCTGGACCAAGACGGTTCTTCAGACCAGCCACCATGAGCCTCTAGTGCGTCAGGTTCTGCTGGCCTTGAGTTCGTTGCATCTCGATTACATCTCTTCCGATACCCTTGATTCGCAAATCGCCTCGACATTCACGATGGAACAGTATGGGAAGGCCATCAGGAATCTGCAAAAACGAATAAGAAACAGCCCCTCCCCGGACGTGGTGAGAATTGTTTCCATTTGCAGCATCCTGCTGTATTCGTTTGAGAGCATGCTGGGCAACAGCCAATCCGCCCTCAGCCAGCTTGAGGGAGGCTTGTCGCTCCTGAAGTCCATCCAAGCCAACAACTACCGAGAGCTACCAGAAAGCGAAGACATTGTGGATATATTCGCACGCCTCGACATTCAAGCTACAATGTTCGATGACAGCCACCTTCCCACTCTGGTCCTGACAACAAGCCAAGAACGACAAGCCATGACAGTGGAGACCTCGAACATTCCTTTCGACACAACAGAGGCTGCCCAAAGGGAACTGATAAAGCTTCAGAATTGGCTCTTTCACCTCCTCATCAGCAACGTATGGTGCAAAGAGATGCCGATTGACTGTGTTCCCCCAGATGTATTGTTGGAGAAAGATCTCCTTGACCAGAAACTTCGGCTGTGGTATGACAAGAGTACTGCGCTGCTTTCCCGGAGTCAAGCAGCCGCTCGCGGGCCAAACGCTGGCCTGTCCATCCTCTTGATCCATTACCATGTCTCGCGCATGCTACTCGCCTCAAGCCTCCCAGAAAACAGGGCTGTATTCGGATCCTCGCCCAATGCTCAGGCCAAGGAGGTGGTGGAAATGGCCGAAAGCATTCTCCATTATGCACAGCAGAATAATAGCAACGCAACGACCGCCCGGAACCCTCGTCGTAACTTTTCTGCCGAGGCAGGAGTCATTGCGCCTCTCGCTCTGCTCGTCTTCAAATGCGCCGACCCTTCCATCGTCCAGAGGGCTACTCGTGTCCTTGGCCTCCTGCAACGCCAGGAGGGTCTGTACGACACAAGGTCTTTGCTGTCAGCTGCACAGCAGCTCAACGAATACAAGGACAAAAGACAGCTGGATCCACAGGCGGTGCTCGAAGATGCCCCGCTGCCATTGGAGTACTCGGTCCTGGACGTTGCCGAGGGAGCGCAAGCTCTAATGGAGGCAAACTATAAGCTTGTCCCTCCAACCTTCCTACCTGTCCCAGAGCTAGTGTGACACATCAAGACAGCGGATAGGGTGGAGAGGCAGCTATGTCCTTTTCCTGTGCCCACACAAAGTTCTTGTTGAATACAGTAACTCAATTATTAGTGAAAGTCGGCGGAGCGACCGCAACGCGAACAGGTCTATGGACAAAGGAAAGTCTTTCTGTGTCAACCTTAGTTCTCCTGCTCCTTTCAATCTCTTGTGATGTACCGATGTGATCAACGCTGACCAATGACACAACCTGCGATTGACCCCCAGCTCGGAAACTCTGACAGTGTCGATCAAGCCAAAAGTGCCTGGGCCATGAGAGCCAGGAGGACCCAGAGCCAGATTCCCTGGCAGGCGAAGCTGGGGGGACTTGCGCTCAACGCTGAAGGCGTTGGTAGGGGCGAGGCCGTCGTTTGCGCGTTTTCCGTACGGGCAGCGAACCTCATTTCTGTTTTCCCAAAGTCGAACACAGACACTACATTCTTCATAAAGGCGTCGCCAAGAAAGCTCATCTGGGTTCCGAGTCCGTCAGCGGAATTGCCGAGGGTGCTGTAGCAGAGGCCTGTGGTGTTATCTTTTGAAATCATGTCTTCGGGGTCGTGCCAAAAGGTATGTCCATCGATGGTGACCCCAAAGCTTGGAGGCTTGGCATGGCAGTCGACCACGTAAATGTCCAAGTCCTGTTTGAACGTGGCCGGCGGCTCGAACAGACCGTTGACAGACTCGGCGATCTCGATTGGCACGAGGTTCATATTATTGCCAGAGTCCACCACGGCTTGTAACTTTGTCGTGTTGGTGGTATAAGGAGATGAGGAGCCCCAGGAGGCTCCGTCGACCGTCAGAGTCATCAAGCTGATCACTGGCTTGCCACCAGGGTAGAACTCGTCGGGGATACCCTCGGTGATTTCTATAGGCGCAACGGCCCAGTCATCTGTGTGTTCGACAGGAGGAAGCTCGCCAAGACCCAGCCAGCCTCCCATGCCCGATGCCACATCTCGGGGGAGGCGGTTGATTGCGATACTGTACCATGATTCGACCAGACCCTTCTTGTACATGTTGACAAACGTAGGTTCGTAGGGTATGCGATTGGTTATCAGGGACATTGTGTCGTTCTCCAGTACAGTCCCTGGATGGGCGGAGGTAAGCATTGGGAAACCGAGGCCCAGGATGCCGCTGTTGACGCCATCTCCCTTGTCAGTTGCGCGGTCGACGATGCCAATAGCTTGTTCCTGAACTGTTATGCCGCCAACAGTGACACTCTCAATCCCGAGTTTTCCGAGGGCGACGCCTGTTCCGTATTTGACGCCAAAGGTTTGATTCTGGATGTAGCGCATGGACTGAGGCACGGTGTACGTTGGTGACCACATGCATTCCTCTGAAGGCAGCACACGGTTGTCGGCGGGATCGATGCAAGTGTAGCCATCGGCAGCAACCCAAGTGTCGCTGCTTCCAGTGTCGACAAGCAGGTAAAAGGTCTGGTTCCCAATCTGGACCTCGACGTCGAACCAGAAACTGTTGAGTGTAGCAATCAGGGGCGCAGGATTGTCCTGTGCATGGCTCGTGCTGTTGCCAGTGCGGCGGTGAAGGGGTGCAACGATGCCAGAGGCTGCGCCAATGGTCGCGGTGACGGCGATGAGCGTCTTCGCCCGCATATTCGTGGAGTCGAGAGTGGAATCTTTCAGTTGGTGGTGGTGAGAGCTCAGGCGTCAGGAAAGAGCGATGGTTTGTCTCTCGAGTCGATGAATGAGTGCGATGAATAGTTGGATCATGGTTAGCAGGCAGGTGCCGTCTGGACTTTTATAATGAATTGATCAGAGCTTGCGCTTGATAATGCCAAACCAGATCAAGCACAGATATTGCCTAGCCGTGCATCTTTAGCGAGGCTGAGTCTGTGCAACATCCGCAAATGATGGGGCGCCTTCTGTGGATGACTTCCATCGGTCTTCTCGTCAATCGTCAATTTGCGAGGCCATCTATTTGCTATCTCGTCAATTGATGGAACATGTAGCGGGCCTGGTGACCGGAGTCGAGTTGCCAGGACTCAGGAGTAATCACGGCTGTGGGCGTATTTGTTTTGATGAAGGGCTAGTCAGGGGGTGCTGCGTTTGTCATTGGGCACATCGCTTATTCCAGAAGAACGACTGAAATGTGGCGGGGTCCTGGCTCCTCCCTATTCACTCCTGGTTAGGCCAAGTGGAACTCTACCTTAAGAACATATTGCTCGTCAACGTGAAAAGTTGAAGCTCACCAATACATGTATCTTACACTCGAGGCTGAAAGGTGAGAGGACGCTTTCAGATCCCGGCCACACGTATCCTGCCAGCATGTCTGTGTATTCAGCGACACAAAGCATCCGACGCACGATTGTCGACATGCACCGGCACGGCTAATCGGGTTCTTGTTACCCTACGTCCACGACCGTGGGAAGTAGCGCAAACGACCGGTGTCGAATTATTGGTCGCCACCACACAAGACTTGGTGTAAGTGGCTGGAATTCTTCCAGAAAATCGGGCATCAGCGAAAGGTTTGGGATGAGTTAGACTTTTCCGCGCGTAAACCAGCACCTCGCCTTTCAAGCCTGCCAATGCTTTTATCGTTATACGCATAGTCGAAGCAGTGGCCTCCACAGAGTCTGCTCCCACGGGTGATCATTCGTAAGCTCGGGACAAACATGAGCATAGGTCTCTCGAAGCGCTTTTCCGTTCCAGGAATACTCACAGTACACAGACGCGTATTAGAGGAAGGACATATAGCGCTTTGCCCAGGCCATGACTCACAATGTGCCCATTGGATATAGAGTATGCCAAACAGTGATTAGAGGTACGTACTCCCAAGTAGCGACTCGGAAATCGATGGAATACTTATGGTGCGGCACTCCTTGGGCAACAATGTATGGCAGGCTGAGAATAGGTTGGCTGTGTGCTGAGAATGACGGCCTGTCGTTTAGCCACGAAGCGGAATACTCATGACCCGCGCCTGCCAGAGTTCTCCACGCGGAAAAGAACAGACAACTCGCCTGTCGCTCAGCCTGGAGAAGCAACAGTGAACAATATGAACAACTCAAACAACCCATCACCCCGCACTATTGCACGATGCCTGGAGCGAGCGGCGGGGTACGCGGGCGGGAAGTCCTGCGTCCTGCGGCCTGCCCTAGCGTCTTGTCGTCTTCCCCGGCCATTGCTGCCTCTCGACTCTCGAGCCGGATGATTGGGTCTTGGCAGGATCCAGAGAGGCTGTCTCGGAGCCGGCGCGATGTGGAAGGCTTTAATGGATCCAAGAGCCATACGACAACTGATGGGGATGCGATTGTGAAGGGTTGCAGATGGGGAAACGGGGCGGGATGAAGAGCCGCTCAGGAGTCAATGCTGGGGTAAGAAATGGCGGGGAACTCGACTAGACTGACTAGCCATCACGTAGTGGCGGAAAGCTAGTAAAAGTGCACGGAAAACACACATGGCCAATGACGTCGGGCGACTCGTGCTGCTCAACACTGAGAGCACTCGAGAGGGTGTCCTCGACTCCAATGTTGCGAGGCATTAATTATTACTCAAAGCTCACCGGCCGGAATTGGCATCAACATTGTGAAAGCGGGTGGTTCAACAAGGACATCAACCGTCGTCACACGGAACAAACGCACAAAGACACACATGGATTAATTATATATCATGCTTCAAGAGAAATGGCAACTACCGTAAGGAGCAATATGTGAAATTCATGTTCGTAGTGTATGTATGTAGTAGTCTAGAAGATCGCTCGGCCCGAAACATATGGAGACGGCCACCTTTCGCGGCACGACCTGCCAACATCATCAAACCTTACACATTTCCAGGCTAGCTTCGCCAACCCCAATTATCCCCGGACTTGTCTTGTCTGGGGCACATGAGCTAGGCTTGCGTGGGGTATCTGAACAATGTCGCTCACGTCGATCTGAGCCGCGCAGGCCCAACCGTCTTGTGAGCCTCGCCAGTTGTGTATTTAATGTCCACAACTCGCTCCCCCGAACACTGCTCTCTTCACGGGCCATCCCAGATAGCCACTCCATCCATTCAGCTAGGTCTTGGTTCTTGTCCGACCAGGAGCAGGCCTTTTCTTCCTCCTCTGCACCTGATTCTGCACTGCATCTTGTCTCGAGCCGGAACCTCAAACACTACCCATCATGTCCAAAGCCAACGGCGAAGAGTTCGCCAAAGCCTCGCAAATCGAGAAAACAGCGAGCAAGGCCGATGCTGTCCTTGAGCATGTAGCTGAAGCCGCACGGACAGCTGCACACGAGCTGAGCCCATTGGAGGCGGTGCACGGATACCCCAAGGCCATCTTTTGGAGCTTGATCGTGTCCATGTGTGTCATCATGGAAGGTTTGTGACTGTAGGCGTGTTTGAGGATTCGTTCAGTCATGCTGACCAGCTGCCAACCCGCAGGCTACGATACCATCCTCATCGGCAACTTCTATGCGTACCCCCAGTTCGCGGCGAAATTCGGGCAGTTCGTTGACGCCAGTGGCCGCCCGCAGCTGTCTGCTGGTTGGCAAGCCGGTCTGAGCAACGCCAGCGTCGTCGGTTGCTTCATTGGCGGCCTGGCCAACGGTTGGCTCGTGACAAAGTTTGGCCAGAAGCGCGTCATCCTCGCCGCGCTCGGTGTGCTCTCCGCCTTCATCTTTATCACGTTCTTTGCTCAGAACATCATCATGCTTCTGGTCGGCCAGTTTCTGTGCGGACTGCCCTGGGGCATTTTCGTCACGTCGGCGCCCGCCTATGCGTCTGAGGTGTTGCCACTCAGTCTGCGTGTCTACTTTACCAGTTGGACAAACATGTGCTTCATCATCGGCCAGCTCATTGCCGCCGGCGTCTTGGCTGGTCTGGTCAACACACCGGACCAGTGGGCCTACCGCATTCCTTTCGCCTTGCAGTGGACGTGGCCGGCCTTTCTGTTCCCCATCTTGTGCTTCGCTCCAGAGTCCCCCTGGCATCTCGTGCGCATTGGCAAACTCGACGTTGCGCGCAAGTCTCTGCAGCGCCTTCAGAGTTCAGAGGCCTCCGCCAAGATCAGCATCGATGCCACGCTTGCGGAGATTGTGCACACCAACAACACTGAGATCGAGCTCCAATCTGGCACCAGCTACAGGGACTGCTTCAAGGGGCCGGAGCGTCGCCGCACTGAGATCGCGTGCGTGTCCTTCGCTGGCCAAGTCCTGTCCGGCTCAACTTTCGCCTACAACTCGACAGTAAGCAGACCTGACCCTTTGCGTATACCGGCGAAACGAAAGCTAACACGTCGATAGTACTTTTTCCAGCAGGTCGGCCTCGCAACATCCGAGACCTACTATCTCAACACGGGCGGCACCGCGCTGGCCCTTGTCGGCACGCTAATCAGCTGGTTCGCCATCATGCCGTACGTTGGACGCAGGACCACCTATTTCTTCGGTATGGGTACGCTTTGCGCGATCCTCACGATCATCGGTGTCCTCAACGTTTGGACCGACAAGGGCAATGTTGACATGGTACAAGCCGTGCTGACCCTCGTCTGGACCTTTGTCTTCCAGCTGTCCATCGGGCAGCTGGGCTGGGCTATCCCCGCCGAGATTGGTTCGACGCGGCTGCGTCAGAAAACCATCTGCCTTGCGAGGAACTCGTACTACATTGTCGCTGTCATTTCCCAAGTCATCCAGCCCTACTTCATGAACCCCGGCGAGCTCAACCTCAGTGGCTATACGGGCTTCGTCTGGGGTTCGACGGCCTTCCTGACCTTTGTTTGGGTCTGGTTCCGCCTGCCAGAGTCAAAGGGACGAACCTTTGAGGAGCTTGATCTTCTGTTTGCCCACGGCGTGCCAGCGCGCAAGTTCAAGAATGCCGAGGTGACCGATCTCACGCAGAGGGAAGAAGGAAAACCGCTCGTGGTGGTGTAGAAGAGGTCGGGTGTGCCGTCGTGAAGCAAAGTTGAAGGATGAGAATGAGAGATGGACTCGGGACATGGAGTCGGGAGAATAGCGCTATAAATAACAGATCTCCTGCACTGCAATGACGGCACTGGGGCCTGAGCCGCCTGACGGTCCGACCCCTGCTAGTGCGTCCAGCGGCAGCGACAGCCTTCCAGTGGATACCTACCCCTGGACCCTGCCTGGGACCTGGACTGGAGCGGGCCACCGTGATTTTGGGCACGTACAAATGCTAGAGCGACTGGAGACGCGTCTCTGCTGTTCCCATCGTCCACCACGATGCCCTCCCGCGTCTAGCCCTAGGGTTCTCCGAACATGACCAGCCAGAACGGCAACAGTTCGGCGTCCAGCGACGACACAATCGACCGGCTCATTCACGCCGAGCGCGATCAATTCATCGCGTCTTTACCCAACACCGACATCTTGCGCCTCGCAGCATCGTGCCATCCTAGGCAGCAAGAAGGGACTTTCTTCCAGAAGCCGGTCCGAGGAAGCTACAACATTTGCTACTTTGTCCGCTTCCCTCCGACTTCGCGATCCGTTGACAGCGAGGGAGAAAAATGGGTTATCCGAGTGCCCATCCAGCCATGTCTTGGCTTTGACGTAAAGGTCAAATTGGAGAGCGAGGTCGCGACGATGCAGTACGTGTGCGCTTCTCGCCGCTGACAGAGGCTGACCGAGTCATTCAGGCTGCTGGCGGACCGCACAACGATACCTGCCCCCAAATTGATCGCATACGGCATCGGCGACCACTCGAAACCCATACCGACGTTCCTCATCCTCGAATATGTCCAAGGGGAGAAGCTCATGCAAGGGACGCTGCAGCTCGACCCCGACAAGAAACAAAATCTTTACACGTCCCTCGCCGATATATATATCCAGCTGAGGAGGCTAGAGTTTGACTCGATCGGCTGCCTGGTTCGGAGGGGCGACAATGCCGTCGTGGGAAGGCGCCCAGTCTCGATCGATACCAATCGACAAGAACTCGAAGGCAGGCAACCTATGGCGGTCCAGTCGCGCTACTTGAACAATGACACTCTGCAATCCGCCTCGGCGTACACGCACATGCTGCTCGACTTGGCCGACAACGCGTTCAAGGGTTTGAAAAACATCACGGAGGAGGTCTACAGCCAACATGCCTTTCGCGAACACGCCCTTGCCTGGGTAAAGCCTGAGCTGGACCACGGTCCCTTTGTCCTCGTCCACGGCGACTTCGAGTGTCGCAACTTCCTGGTGAATGACGCTTGCCAGGTGATCAGCGTCTTGGATTGGGAATGGAGTCGCGTGGTGCCGCTTCAGTTCTTCCAGCCGCCGCTCTGGTTGCGGATTGCAGACCGATCAATGCTAGCTGGTCGTTACATGTACGAGAAATATTTGGAGGAATTTGACATGTTCCTTAAAATCGTGGAGTCACGAGAGCAGCGGATGTATGGGCGTACTTTGCTGGCAGACGAGTGGGCTGTGGCCAAGCAAAACAGTGGTATTTTCGTCGCGTGGGCTTTGGAGAACTGGACCTTTATGGACACCTTTGCCCAGCTCTTCATCAATGTCAGGCTCCGTCTACTGGACAAGGAGGAATACCAGCGACAAATCCAGGCCTTCGTGGCCAATGACCCGAGCCGGGCAGCCTTGGTGGCACAGAGCAAGCCCGCGTCAGTCAGTGTCAGTGTCTGGATGCGTGTGCGGCGCGCATTCCAGGCTGCCAGCCAGGGACTGCGGTTCACCAGCCCGTCCTACTCGTCTTGGGGAGGATTTATTCTCATGCTCTGTGGAACTGCATACGTCCTTCATGCATCGCGTGTTCGTTCCAGACATTGAGATGCACTGACTAGACTATAGTTCCCCAAAGAGCTTCTCATACCCCTGGATCCTCTCTTGGAGATTTTGCAGATCCTCTTGGGGTTGGGTGACGAGAGCTCTCAAAGCTTCAAGCTCGTCCATCGCTCATCTCGGTATCCAACTTACCACTCCTTTTGTTCACGGCATGGTACGACGACGAGTGTCGTGGCAGCTCTACCCCAGCTATACCGCCGGCCAGCGCCTTCATCTTCTCATGCATTCTGTCAAGCCCGTTGGTGGTCTGTTCTTTTCTTTCACATCTCTTTCACATCTCTTTCACATCTCTTTCACATCTCTTTCACATCTCTTTCACTCTCGAGCTTCTTGCTCCGACCGTGGATCGAGCTGGGCTTGCATGCAGAAATATCCAGCCGAATGCTTATGGTCACAGACAACTGGCTTGTCGAGCCGTGTCGCAGCTCCTGGGGTCATGTCAATCGGCCATCACGTTCGAGGTCGCACGCCGGGTGATGAAGCTATACGCTGTGTCATTTGTCTCATTCTTTTTTGGGAACGGATCCCATCTAGCCCGCATCAGATATGTACTCTCGACACTCCACCCTGTTCCTGTTCTCGACCACGACGTCGTCCTTTAGTATCCGTACAGGTTCACGTGCTCCGACGTCGACGCCCTGATCCTCCTGTTCTCGCGGATCAATAGTACACGAATGAGCCACGCACAGCCAATGGAAGCCAGCGCGAACGCGGCCGAAGCGCTGAAGCCAATGACATATCGAGGATCATCCGACTTGGGCCACAGGTAGGCGCCGTAGATGTACCCAATCTGTCCACCGACATTGGTCATGGCAAGCACGACGGCCTTCTTCTCCTTGGTCTGCGACAGAGTCGAGGACGCCCAGCCGATGATGACCGAGTTGACTGAGTAGGCACCGCTGGCCAAGATGAAGAACGACACGTAGCGCGCCGGCACGTTGAGAGTGGCAGCGGCGATGGCGAATCCGACAATGGAGCACGTGAGGCCTACGGTGATGTGCCAGGTACGCTCGTGGAGGCGACCGGAGGACCAGCCGAACAGAATACCGGCCGCGCCGGCAAAGATGAACGGGGGGCAGGTCAGGACCAGGGTGATGGTGTCGCTGAAGCCCAGAGTCCTGACCACTGTCGGGAAGAAGGAGTTGAAGGAGCAGGCCGAGAGATGGAAGTTCTGCATCAGGATGAACAGCCAGGTGCGCTTGTCCCTGCAGGCCTGCTTGAGGCCCTCCAGGGCCGAGCCTTCGGTTCCGTGGTCCGCCGGCCTGTCCTTGACCATGCGGGTGTGCGCAAGCTCGCGCTCGCGCTCGTTCAGCCAGCGAGTGGTCGAGGGTGTGTCGGGCAGGATCCAGAATCCCACCAGCGCCATGAGTGCAGTGGCTGCACCCTCGAGGATGAAGAGCCAACGCCAGCCCTCGAGACCGCGGACGTCATCGAGACCAGCAAAAATACCGGCGGCGATGAGGCCTGAGAAGCCGGCAGCCAGAATCTGAGCGCAGTAGAGCATGGCGATGCGAGAGGCAACCTCTGCCGGTCGTTAGCATTCTCCTCCTGTCATACCTGTACGCTCTATCTAGTTACACATACCCTTGCGCGTGTAGAAGGTGGACAGCATGTATGTCGCGCCAGGGTAGAAGGGTGCCTCGGTGACACCAAGGAAGAAGCGACACGCGACAATGCCGGAAAAGCTCTGCACGAGGGCAGTGCAGGCCGAGACAACAGCCCAGACCAGCATCCAAGAGCTCATGTACATGCCGGGCTTGACCTTTGTGATCAACATGTTGGAGGGGATTTGCCTGTCAAAGGTCAGAACTGGACGCGCTCATTGATGCAGGGGGTGAGTCGCACATAAGAACGTAGCCGACGAAGAGGATGGAGACGGCAGTGTTGAAGTCATTGCCAGTCATACCCAGGTCCTCCTCGATATCGTTGATACGAGCCTGGGCAATGGCGTTCCGGTCCACGTAGTTGAGGAAGTACATGATGCAGAGTGTGGCTGTTGAATGTTAGACATTGTTTTCGCTTCAATCATGGCTGAAGCTTTGACGTACGCTGCATGCAATCAGTATATAGAGACACAACGTTTCCATCGGGGTTATACACACCATGATCATCCAGTCGAGCTTGCGGACCAACTTGATTTCCTCTGGATCCGTCTTCCTGACGGCACCCGAGTAGTCGGCACCAGGCTCCTGCGCAGAGAAGCCAGGCTTCTTCTCATCATCGGCAAAGGTGTCAACATGCTCTTCGCGCGAGGTGCGCTTCTCAATGGACGCGGCCATGATGAGTTGGAGCAACGGCGTCTGAGTGAGGAGAATTCGCAAGAGTCGAAATGTTGGCTTTTGCTAGGCCGATTGCTGACTCGCGCCAGTCCGGGGTGGATCCGGGGTAGATGAACTGGACCAGGATCGGAGAATGTCTCAAAGAATGCTGGAGAAGAGCAGCTTAGCAGAGACGGGGAAGAAGCAAGGCGAACTCGCGCTGAGAGGGAAATAGAAAGAGAGACCAGTTGAAGAGAAGGACGAGACGGAGGGATCTAATATACGAGGACCTTCTCTGGGGTAAGAAGCGGAGGGTTGCAGTTGGTATCCATCACACATTAGTGTTATGTGGTGTTCGTTCGTGGAGGCGCACTAGATCAGCGTGTCGCGTTTGACTGAACGAGGGGATCAGGCCTGGCATGAGCCAATCGACTGCTCGATAGTCAGCGCTTGTTGATCTTGCCAATGTGGGATCCGGGGTAGAAGACTGTTGAGGCCCAAAACTCTCCCAAAACTCTCCCCACGCGGTCTGGACTCCGCCAGTGAATCTAGGAAAATCGCCTGCTCGGCCATCAAAAGTGAGCCCGTCGAGCGAGACATGCGGGGTAGTCGGCAGTAGAAGTGCAGCCCGCCCGTTGAGCTTTAGAGTTTAAGAAGTGTGCTCAAGGGTAGGGGCCCCAATGATTCAAAGGGCAGGTCGTTGTGATGGTCGTCTGAGTCGCAATGACAGGCCATCCGGGCTTTACTTCTGAGCAGCGAAACGGTGCCGAGTATCCGGACTTCTTGGTCTCGCCTGGGGTTTTATTCGAGGTCACAACAACAAGCCTGCAGCTTGTTGACAATCACCCCGACATTGTTCCCCGCGCAGTCAAAATGATGTGGGACAGCGGACTGCCGGGTAAGGGGTCCTATTTTAGCTGGCGATCAAATTATTAAGCACTACTTACATGTGGATCGGCGCGCAGATTGGTATCCGAGTTTGCTAACATTGCTCTGTATTTCCGACTCGTGATCCCCCTTCAGATTGCTCGCCAGGATTTTCAAGGAGTATGGGGAGAAAAAATAAGGCCAGGCGCGCTGTTGCATCGCGTTTCGAGGTGCCCCTAGGGTAGGCAGTCTGGTTGTGCGGTGATGCGGCTGCTGACCATGTGCGTTTGTTCCCTTTGTGCTCGATCAGAGATGTTAACCAGTACTTGTGGTTGTACTGTTTGGAGAGCCAGCTACTAGTACCGACTAGCAAATGCGATGGAAGGCCTGGGTTGCCTGCCCCTGCTGCCCAGGGACAGATCACCCAACCAGCCACTGCACTCAGCGGCGCTGGTGGGTCTGGAACATTTAGCCGACACCTTTCCATGCAGCCACGGATCATTAATCCCAGTGACAGCATCCAACGGAAATTGGCGATGGCTTCATCAATGTCATTCTCATGTTGGCTTGGATTCCCTCATGGCATATCCGGATCGAACCCGACAAGCTGATGCCGCCTCGATCAGACCATCAGGGAGCATGACTCCGTGCGCGATTAAGACGGGACTGGCAGCGACCCAGCACTGCGACCTCATTCGCTCAGTCGGCCTCAAAAAGATGGGTATGCCCTTCAGCGTTCGCCGCGGACGGAGCAATGGAGCTTCATTACCGAAATGCCATTTATTGCCGGCCGTCATATTTATACCCAAGCTTCGACCATCGTTTCATATGTAGTTCGTCATCTACAATTCCTCCCCGTCGCACAGGAGGAGCGCACAACCAGATCGACATCATCATGCTCGCACTTCGCCCGTCCTCAGCGCCACGCGTGGCCCTTCGAGCCTCGAGCCGTATCACTCGACCGACGGCGGTAGCGGCATGCGCAGCTCGAAAACACACACTCGTCGTACCATGCACACACACAGCACAGCCGGCGCGCGCGAGAAGGCAATTCACCACAACGGCAAGGACCCTGTCCGCCAACAACCCCAAAGCACCCCCCGTCGCGAGGCGCGCTTCCAAACTATACCGAGACGCGGACGAGGCGGTCGCAGATGTGCAGAGTGGATCGACCATCTTGAGCTCGGGCTTTGGACTTTGTGGAGTTGCAGGTAAGAACTGGATGGAACTAGAAGACACGCAGGACCAGACTGACGATTGTACGCAGAGACGCTTATCCGGGCTCTTCACCGTCGCGGCATCGACTCGTTGCATAGTCTCACGGCCGTCTCCAACAATGCGGGCAAGGAAGGGATGGGTGGCCTGTCCCTCCTGACGTCGTCCGGGCAGGTTAAGAACCTCATCATCTCGTTTCTCGGCAACAACAAGACACTCGAAAGACAATATCTAGACGGCGACATTTCCATTGAGCTATGCCCTCAGGGCACTCTGGCCGAGAGAATCAGAGCAGCCGGTGCAGGCATCCCTGCCTTCTTCACGCCCACGGGCGCCCGTACGTTTCCATTTCCCTTTGACGTGAGAATGCATGGACTGCCATGGCTAACCATTGTCCAGAGACTCTCCTAGAAACGGGCAAAATTCCCTCCCAATACGACAGCTCAGGCAAAGTCGTCAAGTACGGCCACGAGAGGGAATCGCGCGAGTTCAACGGCAAGACATACATCATGGAAAAGGCTCTCCCCGGCGAAGTAGCCATTGTTCGCGTCTGGAAGGCCGACGAAGCCGGCAACTGCGTCTTTAGGTACACGACAAAGGCCTTTGGAACAATCATGGCCAAGGCCGCCACCGTCACCATTGTCGAGGCGGAGGAGATTGTGCCCGTTGGCGCCATCGACCCCAACGACGTCCATCTCCCCGGTATCTACGTCGACCGCGTCGTTCCAGCGACAGCTCCCAAGACCATCGAGAGCCCCAAGCTTGAGAAGCCCTCCACACCGGCCAAGGACCAGGCCGCGCCCAGCGCGTCGCAGATCCGCCGCGATCGCATCGCACGCCGAGCAGCAGAGGAGCTCCAAGAAGGATACTATGTGAACTTGGGCGTCGGACTGCCAACATCGGCACCGGCTTTCCTGCCCGCCGGTCGCAAGGTGTGGCTGCAATCGGAGAATGGCATCCTAGGCATGGGACCTCACCCAGCGACGGAAGCTGACATGGACGCTGACATTGTCAATGCTGGCAAGGAGACTGTGACCCTGATGCCCGGTGCCGCTACGTTCGACAGTGCCGAGTCTTTCGGCATGATTCGCGGTGGGCACATTGACGTTTCCATCTTAGGCGCCCTGCAGGTCAGCGCGGCCGGCGACCTCGCGAATTACATGATTCCCGGCAAGGTGGTCAAGGGCATGGGAGGCGCCATGGACCTCGTGTCCAACCCGCAGCAGACCAAGATTGTCGTCACGACCGAGCACGTCGCCAAGGACGGAAGCTCCAAGATTGTCCAGGATTGCAGCCTGCCCCTGACCGGCGCAAGGGTCGTCAGCACCATCATCACCGACCTCTGCGTTTTCGAGGTCGACCGCGAGGCGGGCGCCTTGACCTTGACCGAGCTGGCCCCTGGAGTGGATGTTGACGAGGTGAGGGCCAAGACAGACGCATCCTTCACCGTCGCCAAGAGTTTGCGCACCATGGCTTAGATGAATTCCCGCCCATTTAGAGAAATATGGCATGGCATATAGACTACATAGAATATGGTACGGAAACACCAATAGACATAATACCGCCGACTCACTCTGCAAGGTGATTGAGCATCAATTCTATTCACGCACAGCTGCATCTATACATCTCCTCGTCTACCCTCGCATTCTATAGCTTGGCTCCAGGCCTCGCAAAGTTGCCACCGCCCAATGCCTCCGAGATCAAGTCAACCGATCGCAAGATCCACTCGCTGCCCTCGTCCGACGCCAGCCACTCGGCGCCCTCGACGACCTCCTCGCCAGCCGCCTTGTAGCTGCCGTCCTCGATCCCCTTCCTCAGCCCAAAGACGTGGCTCAGCACCTGGGGTCCCACGCCAGTCTGCGCGCGCAGGCACGCAATGGCAATGACGCTTGTCAGCACACGACCAGTCTTGGCCAGCCCGTGCCTCTCTGACGGATCCGACAGCAGCGGCCCGTAATGGCTGTTCAGAATGTGCACCGGCAGGTCAGGATGCGACGTCGCCAGCTTCTCCACGAGTTTATCCTCAAACGGTGCGTACACGCTGTTCCAGAGCCCGCGGCCGCGCTTTGTGATATCGGCCAGGTTGGCCTCGGTCGGTTGCCGCGTGCCCTTTGTGGCGAGTTGTGATGTCACGTCCGCCGGCAGTGAGGCGTAAAATGCGTTCAGACAATTGATGTTCCGCGGAATTCCATTGAAGGAGATGCATTTGAGACCGACTTCGCGTATCAGCTCGGCGGTCTGGACCTTGGGGTTGGCGAGGCTCGAGGGAGCCGATTCGGACGCGACCTTGTGGAGAGCAGCGAGCGACTCGGGCGAGTTTAGGGTGAATGTGGCGGCAGACTGGACAGATCGTAAGCTTTCAAAGTGATGGAGAGTTCAATTGATCTTGACGTACCGACAGAGTCACCCACGGTTGCAAGCCCACCTTGTGCTTGGCGGCGTCGCTGGCAATGGCTTTGTATACCTCGGTGATGCGCGCTGTGGCAGCGGTCGGGTCTGGACGCGCAAAGGGCGCATTGATGAGCGCCTTGAGGCTGGGTGCCAGTTTCGGCATGATGGCTGGTAGAATTTGGACTGGCAAGTCTTCTCGCGTGCCGCGCCTGCGCTCACGGTGGCATGCGAGCCGCTTTTGTTTGGAGATGGAGATGGATGGAAGCATTCTCGCCGATGGACGGACGGATGCCGAATCCAGGCCGAGGCGCTCCCTGTCCGGCGTCTACTTTTGGCATCCGTGTCGTGGGGTCCATGCGGGGCGAGGAGGCTGCTTCGTCGGAGGCTACTTTTGCTGCCGGGCAAGCGACACATCGCAGTGTCACTGCTCCGGCTTTTGAAAATAACATCCGCTGCCTCCATTGCTTCAAGGTTCTGATCCTTGCATACATATCCGTGTTGTCTACCCCTCTGTGCGGAGAAGTGGGTTGTGGTTTCGCTCCCCAGTTCAAGGACCGACGTCAACCCCAGCGCACATGAACTCGCCAAGGACCAGAGCACTCGGCAAGTCCTCTATGCCCGATTGCTTGTAATTGCTCTAGGACGGGTCGGTTTGATGAAACATCAGGACTAATTAGGTCTGCAAGCATGTTTCTTGAGTCTGCTTCACGCATATCACTCTTCACGAGCAGAGCAAACTTACGCCAACCGCTTCCACAATGTCGTCCAAGCCCGGGTCTTCATCCAAGCCCAAGGAGCCATTCTGGCTTGGGTAAGCTTCAAGTTCAAGCATGAAATCCAAATTTAACAGTTATCGCAGAGGTGCAGCCGCATCCATGGCCGTCTGCTTCAGTGAGTGATGCAATACAAATCCAAAGAAACCAGGCGTTGACTAGGGACAGCCCATCCTCTAGACCAAACCAAATAGTGAGAACAAAGTCCCGAGTCGCATCACGATGATACCTAACCAGTGCAGTCGCATGCAAGTTCTTAAATCAAGAGAACCCATGTTTCGAGCTCTCCAGGGATTCGCAGCACGAGATGGTAGGTCGCCCTGTGTTCTCAGACCACATACGTAACAAGGTACTCAAATTTCGGATCAGGAATTCCTTCATTGTGGACAGGCCTGTCAGCATCCATTCTTCGCCAATCTACATACTCGACGGCAAGATTTGGCCTGTACAATATCATTGCAGAGAGGGCAAAGCGATATTACAGGCAGGAGAAGCTGTCAATGGCAGCCACCATCACCTGTGCTGGACTGGCGGGTGGCCTTGCAGGTCTGGTCGGCAACCCAGCCGAGATCGTCCTCGTCCGCATGTGCGCCGACGGCGCCAAGCCTGTCGCGCAACGGTTTGCTTACTCCAACGGCGTCCATGGTCTGTACCGTATTGCACGCGATGAGGGCCTTTCGACCTTTAGCCGGGGCGTCAGTGCAAACATCACCCGAAGCGTGCTGATGAATGTCGGGCAAATCGCAACGTAAGTTTAGCAGACATGGGTGAAGACGCGCACTGATGCCTGTAGATACGCCACGGCGAAGCAGCATCTCGTGGGGACATTCGGGTTGAAGGACGACGTCGGCACACACACCCTCGCATCACTGAGTGCCGGTACCGTGGCGACCACCATCTGCGCGCCTGCCGATGTCCTCAAGAGCAGAATCCAGAGCGCGACAGCCTCGGGAGCTGATGGTGTAAGTGATTGTGTGACTCCACTTTGTCGGCCATTGCTGACCTGTCGTAGGGCATTGTTCAGATCATCAAGACAAGTCTCCGCGAGGAAGGCCCTCGATTCCTCATGAGGGGCTGGCTTCCGGCTTGGTTGCGTCTCACGTAGGAATGCCAGGCACAACCGTCGAATCCCCTGCTAACACCTCAACAGACCACACACCGTGCTCACGTTTGTGTTCATGGAGCAGTTGCGCAACCTGACGCAGTGGAAAATGCCGGCAACAGAGGTCATGATCCCGGCTGGTACGCCTGTCGCGGTCAAGGCTGAGGCGCGATGATCGCAGGTGCATATACCCCGGAGCAACGACATATATACCTCACGTACTGGTGCTGATTTGGCGTCGAAATCGTCTATATCTATTATGTTTTCTTTATTTTGGCCGTCGAAATGGGTGAGCCTCTGTGTTGAGTACATAGTCGTCGAGACTGATGAGATCTACCGGCGAGAAAATGAGGTAAAAGTACTTCAGCGTCTCTGCAAGCCAAAAGCTCTGTCAAATTGTCAGTGCCATGTATGTCAGTCCGTGGGTCAAGCAACATTACCTCCATAGAATCCTCCTTTTCAGTCGTGTCGGTAGCTGTCACATCTCGAATAGCCGAATATGCGAGACTTGTCTCGGTAGACCGTAGTATCCCTTGGAACATGTCCCACGCCAGATCGCGCAGATCTTCCTTTCCTGTCATTCTATACAGTAGGAAGATGCTTTCGATTGCCTCCGGGCGCAGAATGTATCGAGGGTCTCGAGCATTCATCCAGCCTCTGTTGAGTGCCTGATCGCCTTGCTTGAGCCATTTATCTTCGTCCCAAGCGCAGCCTTCTATGGTGTCGCATGGAATGAGGTTGAAGATCTCAGGCATCACGCCGGTGGGGAACTGGCCATACGCCCAGCCACAACCCCGAGCCAGTCGCTCACCAATATCAATATGGGCATCGATGTCGAACAGCTTTCCACCGAGACCAAACATGCCTCCGGCAAAGCATGTCAAGTGCTGCCCCTCCGGCACCCGCTGAACCTTGTTCCCAGGAATGTGTACATCGCCCAGGAACAGGACATCCGCACTGTCCGGCAGCATTGGTCGATAAAGCAGGTGTTTGACCACCTGTTGCATCGATCCTCGGTACAGCTTCTCATAGGTGCCGTCCAGGCCGCCCAAAAGTAGATGCATCTTTGGCAGATACTCGTACAATGAATCGGCGAGGGCGCCAAGCGAAAACGTATCGCCAGGTGCTTCCTCCTCCTGGAAGTTCAAGGTCACAGGCCACATTCCTGGCAACTTCGTCTTGCCCTGCACAGCCTCGAGGAAACGAGTCACACGGTCTGCTGCGTCGTAGAACTTTGGGTCCCCCGTGATCTGAGAAAGCCGTGTGAATTCGAGACTCAGCGACGCGGGAGACGCTGAAGGGTCGTTGACCCCCGCAACCTGGATGCCCTTTCTGGCTTCTTCAAAGTTCAGCCAGAAGCCTGGCAGGCGGTTGGGGGTATCAAAGGCTTTGTACAACATCTCTCCCAGCTCCACGGCTTTCAGTAGCAATGCTTGTTCCCCACTCAAATCGTAGGCACCTAATAGCCCTCCAAGATGACGAATGGTAGTTTCAAACAGGTTGACCGCACCGGCTCCATCTGGCGTGAATGAGAAGTCCATGCCCACAATTGCGTTGGCAGCTTCGTAGAACTCTGACTTGAGGCCCAGAATCCAAAGGGTGTCCAGCGTGTCGACCAGTGTAGCTGCCCAGCCGCCAAAGGTGTCCTTGCCCGCCCCGGTGACGGGCATCAGCTCATCTCGCATCCAGGCATGCTGTCGATAGGCATTGTAGCTCCGCTTGAAGACCCTGAGCACCTCTTCACGGCGTGGATCTGCTTTGCTTGGGTGTCTGAATGAGCTTCGGGGTGCTTGGGTCTGGGGTATCGCTTTTGGCTTGCCAGCTGGCAAGTTCTTTATGGAGGTAGCAGGGTGATACTCATGCGCTTGGGCCCAATCGAAGCTGTTGGGAACGAAGCGCACACGCGGCTGCGACGACGAGGATAAGAGATGAAATACCGAAACTACAAAGAACGCTGAAATGAGTAGAGTGACAACGCGTTGACGTCGACGTCGCGACACCATTTTCAAACGCGCGCGAAATGGATTGAATGAAACGAGACGACAACTCCATGTCCTGACTCCTGACTCCTGAGTGAGGTGAGCGACTCCGAAAGTCAAGCCATTGAGATGGATGCCGTCAAATCAAGAGGGTCAGTCCTGTGCGAGAAGCAACACCAGGACAAGACGCGCGAGAGTTTAAAGTGTCTGGCAATTGAGCACTTGTGCAAATCATCAATGATGATTGTGGAAGTGCGTGTTGAAAGTTGAAACCGCGTTGTGCCTCGGAAGTGGCGCCTGAGGCGCCGTTCGTGTGCCGCCTGCCCCTGTCCGGACACAGGGGCCAAGGCTGTAAAGACGACTCCCTATTGGGTACCAGTAGTTCGGAAATTACCTTAACATTGACTGGAGCTAAAGCGGCACGGAGCACAGGGACGTGATTAGCGCCTTTCTAAATCTTGCCTGCGTTTTCACTTCTTCCTCAACAACCTCCTCCAATTGTACTACCAAGAGCCTTTTGGCGCCTCGGCCGACTTCAATTGTTTCATTGCCGCAAAGGTGACCCCGGTTGTGCCCAGCTCTGCTCTGCTGCCACTCGACTCTCCTCTCAGGTCCTCTGCCCTACCAGTCTAGTGCGCGAGACTGCCCTACAGCAACATATTCACAATCAATTCGGCAGACCATGTCATTTAAAGCATTATCATTCTATGCTGCAGCTGCGATGAACAAAGGGCACAAGGAATTTTGATTGTACATGCTCAATTATAAGGATCACGCACTGCTCCTCTCCAATCACTGCAGCTCGTATGCGATCCTGTTGTCACGTCCGCCATGCCCTGCATGCCCTCCATTCCCGTAGTAAGATTGATCAGGCAGCTCAGGCCGCACGGAGCTATACGCATCGCCGAAGTACCAATCAGGCTTGGCCTCCTTCTTCATCTCTTCAGCATAACCGTGTGTTTCACTGTTATTTGCTGAGACTTTCTCAGAGGTTTTCCTGGCTCTCCTATTCCGCATCCAGAGCAGAAGCCCAGCAAGGAGCAAGAGGGCTGTGGCGCCGGCGCCAACTCCAATGCCAATTTTCGTGCCCATTGACATGCTCTCGTTAGTCGGCGGCGGAAGAGAAGGTGAGGCAGAAGCAGAAGCAGAAGGGGGAGAAGAAGGAGAAGAAGTGGTAGGCTCAGCGCTCTCCAAGACCTCCCAGAACCCATCCCATGATGCCTCCCAGTCATTCGAACTGGTCTCTATCGTAGTGCCATCCGAGTCGATGGTGACATGGTCTGAGCGGCTTTGGATATTTGGCCCAGGAGCTTGGCCTAGCCAAAACGCCCCTCTCTCCCAATTGGCGCCCAAGAAGGCGTCCTGGAGAAAGGCGCGACCAAGAACGGCATTCTTGCCGCCCTCCGTGCTGCATGGAAAGTACTGAATGGCGGCGTTCGTTAAAGGCGGTTCCAGTGTCAAGTTCAGGTGGCGGAAAGGTACGTTGATTGTGAACCCCGCCGTATTGTCTTCACCCATGAACGTGAATGAGAGCGCTGACGCGGAGCGAACAATGTTCTTATACCGGTCCTCGTCGGTATTCCAGGTGTAAAGGCCCAGATCTTCGCGGTATGAAATTAGGAGATATTGGGCGATGTTTTCGCATATCGACTTCGGTAAAGACATATAAGGACTGCATAGCTCGAGATAGACATCTAAACCCTTGGTATAGGACTCAGAGTTATTCCCTCTCAGAAGACCGTCTATAGAGTCGGAGTCAAAGTCAAACGGCGAGCCACCTTCGAAAACCTTGATGCCGATATCCTATAGCACGAGTGTGTCGGTGAAAGTGCCTAGCAAACTCAAGATTAGACTAACGACACGGTTCCTATCGTAGCCGCCGAATACCAGAGATCCTTACAAGCTTGCCCCTAGCGCTATCGAGCCGATATGCAATCCGAAGTAGCTTAAAGGAACCAGATCTTTCTCTTTCAGATACCAGGGGGTCAATAGGGCGTCGATGTCCTCAAACTATTGCGCGGGGTCCTCAGCACCGACAGACAGGACCCAGCCAGAAGGGGGTACTTCTCTCCATTCGCGTACTTTATATACTAGTCCTCCACGAGGGTGATAGAATGAGTGTCCACCTGGCTAAAATCGAATACCACAGCATCGCGCACCATACGCATTAGGTTGCCTATGATTTCGAGACCTTGCAGAAGCCCTTTCGTCTCGGGTCGGAAGACAATGTCGTCGTAAGGCTGCTATTCCGACACATTATAGCCTCCGTCGGTACAATCGCGCTCGAAATCTTGGCCTAAGCAGTAGCTAGATAAAAAGACCGACGTACTCCACATGCTGCCCGCAAACATAGACAGTTCACTAGCACTAAAGGTTCCGACAGACATCTAGACAACGTTCCAAGGACCATCGGGGCCCATACTCGTGTTCGACCATTAGACCGCCCGTGGCTTGCTCGAGTCGACGAGAGGAAGGAAATATAGAATAAAGAGGGCGAGAGCCAGAATATATGAACCCATCTCAAATAAGGTCCGGCTTGCTTCTTTCCAGTACAGAGAAGGGTTCTTGAGGAATGGTACGACAGTTGCACGACATCAGTACGACTCGACAGACGCGATGGACAGCAGGGTACCATATAACACCGTTAAAGATGTACGGATAGTAGCTGTGTATAGGCGCCTTGTGGGCCTCCCGGAGACTCTGACAGCCATCAGATATAGTCACGATTGCTTTGTTCAACGCCATAGGCGTGTTGCCGGGAGTTTATTGGTTGACCAGGCTTGTTGGTCCAGCCTAAATTAAGAACATGCACTGTCTTCTCTCCCAAGGCTCTTCGGGCGGCCAAGACCACTCTTGGCACCTACCTACGTACTTACATGTACTTGGCAGTTGTGCGATAGAGTCAAGATCAGCAGGACAACGTCACGAAACGGTGTGCGGGCACGTCGAAGTCGCCATGTTGACTCCCTTCCCTTGCTGAGGGAAGGTCAACTATACATGTCAGCACTCATAAGCACCACAGTACTTACAAGTCCTACAGTACATGTCAACTTATGTGTAGACACAGGCGGCTCTCGCCAGATCAGGCTACAGGGTTTTCGCTTGCTAAAGCAGCAACGTGTTACGTTCCAAATTGAGAACTCTAAGGTTAAAGCAAACGCTCCCCTGACGGGGGCTAGCAGGGGTGCAGGGGAATCACTCGGTGCGTAGCCTGCTGCGGCCTGCCTGCTCCTTTCCTTGGCATTTATTACACGCAGCGCGCCGCTGATGATTATTGATATCCGTCTTCTGTCAAACACATTGCATGCTCAACCAAGATACGCTCAGAAAACCGAAAACATAACATCAGCAAGAAGCCTCAAATTTCTCCTCCTGAGGGCGGTGCTTCTCCCTCCCGTCCCTCGACACGAGTCCTTTGTGTCTCGCAATCTGCGAGTCTGCACATGCTGCAGCCAACAATGAATACCACAGCTGTTGCGGGCGGCAAGGATTGCAAAACTCGCCTCTCGGAGCAGGGCAGCAGCCAGCAGGCTCCAACCGCGCTTAGAGGGCCAATGACACCCACACACATGGATTACGACCACCAGGCTCAACGCGGGACGCTACTTTGAATGGAACGCGCGTTGGTACTCCGTAGACAGGGTCGCAATGGAAAAGTGACCATGCAGCCTTCCCAGGGGCGGTGGCTCTGGAGAGATCAGCCCGATGGTTCTGCCGCTCTGCTGCTCTGCCTACAGCCTACACTGGTCAACGGCGCCGAAGCGCCTTCGTCTTTGAATCAGATCAACATGTATATGTCGCGCGCACGTTTCCGCTGTGCGGATTGAAAGCAGAGTCGCCTCGAAGACTTTAAAGACGAACCGACCGAGCCACCGACTGATCTAATCGAGTTACATCTCCGACCGGAATCAATCACTGCAATCAGGCCAACACGAGGTGGCCTCGCACCATCATGTTTTCAGCATCATGGACGACAAAATGGCTTCGACTGGCGGCCACGGCTCTCGTTGGACTGCTCGTCTGCGCAGCTATATTTTCTAGCTATCAGGTCTCAGATATCACCACGCCGTGGTGGTCATTAAGGCGTTCGGATCATCAAGACACTGCCGAGACGGAAGATGCGAACAAAGACACAAGCACTGAGGTTCCTCCCTCGTCGAGCGACGTCGATTGGTCACGATTTGCCTACACCCAATATGCCACGGACAGCGAATATCTCTGCAACTCAGTGATGCTTTTCGAGGCCTTGCACAGGCTGGGCAGTCGAGCAGATCGAGTTCTGATGTATCCGTCGCATATGATGCCCAACATCGAGGTGGAGCAGACGACGACAGATGATCAACGTCTTCTGCGCAAGGCTGCAGAGCAATATAAAGTGCGACTAGTACCGGTTGAGGTCCAGCACAGGAGTGGTGACGACGGTAAGAGATGATCCGAGATGCAAAGGAGAGCATGAGACTGATGAAAGCAGCTACCTGGGCCGACTCTTTCACCAAGCTTCTCGCTTTCAATCAAACCCAGTACAGTCGCGTCTTGTCGCTGGACTCCGATTCCACGCTACTCCAGTCAATGGATGAGCTTTTCTTGCTTCCCGACTGCCCTGTCGCATTGCCGAGAGCCTACTGGTTATTGCCCGACAATGTCTTGTCTTCACAGGTCCTCCTCATCCAGCCCACTGAGCACGAGTTCAACCGCGTCTACGATGCCATCGGAACTGCTGGGGATGATGACTATGACATGGAAATTGTCAATAACCTGTACAAAGACAACGCCATGATCTTGCCCCATCGCTCCTACGACATGCTCACGGGCGAATTCAGAAACTTGGGCGAGCACGTCCATTACCTTGGCAACGGCTATGAGACATGGGATCCTGTCGCGCACTTCAACGAGGCAAAGTTCCTCCACTTCTCGGACTGGCCAGTGCCGAAGCCATGGCACCAGATGAGCGACAAGCTGCGGGAGGAGAAGCAACCCGCATGTCGCCAAGTGGAGGGTGTCGAGAAGTGCGTGGAAAGGGAGATGTGGAATGATTTCTATGATGACTTTAGGGAAAGACGCGATGTAAGTCTCTCCTTTCTTCACCGTGGAAGTGCCGTTTGCTAATACCAACAAGCGCGTCTGTAATGTGCGAACACGTACTAGACTTCGGAGACGACCACGATGATGCCAGCCGCGTTGGCGTACGTTATTGATTGTTTAGACATGTCTCAAGTAGCAGATTCAGCCCGACAATGCCCCAGTAGCTACTTGTCTAGTGAATGGATTGTATTGGAAGCATCACGGACAGCAGATCCAGCTTATGGCGACCACAAGAAAGAACAGCCATGGCACTATGTGCCACAATGGGATGCTCAAGATGTTGCTGCCTCGGACAGGCTGCCTCGCGCGTGAAGTTGCTGTTAGCAAAAGACCATAGTATCGTGATTTGGATGGCGGAAATATGGCAGAAGGATTTAGTATCCGGCACAGCCTAAATCAAATATCTGTAAATCGCAGATACGAGAGTCAACATGAGTAGCTCGTCTGGCACCAACCTTGCCTAAGCATCGCTCAGGTAAATGTGTTTGGCAGCAAGTCCCTTCTCTGCGATCAGCAGCGACGTTTACCTATTAGCAAGTCCTCAGATCTGCATCCGAGCTCCGTTCAATAATTCCCCTATTCGACCGCGTGCCGAACAGACCAGATGACGATGCGAAACCACATGCAGAGTGAAAGAAACATGGGCTCCTGGAAGTCGGAGAAGATGAAATGAATGGTCAGCTCCAGTCGTCGTTGGGGCCATCAACTCATCATGCAAGATTGATGCGAAATCAAGGTTGCGAGTTGCGAACTTGCGACAGCCGGAATCCAGACACCGGTGACCGGACCCTGCCTGCTGCTGCTGCCTACGCCTCCAGCCCTCCACGTCCTCCAGTCCTTCACTGCTACCTTACCTACATTATACTTCTTCACCAGCTCCAGGTCAATTCGCTGGTTTGCGTGCGCCCTCATTTCTTCCGCACATGCAGTCACGCGCCTGGGCAACTCGACCTGCACCAAGCAGGGATCTCTCGCCAACGACGCCTTTCGGCCTCGCAGTCAGACAGCCATGCCTCTATCCATCGAGCGGCGTGGGCTTGAACAGGAGGAGCCAGAGGCAACCCAACAATTGCCCGGCACTATGACCGAACAGACGCCCTTGCTGTCAGGCGATGTTCTTTTGGACAATCGACACTCCAAGGCCGGAAGCCGCAGAGTAATCATCATGTGTGCCCTCCTGCTCTTCGTCGTCGACGTTGGTGCCAACATCATGGAGCCACCCACAAACCAGCTGATGGAAGACGTGATTTGTCGCGACTATTTCTCAGATCACGCACTGGGCAAGGAAGGCCTCATGGATCACCGCTGCAAGGAACGCATGGTGCAAAAGGACTTTACCGCGCTCAAATCGGTCAACATGTTCGCGCGAACACTTTGTCGTGGGTCACTAAACGACGCAAACGTCCCGAATGTCCGGTCACTAATGGTGACCAGCCCTTCTTGTCCAGATCCCCTTTGGCGTCGTAGCCGACAAGTACGGCCGCACAACGGTGCTCGTCACGGCGATCTCCGGTGTACTGATGTCCGCGGTCTCTGGTGCCACGATTCGTAAGTTACTCAACCACCGTGGCGAACGCAAAGAATTTGCTGAACAAGCGAGCAGTGCACTTCCCTAACGTCTTTCCATCATGGTCACTGCCCATCTCACACGTCTTTCTACTGCTGGGCGGCGGGGGTCCAATGCTTAACGTCATGTTGTTCACCATCATCGCCGATGTCACCCCTGTGTCGGAGCGTGCAGCTGTATTCTACCAGATGATGGCCCTTTCCGTGATCCTCAGCGCCATATTCGGGCCCTTCTCGGCGTGGCTCATGAGCAAGGATCCTTGGCTGGCCGTCTTCCTGGGCGTCTTTATCATGTTCCTAGGTTTAGTGACCTCGGTCTTCGTGCCAGAGACGAAAGACTACCGAGTGACCTCGGACTTCTCGACGCTCTCGAACGACCTCGCAGCAGAGCCTGCCGTGAACCAGACATCTCGCAAAGGGCTCAAGAGCACGGTGATCCGCAGTCTCCGTGCGTGCAGAACTGACATGGTTCTGGTTTGGCGCTATGTCCTTGGCTCGCCTCAAATCATGCTGTTGGTGTTTTGTGAGGCACTCTTTGTGCCCGTGGCCACAGGCTTGACGACTTTCGGCGTCCAGAGTATCACGGTCCGCTTCGGCTGGAATTGGTCAAAGGTGAGACTCGTCGTCGTCGCTGAATGAGAGATCGCTGACTGCTCAGGCGACCTATGTCGCATCTGTATCAAGCATCACATCTTGCATAGTGCTTCTTACGGTGCTCCCACTAGTATCGTTGCTTGTCACCAAGTTTACAGCCATCCATCCTCTCAACCGAGATTTACAACTGGTCCGTGTCTCCAGCCTGGTCTCGACACTTGGCCTGCTTCTCTTCGCGTTCGCAGACTCTTTCTCGGTCTTGGTTCTCGCCATGGTCGTGATTGGTCTTTCTGCCGGATACACCTCCCAAGTGCGGTCCATTATCACGTCGCTGGTAGAGCCGCACATGCTCGCCACCGTCAACACAACCATGTCAACTTTTGGGACCCTGTTGGCCCTGGGTGCTACTCCACTAGTTGGCTGGCTTTTTTCGAAAGGCCTCGATCTCGGTGGGCTTTGGACGGGGCTTCTTTTCGTGGTACTCGCGCTGGTGGCGCTTTTGGTGTCAGTGGTACTATGCTTCTTGAGGATTCCGAGAAGCGCGATAGAAGTTGAGGAACGGCTTCAGACATGATCTCCATGTCTCTTCAGGCCCAGTCCATAGTTCTCAAAGTAACCTCTCTTTCTTTCATCGAGATCTATCGCGTGCCACGTCATCCTAAGTTGATGTTGAGAATTAAGCCGGTGGTTAGATGAGCATGGAAATTCGCCGTATGAAGACAAGACTGAGGTGTGTTGCGCTTTTGCTGGTGGGGACTGTGCATAAGAGCTGCCCCGCGATTTGACCTTACTCCACTATTTTCCAGGTGAGCTTCATCACTGCTCGATCTTCACAATGCAACTACGTCAAACATCCAAGTACCAGCATCCTTCTCGAGCCCGCATCAATCGCCCAGGCCTGTGGATTTCGACTGAGGACGCACCATTTCTAGCATCGATCCCGCCGCCATCATGTCTGACGACGAGGACTTCATGCAGGAGTCTGGCGACGACCAGTGCGTCGTGCTTGCATCGAGAACAATCAAAAGGCGTGCTGACCCTCCTCCAGGTACGACTTTGAGTACGAAGAAGACGATGACGAGGACTCTGGCGACGTCGATATCGAGAACAAGTACTACAACGCGAAACAGCTCAAGCAAAGCGACCCGGACGAAGCGATTGACGAATTCCTGGGAATACCGCCTCTCGAGCAGGACAAGGGCGAATGGGGCTTCAAAGGATTAAAGCAAGCGGTCAAACTCGAGTTCAAGCATGGGCGGTATGACAAGGTCAGGTCAAGAAGCGATCAGCGTGGCGAGGGCATCGCTAACGTGGAATGCGCAGGCTGCCGAACACTACGAGGAGCTCCTCACCTACGTGAAGAGTGCCGTGACCCGCAACTACTCCGAAAAGTCCATCAACAACATGCTCGACTTGATTGAGAAGACTGCCGAGAGTCCAGAGGCGACGCGGAGCGTCGAGAAATTCTACAGTCTTACCCTCCAGAGCTTCCAAAGCACGAATAATGAACGACTGTGGCTGAAAACGAATGTCAAACTCGCCAAGCTCCTCCTCGATCGCAAAGAATACACCGACGTATCGAAAAAGCTGCGCGAGCTTCACAAAGCCTGTCAGCACGAAGATGGTACGGATGATGCGAGCAAAGGCACATACTTGTTGGAGATTTACGCACTCGAAATCCAGATGTTCGCCGAGACGAAGAACAACAAACAGCTCAAGGCTCTTTATCAGCGAGCGCTCAAAGTCAAGTCGGCAGTTCCCCACCCACGCATCATGGGCATCATCCGGGAATGTGGTGGCAAGATGCACATGAGCGAGGAGAATTGGAATGAGGCTCAGAGCGATTTTTTCGAGTCCTTCCGCAACTACGATGAGGCGGGTTCGCTGCAGCGCATCCAAGTGCTCAAGTATCTCTTGCTGGCGACAATGCTCATGAAGTCGGACATCAACCCGTTCGACTCCCAGGAAACAAAGCCCTACAAATCCGATCCGCGGATTTCTGCCATGACCGACCTTGTGGATGCATACCAGCGCGACGACGTGCTTGGCTACGAGAAGACGCTACAGCGGAATCCAGACCTGCTGGAGGACGCCTTCATTGCCGAGAACATTGACGAGGTGACGCGCAATATGCGCACCAAGGGTGTGACACGACTCATAGCTCCATACACACGCATGAGGCTGTCTTGGCTCGCGGCGCAGCTCAAGATCTCGGAGCACGAGGTGCAGGACATCCTTGGATATCTGATCATTGACGGAAAGATTAAGGGTCGCATCAATCAACAAGAGGGAACGCTGGAGATCATGTCGGACGAGGATGCCCAGCGAGTGGCTGCGCTGGGACAATTGACAGAGTCCATTTCTGATCTTTTCAGCTCTGTATTCAACGATGGCGAAGGGTTCCGGACCAGCGAGCAAGGTCATCCGGACACGGATAATCAGGGCATGCTACGCTTCCTTCAGCCGGCCGAGGGCAAGAAGAAGATGGCAGCCAGAGTCAGAGAGCGCATGGTCTAATAGGTGCGTACTCACAGATTTGCAGTGCAAACGGAGGTCGGGGTTGCACACAAAGGAAGGGGAGAACACCAGCAGGAGTTCGTGGCCTCGGCTAGACAAGGCTCCGGATAGTAGGGCCTCTTGACGACTTGACGAAACATTACATATGCGGCTGGCGCATGATGACCCTGTCTGCGAGAGATACTTCGCGTTGACTTGGTATCACCTGTGCGCGCCTCAATTCATTACGATAGGTCATTGACCAAATGAGCACCTGATTCACAGTAGCGGCCTGCCTCACTTGTGCCTACCCGTCCTCGTCTTCACTCCACTGTCACCGGGGACCATCTCCAGGTAACACTACGCAACCGCAAGCTTCCACAGTCGATCAACGGTAATCGTCGGCATTGTATGCTTGACGGCCGGCTCCGATTCTCTCGAAGCCTGCCCTTGGGACGTTTTGTGGTTGCACAGCATCTGAGGATACACTTCTTTGGGGCGGTATCAAACAACGTCTCCACGCCGCGCATTCGTTTAGAATCTGGGAGCCTCAAATACGAGTTTCATATGAGCTATCACCTCATACCCGAGGGAGCGAATACCGTGACTGACGGATGATCGTTGAGGCCAACGTCAGAGCACACAAGGCTACCAAATCAGCGCCATCCGTTCGGAGGTGACTATCCTGCTGGGCTTGAGGTTCCGCAAACCCCTTTCCGTGTCCAGAGCAGCCTTGAGTCAAGCAATTGATCTAACTCTTTGGAGTCACGACCTATGACGAGAGCCAGCGCGTTGTACAGACCCCGCGATGCGGATACCCAGGCCTTCTGTACGACAACGGCTGCGAGTTGATAGATAGACCACCGACCAAAGAAGTCTGCTCATGCATGACATCGGTGAGCCCGGGCTCAAATGGAGAATACGCTGCAGACCTGGCAAGGAGAGTCGGTCCATAACGGGCGGCGGATGGTTTTTAGGCAACATACAATGGTAGTCCATTGACGAACCTGAAGTTGTCTGGTCTTGAAATAAGCTGCTGTGTATCGTTTGACAGCGCCCAGCAGACACGAAAGCGACGGTTGAATTTTTTAATTTTTTTTGTTTTCCTTTCAAATGTTGCCTAATATACTGCGCGCTGCGCCCGTCCTATGTATCTGTATAAAGGAGGCGACATGGCTTGCTTCTTGCTATCGCCTGGTCACCCAATGCAGTCAGAATCTAATTTCCTGTTCTCGCTGTCTAACTTAGGCTGCCGATCTGAGCAATTGGCCTCGTAAGCCATCGATACTCCTCCTCATCCATACAACCGCCCTCGCGCTGGTCACTAACAATAAGGACAGAGAGAGAGCACGTTAGCTCTTCTCCTCATCACACCATCTCCAGTGGTCCATTAAACCATTTTCGGCGTCAATCACACGCGAGCGCCATTTGTCTGGTCAGACGGGTTAGGCCGTCTCTGCCGTTGATTAGTCTGCCACAAGCGCACGTTGTTGGTGTGCATTTGCGGAAAAAAGAGTGAGGCGCCACGATCTACTCCCCGGCTTCCCCCCATTTTGCCATGAGCTTATCATGGCGGCAGGCAGATCATACGGAGGACGTAGATCCAATTTGCACAACCTTTACTACGTACTCCGACCATACCATAGGAGACAGAGCCACGATAGCTCTGCGGTGCCCTCACGCCATACAAGCCGGGTCCGATCCTCGATCCGTGGCGGGGGACTGAGGCCACCCGCAAAGGACATATGTTGAGCAAAGGCCTTTGCCTTTCCTTTTCCACTGTTACGGCGACTCGCTTGACTGGTTAATAATCCACCATTGCCATTCCGACGCCCGCAACGCCAGCACCATCGGCGCGAATCCTCCGACTCGCTTACAGAGCACTGAGAGCAGAGGCAGAGACATTGTTCTCACACCAGCGAGCGACGGCCTATCGAGATACCCGCATCGAAGCCGGCCGTCAGCATCCATCCATTGGGCTAAGATCCGAGCCGCACCAGGGTCGACGTACCCGGCTCCTGGTTCCCTGGTCTACCGTCTGTCCGTCTGCCGGAAAGTACGAGAGGAGTCAGAGGGCCGCGATCCCCCACAAATGTCCAGGTGATCTGGTGATTCCACTTTCTGGTCTAAAACTCCACATTGTACGGAGTAGATAGGTACGGATACCAGAGGTCCAGACTCTAGAGGGGCCAGAGCGTGGATCTTGTGGGGTTGTCCAGTCGCAGGTTCGCAGCACGCCCACATATCTTCCCTCGAGTTCGCACCTTTCCCAACCTCTGACATTTTCGGGTTCGACATCAACAACAAACGTGTCAGTCTGCAGCCACCAGACCCAGCTCACCAAGTGCCTGGGTCGGGTCGAAGACCAGTCAGAGCCGCAGGCGTCCGGCCCCCGGTGTCACGCTTTCGCAGTCATCGAAGCTGTGCGTGCAGCTCGTTTTCTGGGTCGTCCATTCGGATGACCGCCACTCGTTGACGAGTCGATATTCCACTCGAGCCCATTTACACATTAGCGACATTGATCAGCAAACCGGAAGACGCCATCTCCGCCACAGAACAGCACCGACCAACCTCAGTACTGATTGCCAGCAATTTGGCAGGTTTAAGAACAGGGGAGCAATCTTAAGACTAACTAGTGAGGAGCGCTAGCACCAGTTCGATTAGCAGGCCGAGCACCACTAAGCGAGCAAAGTACGCCAAACCTTCTTCCCAGTTACGGATACTGCTCTCCTACTAAAAAGTGCTCCGTTGTCATCATCAGCCTACCCAAGAGCCAAGATACACTAGAGCGGCACTTCTTCGCCAGTGTGTCTCGGGTACGTCAGCACAAAGACAGGACGACTGGACTGGACCCCTGCTTAGCAGCGCACTACCAGCAGCAAGTACGGATACTGGCTGAGACATTTGCCAATTGTCCCGAGGCCTGTATACGGGAAGAACCGCCTCAAAGATTCCTTGAGTAAAGTAATCAGGCTCAGCAGACCTGTTCATTGCCTGCCTGATCACCACATACACCACCAACGTCACCTGGCCCTGGCCCAGCTGCGCCGTACTTGAACTGAACGCCGGCGATTAGACTTGTGGGGCTGTTAGTGACCTCCAGGCACTGCACTGTGGCACTAATCACAGTGGAGGCTCCAATCCCCGCCGCCAAGCTCGGCCAGTCATTGGCACTGCAGTGCACTGTCACTGTCACTCTGTCACTGTCACTGAAGTCCCTGCTAGCGGGTACTGTCAGGCCTGTCACAACGGTACACATAGGGTGCTGCTTTGTTGGCTCCAGCCTGGCCTCCACAGGATATCGGACATAATAACTGGAGCTGGAACATCCGGCGCTGTTAGCGCATCGACGACTGGACGCCTGGTCGGCGGCCAGATCCCAGTGCGGTGCCCAGCTGCCCAGCTGGCTGGTCCCGGTCGCCGCGTCCAGTGACTACTCCAATCAACAACAATTATCAACAGGAAGGTGCAGCCAACGCACCCATCACCATCTTTTCCCTCCAGTCCAGTCCAGTCTCTTCCTCAATTGTTGCCCTCTCCCGACTTGATCTGGTCTGGCTTCACCTGGTCGGTCTGCTGCGAGGCTGAATGGGACGCGAGGAATGTTTCATCCTCAATCGACACCATTCGCCTCCTGCTATCCGTACCTCACCTCACCTTCATCGCCATCACCACTCAGCTTCCTTCCCACCCCCAGATCTGCGCCAGCTTCGTCCGCGCCTTCTACCACTGCCACGCACGCCACCAGCACCAGCACCGACAGGAGGAGCAACACTCATTCAGCGCATCCGTCCAATCCTGCTTCTACCCTGTCTGTGCCCGAGGCAGCTTGTGGCGCGAGCTCGGGTTCTTCATTCGGGTTCTACTTCCCCCCAGCGTACGATCTTCAAGGACTTCGGCAGCGTTGTTCCAGCATCGGTGTTGAAGGCTGCACGGCCAATGGCAAGACAGCTGATGCAGCTGCCTCACCTGTACAGCAACCATCGCCCTGGTCATTGCACCGGCACCCGGAATTAGTGGCGCTCACCGAACCCGACCTCGTGCGCCCTCCTGGTCAAGTGCAACAACAGCCACACCAGTCGCGGCCGCGACATCATTCTCATCATCAGCTTGCGGTACGGAGCGCCCACCTGCCTCGAGATCAGAGCTCCCTTGGCAGCATCAAGATGGAGGACCAGGACCCCCATGGGATGGCTGCGCAGCAGGCTGCTGCAAAAGAGTATCAGCCGGATCTACCAGTGAGTCGTCCCAGCCCTTGGCCATGACCACAACCACTTGGTAAAACGCATCGCGACTCGATTCGCGATTGTCCGGCCCGAACCTTTGCAGGCTAGGCTACCAGATCCCCCTAGTTCCACGCGCAAGCCGGAGATCGGGCATGCTAACGTATGGCGTCGGTAGAATTACCTGGTAGGCGACAAGATGCCGAGTAGCGCCATCACAGAAGAATACGCCAAAGCAGACGCGACTTACGTCGAGAAAACAATAGTGCGTCCCCACCCGCACCCCCTGGACTGCCTGTCGGCGGTATGCCGCAAGCAAAGCTGACTTGATTGCCCGCTTCAGGCCCTTCCTGGGCAATATTCGCACTACAGACCTGTTCAGGGCGATGGCAACTGCGGTTGGAGAGGCAAGTTTGACCCGTCCAAGACGTTTTCCCGCCGATGTCTCTGACGGGCTTGAATGCCCGCTGGTTCTGGCGCGAGTCGCGTCCTTCTCCAGACGGGGTCTCGCGTGAATGAACGTGCACCTGCTAACACTACTCTAGCCATTGGCTTTGCCTATTTTGAGAAGCTCATCGAGGCCGGCGGTGCGCAAATCGAGAGCGAGTGCAATCGATTAATAGGCATGAACTCTATGCTGACGGACATTGGCGGCTACGCTTTTGAACTCTACGAAGATTGGGCCGACGACTTTATCAGCTGTCTCCGTGAGGTCGGCAGCCATGCAGGCACGCCCATGGCGCACGCTCTTCTTTTCCAGAAATGGAACGACGGCCCTGCTACAGCTGGGTACATTTACTACATGCGGCTGCTGGCCGCGACGTACTTGAAGGCCAACGCCGATACATACGACCCATTCATTGCTGACAGTGCCGGCATCCACGGCTACTGCCAGCACTCGATAGAAATGGTCAACCGCGAAATCGAGCATCTTGGTATCACTGCGCTTGTCAACGTCCTGTTGAAGCCGGTGAACATGGTGCTGGAGATTGCCTACCTGGATCGAAGCCCAGGAAGCCAGGTGAACAAGTACAGGCTGCCCGAGGAAGCCAACAACCTAAGCGAGTCATCGCTCGGGCCCATCATCTATCTGCTCTACCGGCCCGACCATTACGACATCCTCTATCGCGAACCGCAGCCCTTGTCAATCCAGGTGCACCGGGTCAATAGTGTCAGCGACAATGCGGGAATCGCTCCGATACATGAAGATCCCAACGCTTTCGGCGCGATGGATCTGGCTTCACTGGCGATGATACCTGGCTTCACGGAGAGTATGCCGATCAGACCGAGCAACGTCGGTCATCAGGGGAAAATGCCACAGCACGATCCTTGGGTGCAGTCATTTGCCATGCCAGTCTCGACGCCTACGCCCCCCATGGTCGCACCCCCTTCAAACCCATCACTGTCGCCGCACAGCGCAATGGGACCCAGCCAACCACCGCCTCCGCCCTCTGAGGCGTCCTCTGGCATGATGACTGCGGCGCCCGAGTGCACCATCCGCTTTAGTGCACTCCAGTATCAATACGATGGCGGCAACAGCGGCCCGGTCGAGCCGTTCCAGGTCACTACGAGTACATTCAAGAACAGCGTCTGGAATCGGGCGCATTTCGGGAACCCAGATTTCCATCCGGAAGAATGGAGCCCAGAAGATGAGAACATGGATGGTCGTCTAGGTGTGGCCAAGAGGCGAGGCTCCAAGCGCGATTGAGAGTTTGCCAAGGGGACATGAGAAACGTATAACGAACCAGCATGGTGAATGGGAGTTTTGACATGATAATCAGCTATTTGCGCATGAGTTGGGTCGCGCTGATACATGGGAAGCATGCGAATGCGCTTGGCATCAAGCGTTGCGATTTCTAGGCGGGATCCATAGCGCGGGCGTTTTGTTTTGCGGGAGACGAGTGCTTCATTGAGTGGTACGGTGGAATGGTTTAATGCGTCACTTGGTAATTGGGCTTAAATGCGGTCACCCCATTACGGAGGCTACTTTTAATTTAGTATATTGTTTATTGCTGTGCCACCCCAGGTTTCAGGGCGCTGCTCGTTAACACAGGCGCAGGGTAGGTTTGGTTTCCCTCGCGACCCGCGGGCCGCGAATCGTTCAATACTTCTACCACGCCGCCGTGAGATCGGATGTCCGCGGCTGGCTGCCTTGATGCATCATGCCGCTTCTCCTTAGAAGCAAGCTTACCCATGTCGTCTTCCACTGGGCTGGGCTGCTGCAACCAACGCACAGGGATATTATTCGTTGCTGGGGACTGAGGATGGCGGCAGCAGTGACACGATGGAAAGGGATATAAAGATTACGGAGAGCCATTCTCGAAGCGTCAAAGTCAAACAGCCCAAGACACGATGGCCAACCTCGAAAGGCAAGGGAAGGAATATGCTGGCCAGGTCGCTTCCCGCCTCGTCCAAGTCGCACTCGGAGACAGGAAGAATCAACCAAGACCCAAGACGAAGAAAGGAGAGGACGTTGTTGTCGAGGAGATCATTCGGGTCGCCGCAGCAGGCGTGGGCCTCGTGTCTGAGGCTATCAAATATCGAAAAGAGAAGAAAGCCTTGCAGGAGCGCAACTCGATGCCAGATGCCGGTCACGAACAGCCTTCCCCTGAGCCGCGTTCGCAGCATGAGGCACAGGATGGCAACGCTGAGTGTCTGACCTCACAGCTGCAGGAGACCATCTCGGAGCCGGGCGCTGGCGATGCAACAGCTTCAAACGAGGACCAAGAGACGGCCAAGGATGCTGTAGACGGTCAGAGCAAGAAGAAGAAGAAGAAGGAGAAGAAGAAGAATGCCTTGCAACTGGCAGACGAGTTCGTTCAACGCTACCCATTTTCTCCTCCCCTGGATACAGATGCGCCCAGGTCGAAGCTGGCTCTGCCCGTCATCCTTCCTCAGAGACGACCCAAGAGCCGCTCCCGAGGCTTCGTGCGCGCCTATGCGCCCGCGCTCGCCGATGTTGGCATCGAGCAGGACTGTTTCCTCGACTGCGTCGACGCGCTCAACCTCTCCATGGTGCCGAACGAGTGGTTCCAGGCCTTCAACCTAGCTGGATTCGCCGATGTCATCCTGATGGAGCCGCTGCTCACGCTGGCGAGCATCGCACTGCACGTCGCCACGGATGCTGCCATTGAGGCGCAGAGCCGCTACCGATCCAACAAGTTCCTCGACCGCGTCAATGCAGATTTCTTTGCGCCCCGGGGTCTCGTGGCATTTGTGGCGACGTGGAAGCCGGACTCGACGGACCAGGTTGTCAGCATGGACTTTGAGGGGGAACCGGCTCCGCCGGACAAGCAGCCGCCCAAGGCGACGAGCTTTGTGGACAAGCTCAAGGAGTTGGAGCGGGTGACATCCAGCAAGGATGCCCAACGGCGCATGATGAAGCAGGTTGAGCACAAGATTCGCCCTCACAGCGGCCCCATCGGAGGCCTTGAACCTGCGCCTCTCGTCTTTCCGGTCCCAAAGTCGCCTCCCGACCAGGTAGAGGGGGGTCGCAATAGCGACAAGAAGAAGAAGAAGAAGGCAAGGGGCATATCCCGCGCTGGAGTCTGGCTAGATGAGCACATGGATCGTCATTCACAAGCCAAATGGCGCGAAGAGAACCCCAAGCTTCCCATGGCCCAGATGCTGCCAGCACCACAGTTCCGCTCACGCTATGCAGATCCCAACCATGCTGCGGCAAGCGGTAGCTTTATCGATCTTGTGACGGGTGGCAGGTGGGCAGTTGGCAAGGATCCGAGGATGACCAAGGAAGAGGAGCTCGAGGCGACGAGAGAACAGTGTGATAACTCCACGCGCGAAGAGAGGGATGAAAAGGAGAGGGAGAAAAGGGAGCGAGACAGTATGGGCTGGATGAGCCTGATCAAGATGGTGAGTCTATGCCTTCACGCGCGCGGGAGTGAATGTTGCTCGACTAACCCCTGGCTAGGACGTCATGTACCTTGTTGTCTGCAATATACCAACAGAGCAAGAGATGCAGACGGTTCGACGGTACATGCACGGCGGCACGCCTGAATGCTGATGGGGAATGTGGATGACGACTCAAGGCTTTGGCGATGCACTCTACATGCGACTGGTTGGGCGATTGACAGCAATGAGAGGTAGCATAGCTATTGGCTCGCAAGCATTATGAGGCTCAAGGGCCGCAAAGGGCGATAGAAAGGTCTAAACGTACTTTCGGTACTAGATTCTGCTCCCCAGCCCTGACGACTTTGTCGAAATAGCACGGTACTATGTGGCTGGATATGTCAGTGTGCGCAGACACTGTGTGTATCTATGAGCGGCATTCGATAGCTGAAATGCACGCAGCTACAAGCACGGTTGGATAAATGGGAAAAGCTTGTGATCCGTGGTTGTGTTGTGTTCAAAGACTGGAGAAGGTAGAAGCATCCAAACCTGGAAGCCAAGCCCGCCCTCCACTTCCTTCTACCTTACCCGGGCCGTCGATTGATCAACTCCATCCTCGTTGTTTGGGCCACTCGCACCAAGCTCCACGACATGCCCAGCAGCAATTTGTCTTCTCGCACCTCGAGCCCTTGATCCAAGGTGAGGTAGTCTAGAGCTCACCACACGAGATGGCGCCGCCGCTACACCTGTCAGAGCCAGACGACGCGCGCGACGCAGACGACAGCTCCTCCGATTACTCGTCCGTCTCGGAAGACTCGCTGCCGCCCATCCACGCCTACGGCCACACGTATCACGGGTCGGCGCGCCTCTACATCCCCCACGACGCGGAAGAAGATCGACGCCTGCGCATACAGCACGAGCTCTACCACCTCGTCCTCGACGGACGACTACACGACGCACGGTTACCGATCGAAGACCCTACATTTGGCCGATCAGGCGACGAAGACGACGACGAAGATGACGAACAGATACCAAGGTATCACATCCTCGACGTCGGTTCTGGCAACGGCCTCTGGGCAGTCGAAGCCGCACAGAGGTACCCAAAGGCCGACGTTCTGGGCATTGATCTCACATCTGCCCTGCTGCCGAAAGACGTGCCCGCGAATCTGACCTTTGAGATTGCCGACGTGGCAGAGCCTTGGCCCCCGACGCTCTACGACTTTATCCACATCCGCAACCTGGTCGGCGGCGGCGTCCGGGACTGGGAGAGACTGGTGGAGCAGGCGCTCCAGCACTTGAAACCCGGTGGTATCCTGGAATTCACAGAGCTGCGCCCACGCTTCTACGACGTCGTCCCCGCACTGGCTGATCTCCCCGAGGGGCAGAAGCCCGAGGTGGGACTGGCGTGTCTCGAGTACCACAAGATATTCCACGCGGCCTGCCAGGCTGAGAATCTCGACTTTGACCCCGTCCCGCGTGTGGAAGAGTATCTCCAGGCGTCAGACGCCGAGATGGTCCGGGAGCGCGTCGACTGGCTGCCCGTTAGTGGCTGGGGGCGCGACCCGCTAATGCGGAAAAAGGGCGAGTTGCTGAACGAGCTGATCGAGGTCGGGCTGGACACGTGGTCGATGCTGCTGCTTGGGAAGAATGGCATGGGCGAAGAGGAGATTCGGACTCTGCTGCGGCGGATCCTGGAGGAGACGCAGGATCCGAGGTTGAGGAGCTGCTTTAATCTGTGAGTAGTCCATCGAGGGCTAGGGCACTTTGACGCGCAAACAGTGTGCTAAATTAAGCAGGACGTTCATCACGGCGAAAAAACCCTTGGACGATGCGACGGTGGAAGACGACTAATGCTTCTGGGCGGTGGCTAGCACGATTGGCATTGCAAGTTTTGGAACAAGAAAGGGGTATCATTTTCTACGTGCGACGGTCCCTCTCATACCGCCTCAATGTACCGCTTCATCTCCCAATCCGTCACCGCCTCGTCAAAGAGGCGCACCTCGTTCTCGCGCGTGCCGCCGAAATGGTCGACGAAATCATCACCAAAGACCTCACGGGCCACGCTCTCCTTGCGCATGAAGCGCGCCGTCGCCTCCTTCAGGCTCTTGGCCAACCGCTCACCCTGATCGCTGACACCGCCGACGTCTTGGTCGGCCGCGAGCGGCGGGCAGGGTATCTCTAGCTTGCGCTCCACGCCGCGCCACCCAAGACCGAGGATGGCGGCCAGGACAAAGTGGGCGTTGGTGTCGGCGCCGGGCACGCGGACCTCGAAGCGCGTGGCGCCTGGCTTGGATGTGGGAGGGGCAATGAGACGGATGGAGGCGGCGCGGTGCTCGAGACCCCACGAGACGGTGACGGGTGCCCAAAAGTTCTCGACGAGGCGCTTGTACGAGTTGATGGTCGGGGCGAGCAGCGGCATGATGTCAGGCAGTCCGGTGAGGATACCGGCCAAGAAGTGCCGACCAAGATCGGAGAGGTGGGCAATGTCCTTCCACTGCGCATTCTCGTCTTTCGTGTCGCGCGCCAGCAGGTTCTTGCCGTCTCCATCGACAATGGAGACGTGCATGTGGCCGCTGTTGCCGGGGAGACCCGCCTTGGGCTTGGCCATGAAGCAGGGCGTGATGCCGTGCTGTGTGCCGACGCTCTTGACCACGTACTTGAACAGACCCGCCCTGTCGGCCATGCTCGCAATCTCGCCAAACTCGAGCGCCGCCTCGAAGACGCCGGGGCCCGACTCGGTGTGCCACCCCTCAATGTCGCAGTGGAACTTTTGGCACGTGTTGAAGATGTCGTAAAAGTAGTCCTTGTTGTGGACCGGGCGGGTGAGGGAGTAGCCAAACATGCCCTCTGTCAAGGAGGGCAGCTGGTGCGGCGGGTTGTTCTGGAGGAAAGCGGCCGGCGAGGCACCTGAGTCGGGCGTGCGGAATTGGTAGAACTCGTACTCAGCTAAAGGGCACTTGTCAGTTATGGGCAATGACCTGGTGACTCTTGTGTGTATGGAACCCACCCCCGGCCATGGCGCCGTAGCCCTTGTCCTTCAGCTTGTCCAGCTGCATCCTCAGCATTCCCCTGGGACAGGCGTACAGCGGCTTCTGGGTGTCTGGGTCGTGGAAGGTGACGAGGAAGAAGGGGACATTGTCCTCCCAGGGTATCCTGCGGAAGCTGTCCAGGTCGGGGATGGCGAGGATGTCCCTGTACCCGTTCTGGGCGTTGGAGATGCCCAGCTCCTTGAGGTACGTCTGGTCGTGCATGTCCCAACCAAAGATGACGGAGCAGAACCCAAAGCCCGATTCCGCAATGGAGAGGAACTTTTTCTTGGACACGAGCTTGCCGCGGAGGATGCCGTCGACGTCGATGCCCGCGAGCTTGACGCACGTGTCGTCCTTGAGCATGGAGGGGAGTTGCTGGGCGGTGATCGTCATGATGGTTGGCAGTCGCGTGACTCGAGAGTGCGCAAATGAGGGACGGTGAAGACGAGTGAGAGCCGGGTTCAGCGAAAGAAGAGAAGAAAGACTGGACAAGGTCGTGCACTGGGACGAGCACCGTCGGAATGCGAGCCAGAGGGACGAGCGAGGAGCTGAGGGACGATGCGACGATGGGATGTGGGGATGAGGACGGACCTACGCACGTACGTACTCCAGCTGCTGCGACAGTGACAGAGGGCGGGGCAGGACTGGACCCAGGCGGCAGGGCCCAGGCAGCCCATGCGGGCCATGCAGCGATCTCGGTCAGGTGCAGGTATCGTGGCTACCAGGTGCTTCACCTACGTACGTATCTACGCCAGAGTCTAGCACAAATGGAATACGACTGTGCTTCGTGCGATAAGTGAGCCATGGCCTTGACAGTGCCCATCTTTTCTGTGTCCTTTCTGTCGCACTCGAGACGTTTCCCTCGCGGTCTCTCACCCACCCCACCAAAGTCAATTGACACCATCAGCTCCAACGCCAGGACCTCCACACTGAGCGACTCAGGCTGGGCTCAGCCATGTGTCGGATGTGTCCCGCCAACCAACGATAAGCCAGCAATCGAGCGACAGCGAGCACCTCGGCAGATAAGCGACGGTTGCGACGGCGCGCACCCGGCCGGCGTCCGGAAGCCGATTCTTCGGGGTCCCGAGTCCGCGGCGATATCGGAGTTGAAGCTGATGCACGCTCGCTCGCCCTGTGTCGCTTCGCTGTTTGAGCCGGTTGAGGGACGCGTGAATGATTTATGTTGCCGTCAGCGACACCTTTTCTGCCCTTGAATACACATAATTAACATCATTTCTGGAATCAACGCTCGCTCTGCATCGTGGCTCTACATTGTGCTGCTTCTGTATCCGTACTTGACCCCTTGAAGACAGCCCCACCAACCCACGCTAAGACGAGACGTCACTGCGGCTGCCCCGCGATAGGAGCTTCAGCCGTCTTCAACCCCGCGACAGCAACAATTATTATTACCTACTAAACAACCACCACCATCCACAGAGCTGAGCTCTAGTCAACCGTTCTTCTCCCATACCACCAACAAGATCCAAGACATCACAATGCCTTCCAACGGTCGTCTCGCAGGCAAGAATGCCGTCATCACCGGCGCCGCAGGGTGAGCACCTCCTCCATTTCTCGCGTCGCGCCGCGCCTCGTCCTACGCACCGCAGCTAACGCACTCCCACAGCGGCATCGGCCTCGAAACCTCCATCCTCTTCGCCAAGGAGGGCGCGTCCGTCCTCATGGCCGACATCTCGGAGCCCGCCCTCGAAAAGGCGCTAGCCAAGGTCAAGCAGCTCATCCCTGACGCGGCCGGCCAGATCGCCACGCAAAAGTGCGACGTCTCCAAGGAGGCCGACGTGCAGGCCCTCGTCGAGGCCGTCGACGCCTGGGGCGGCCTGGACGTCATGTTCAACAACGCCGGCATCATGCACGCCCAGGACGACGACGCCGTCAACACCCCCGAGGCCATCTGGGACCTGACCCAGAACATCAACGTCAAGGGCGTCTGGTTCGGCTGCAAGCACGCCGTCCTCTCCCTCCGCAAGCACAAGAAGAAGAACGCCTCCATCATCAACACGGCCTCCGTCGTCGCCCTCGTCGGCGCCGCCACTCCGCAGCTCGCCTACACGGCCTCCAAGGGCGCCGTCCTCGCCCTCACCCGCGAGCTCGCCATGGTCCACGCCCGCGAGGGCTTCCGCTTCAACAACCTCTGCCCCGCCCCGCTCAACACTCCGCTGCTGCAGGACTGGCTCGGCGACGACCAGCCCAAGCGCCAGAGGCGTGAGGTCCACTTCCCCATGGGTCGCTTCGGCGAGGCCGTCGAGCAGGCACAGGCTGTCCTCTTCCTCGCCAGCGACGAGAGCAGCTTCGTCAACGGACACGACTTTGCCGTCGACGGCGGCATGACAAAGGCCTACGTGACCCCCGAGGGCCCGGCCGCCCCGGCGCCTCAGAACAACGCCACCAAGGACTCGTTGTAGATAGGTGCGGTAGATTGAATGATGAACAACATTTGATTCCAAACTCCGGGTCATGCTCGCTCCTATATACAGCTACACATCCAACTGATGCCTAGTCAAACTGGCCCTCCGTGTTCCCCTCGCCCATCGACTTGCTGCTTGAGCTCCCGCTCTGAATGGCGCCCAGGATGCCGTCCATGTAGCTCGCGCCGCTCCACTTCTGATGCGTGAGCACGTCGCAGCCGAGCTCCTTCTCGCGCCGCTGCACCAGGTCGACGTACGCCTTCATGCCGCCCGTCTTGAACTCCTTGGCGAGCTCATTGGTGATGGTGGCGTTGGAGTGCAGGCCCGCCAGGGAGATGAGCTGCAGCACGAAGCCCTCCTTGGCAATGTCCCAGATGAACGACTTGAGCGTCTCCGGCGTGAAGCCATGCGCCATCCAGTTGAACGAGGGCGACAGGTTGTACACCAGGCCCTTGCCGGGATACACGTCCCTGACGGCACGACCGAGCTTGGCGGCCACCTCGACGTTGGGGTCGCCCGTCTCGACCCAGAGCAGGTCCGCGTAGGGTCCAAACGCCAGGGCACGCTTCGTCGCCGCCTCCATGCCGGCCTTGTAGTGGTAGAAGCCCTCACGCGTGCGCGGGACATCCCAGTTGAAGTACACGGGAGAGCCGGCGTAGTGGTTCGCCAGGCTCCGCCGCCTGGTGATGCCCATGTCGCGGTCCTTGGCGGTGGCGTCGAGGTACTCGTCAATCTTGGCCTGGGCCACATTCTGCTTCTTCATGTGCGCGACGGCCGCCTCGTCAAAGGTGACCAGCTTGGTGCTCTTGACCCACTTGGCCTCGAACATGTCAATCTCGGCGCCGGCCGCGCCCTTGGCCTCCATCGCCTGAATGGTCTCAGCGAGGGGCTCGATGGACGGGTCGCTGACGCCCAGGATGAACTCGTGGTCGCGGACGTCAATGGCCGAGGACAGCAGTTTGCCCGACTCGGAGTCTGTGCGGGCAATCACCAGGTTCTCGCAACCCATGACATCCCACTGGAACCGCGCGGCGTTGAGGCGGTTAATGTGCTCGCCGACGGGGACGAGGACCTTGCCCGCCAGGTGGCCGCACTTCTTGCCGCCGTGGAGCTGATCCTCAAAGTGCACGGCCGCCGCGCCGTGCTCGGCAAAGAGCTTGGCGAGCTTGAGGACGGCGGACAGCCCACCGTGGCCAGTGTCGCCGTCCGCGATGATGGGGCGCAGGTAGTCGACGTAGGGGGTCTTGGCGCGCTCCTCGGACGACATCTTGCGGCGCGTGTCCCACTGCTTGCGGTCGTGCATGCTCTGCGCCTTGGCCAGGCGCTGGACCTGGTTCGGCACCGTGTTGTAGGGGTAGTCGCCAAAGTCCGGGCTGACCTCGTTGGTGCTGGTCAGGAGGGACGAGCAGGCCCAGCCCGAGATGTAGAGGACTTCCTGGTGAGGTGCCTGCTGCGTCATTTGGACGGGGTCGATTGCGCCCACTGCGTCTTGTTAGTGCCCTGTTGCTCATGGGGGGGTGTGTGTGTGTCACGTACTGGTGTGGACGGGCTGGCCCTTGGCCTCGCGCTCCTTGAGCAGGTCAAAGAGCTTCCTCGCCATGACGGAGCTTGGGTACTTGATCTGCTGGGTGCCCCTTTTGCTGACAACGTCTGCCGCGCTGTATGGTCTCTTGATGTCCTTATAGCGAGCGGATGCCCACCAGGCCTCGACCTCCTTGATCTGGGATTCGTACAGATCATCTTCGGCAGACCCTGCCTTCTGGGACTCGGGCAGCAGCTGAAAGGCGTCGGCTGCGCTGGTCGAGGCCGAGAAGGGGTTGGAGGACTGGGCCATGCGGGCGGTGGTCGATATGGTCCGCAGAAACGTGGCGCGAGAGGTCGTGGTAGCGGGTGTCGACGCTCGCGCTGAGGTTGCCACACGGCGCGACGAGCGAGCAGCTATGCGGTGCATGATGATTGTCTGTCTGATGGTGTCGAAGACTTGGGAGGGAAGAAGAGAAAAGGTTCCAAGAATTTCTCGACACAAGCAGTGACAAACCACTCTTTGCAACCGGAGCACCGAGCTAAACTGCGAGCATAGGCCGACAGCGGCTGGCGTCGCTTGGATGGATGGATGGATGGATGGATGGATTGCTGGATGGGCGGGTTGTGCGGGTTGTGCGGGATAGGCCAGTCGCGAGTGACGACCACTGACCAGAAAACGAGTGACCTTGGTTAAGCGGTAAAGCATTGCCGAGCAGCAAGTCACGGAATTGGCCAATCACCAGCCGCGCTACCCCTCACGATGGGGGCCCGTGTGGCCGAGGACTGCGGCTTTCCTCGGCTGTTCTGGCTGGCTGCCTGCCTGCCTGTCTGTCGCATGCTCTCACCAACCAGGACCGGCAATTCTGGCTGCGGTCTAAATTCTATTCTGTGTGCGATTGAAATTCTTCACCTCCTTCTCCTTCTCGATATCATCACGCTGGACGTAGAGGTGCGTGTCAGATCAAGCCTCACCAACAAGATAAGGGACCCACCAGCCTCCAGACTCGATCCCCAAACCCCGCCAAATCATCCACTACCCCAGCTTCAGTCTGGACACTGAGCACCAAAGAGAATCGTCACAATGGCCATGAACATGCGTGCGTCTTCGCGCGCCTTCAGCGCCCTCAAGGTATGCAATTGAGATTTTCGACGACACCGCGATCGCAGCTAACAGCAATCCAGGGCGTCCGCTGCTACTCCACAGCTGAGCCCGATCTCAAGACTGTCCTCAAGGCGGCCATTCCCGCCAAGCGCGAGCTCTTGAAAAAGGTCAAGGCCCACGGCGACAAGAAGATTGGCGACGTCAAGGTCGAGAATACCCTCGGCGGCATGCGCGGCCTCAAGGCCATGGTCTGGGAGGGCTCTGTCCTCGACGCCAACGAGGGCATCCGCTTCCACGGACGCACCATCAAGGACTGCCAGCGCGAGCTGCCAAAGGGCAAGACCGGCACCGAGATGCTCCCCGAGGCCATGTTCTGGCTTCTCCTCACCGGCCAGGTCCCCAGCACCAACCAGGTCCGCGCTTTCAGTCGCGAGCTGGCCGAGAAGGCCAAGATCCCTGCCTTTGTCTCCAAGATGCTCGACGACTTCCCCGTCGACCTCCACCCCATGACCCAGTTCGCCATGGCCGTCTCCGCCCTCAACTACAACTCAAAGTTCGCAAAGGCCTACGAGGCCGGCCTCAACAAGGCCGACTACTGGGAACCCACCTTTGACGACTGCATCGAGCTGCTCGCCAAGCTGCCCACCATCGCCGCCAAGATCTACCAGAACTCCTACCGCGGCGGAGGCGCCCTCCCCGCCGAGGTCGACCTCGAGCAAGACTGGTCCTACAACTTTGCCGCCATGCTCGGCAAGTCCGGCAAGGAGAATGAGAACTTCCAGGACCTGCTCCGCCTCTACCTCGCCCTGCACGGCGACCACGAGGGCGGCAACGTCTCTGCCCACGCCACCCACCTCGTCGGCAGCGCCCTCTCCGACCCCTTCCTCTCCTACTCGGCCGGCCTCCAGGGCCTCGCCGGGCCCCTCCACGGTCTCGCCGCCCAGGAGGTCCTCCGCTGGATCCTCCAGATGAAGGACGCCATCCCCGCCTCCTACACCGAGGACGACGTCCACAACTACCTCTGGTCCACCCTCAACTCCGGCCGCGTCGTCCCCGGTTACGGCCACGCCGTCCTCCGCAAGCCCGACCCCCGCTTCGAGGCCCTCATGGACTACGCGGCTGCCCGCCCCGAGATCGCCAACGACCCCGTCTTCCAGCTCGTCGAGAAGAACTCCCGCATCGCCCCCGAGGTCCTCAAGAAACACGGCAAGACAAAGAACCCCTACCCCAACGTCGACTCCTCCTCCGGCGTCCTCTTCCACCACTACGGTTTCCACGAGACCCTCTACTACACCGCCACCTTTGGTGTCTCGCGTGGTCTGGGGCCCCTGGCCCAGCTCATCTGGGACCGCGCCCTGGGCTTGCCCATTGAGAGGCCCAAGAGCATCAACCTCGAGGGTCTCCTGAAGCAGGTCGAGGGGCAGTAAAGGACTGTAATGTAGATAGTAGCGTCGCTCGCGTCAATAGACCAAAAATGTCATCACCCGTGTCTTTGCTCTCTTCTTGACTTGGCGAAACTGACTGAACTTGGTCACGTCAACTTCAATCTTGCGTTGCCCTCTTCGCTCAGACGATCATCTATCTCGACCGAAAGGTCTTTCGTAGTTTAGGTGCACATGCCCATCACATGAACAGATTCAACGTCGAAACGAACGGTATGTCTATCACTATCGTGTATCAACCCAAGAAGAGTGGGATTCTAGAAAATCGCGGAACCACGCCCTGCAAAAGAAAAGAGTACCTATAAAACGAAGGACGTGCGCAGACCATCGGGGGCACCGTCATGTGCTCCCTACATACACCATACACCACACCGAGATCGAATCGACCTGTTGCGCGCTAACTGAGTAAATACACTACGCCGAAATAACGATGCGACCCAGGCTCGGCTCTTGGAGCTAGAGCTTTGAGGCTGGGGATGAAATCCAAAATACATGCCAGATCAGTCACGGACCAACCCGACTACTCACTACTGCCTGTACCCGCCAGGCCCTGGGCTGCGCCGCGGTTGACTGAAGCCAGAATGGCCACTGAAGCTTCGCTGGGATGGAGACATGGGCGAAGGGCCAGGGCTCTGCACACGGCTGTTGCCGTACGCATTAGCGTCGCTAAAGGGCGAGTCGTGCTGCATCCGGGAAGCACCATAGGCCTGCTGAGGCCCGGGGGATCCAGGTGACCGCATCATCCCAGGGCTCGGCGAGCGCACAGTGCCGACCGGAGGCGGTGGTGAGGCGAAGCCGCCGTGCGCACTGCGCGCATCGTGGAAAGAACTCTGAGTCGGAGAGCGCATCGCAGCGCCGGCACCAACAGCCGCAGCACCGACATAGGCAGTCGACTCGTTGCTTGGGACACTGTAGTAGTTGGCGCCCGCTAGGCCAGTGCTCTTCATCTCATGGGCATCGTACTCGGTGGCCCTCTCTGCAAAGTCGTCGGTCTGGATGCCCATCTTGCTGTACCTGTTGATGCTTCGGTCCGTCTCCGACGCCTGGAGAGCCGACCGAGCTTCCTGCGCGCCACGACGACGCTGCTTGATGCAGAAGAAGACGAGGGCGACGATGGCGATGGCACCGACGGCAGCGCCTCCTGCGTAGACGCTGATCTTGGCCGCCTGGGGCAGTTCGTTGAACTTCTCGCTGATCGACTTGGACTCGCTAGGCTTCTGATTCAGTGCCTCGTACGCAGTCGAGTTGCCCTTGACAATCTCGATGCTTTCCCACGTTCCAGACTTGTCACCATAGACGTATTCCTTGCCGGTGCTAAAGTCCTCAATGTATGCATCCTTGACATACATGGTGAATGGACCCTCATCGAAATTGGTATCACCGCCGGCCCATTTGCGAGTCCACTCGTTCATGGAAGGGTCGCCACCAGCCCAGATGCCCAGGGACACGCGCATGGGTGTCTGGGGGTAGACGTCGGTGTCGTTGACTTTGGCGTCCTCGTGCTTGACTGTCCGGACAATCTTCTCATCGATGTAAAAGTCCATCTTCTCCGCTGTCCACACAGTCGTGTAGTTGTGGTAATCATCGTGGCACGACGTGTCCATGTCATGGTACTCGCCGTTTTCGTAGTTCAGGACGTGTTTTCCGAAGAAGTTTGTAGACGCTCGGTCGTCTGTGCCTGTGAACTCCCAGTCTATTTCGTCCAGGTTGTCGCTGAGCATCATCATGGAGCTGACAATGCCCCGTCCTGTGGCCGCCTTGAGCGAGAAGCTAAGGCGGCCGAAGAAGAAGTAGAAATTGGTTTCAAGGGTGGGAGAGTCACCTTGCTTGTTGATGGTGAACTCTGCTCCCTTCTCCTTGTCGTAGGTAATGGGTCCTACTTTGGTGCGCCAGAGATCGCTGCTGGGTGTCTGATTGAAGTTCCACATGTGCGATGTGCCAAAAGCAGGATCAGGCTTGCAATCGGTCTCGTTCATCGGGTTGCAGTCCGTCGTGACCTGCGCAGTCGCCAGCCCGAGGAGGGCGGCGCCGGAGAGCAGACTTCGCCAAAGCATGGTGATTTCCAACGTTTGTGCTCGAAACAAAGAATTGGCGCCTGTTGTCGAAAATTTGCCTCCTGTCGAAAAAGGCTGCTCGCGGATCAATCCAGGAGGTTGTTCAGGAGAACGCGGTCGTTAGGTCTAAGGAATGTATGTCGTCGCGTGTCGAAAAGAGTGACGATGTCGCTTGTCGAAGGGATTGTGATGGTGGGGAGGCCAGACTCGGAACGCAACAGTGTCGAAAAGAATGACTCGTGGCTGCAATGTCTTGGTCTTGTTCCAGGTTCGATCGTGATTCATCTAAGGAATGACTGGGGTGAAAGATCGAGAGTCCTCCACTGGCACCTTCGTGGGCAGGGTGGCGGCTTTGAGGTATTGGATGGTTGAGGATTTGACTAACAAAGGGGAGAAGTTCCTACGGGGCATGTTGGACTCGATTCCGGGCCATCTCTCGCCGCCCTGCAATCCTTTCCAAGAGGGAGCCGAGCCCGATCGACATCATTTCGCAGGAACGGAGTCTTGAACGGTACAACTTATCGCTAGACGCAATTTCCCCTTCTCCTCAGGATGAAAGCTTGGCATAAGAACCTTATCGCCATTGGTCGATTCAGAAGCTGCTAGCGCGTGATTGGTTATAGCCTGGCTAGTCCAGGGGTAGACCCCCATTTATGCACTGCACGGGCCATGCTATTCGGGCTTGGCGACTTCCAGGTTTTGAAGCTGCGGCAGTGCGGATGCTGCTGAAGAATTGCCGACATGTATGGAGTAATGGTGAATGCTACGTATGGCATCTATCAATTGACGAATTCTTGATGTCACACAACACATGAACATTATTGCATACATTCAAAAAGATCATGTAATTCACAAAACGCTACAAATAGAAGAACTCCATGCTCACGGCGCTGCCGCCGACCATCCTTTCGATAGTGTAGGGTATCCAAATTTAACCGTGGCCTACAACCGTTAGCGCAATCTGGTAGGGTGAATGTCCGGAGATAATACTCACGTCCAAGGCCCTTTCCGCGCTTCGAAATGTCCTTTGCATGATGCTGCTTCACCTTGGCTCTTCTGGCGTCCTCCCTGGCTTCCTCCTCGAGAATCTTCACCTGCGCCCTTGCGTCCCTGACCCTCAGCCTGGCGGCTTCGAGTGCGCGGTCAGCTTCAATCTCGGCCTGCTCGGCACTCTCCACCTGCTCCCGCGCGTTGACGATACTGGGGTCGACGTTGGAGTCGCGACCAAACTTGCTCAACAGGCCACTGTTGGTCTTGGAGTGACGGCTGTGGTTCATGGAGTGGCGGCCGGACGAGGACATGCTGGACCGGCTGGACATGGAGTGACGGCCAGCAGCAGGAGGAGGCGAGGGGGAAGATCCGCGGCGGTTGAACAGGCCATGCTTCTTGGGAGGCTCGTGGGTGATGGGAGCCGGCTCGGGCTCACTGCGGTGGAAGAGACCCTTACGAGGCGCAGGCTCTGGCACCGGCTCGGGCTGAGTGGCATGACGGGAGTTTCCGAAGAACGGCATTGTGAGTGTTTGCTGTAGTACACAGAGTAAATGACTGGTTGTTTGTGTGGTTGAGTAATTATTCTGGGGTCGAGGGTGGCGGCGATGCTTGGCCTTTACATAGTCCCATCCGATGCGGACACGCTTTACAATATTCCTTCGCTTCCATCATTGTACTCACACGACCACGTATCCAAAATCGACCAGAATGCAGCGGTAAACCTGTTTGCCCCCAGTCGATGAGCGCTCAAGGGTCCAAGGTGTCTGATTTCAGATGGCACTGTTGGGTCGCCCCCCTTGCGCTGACGTCAATTCTCCGGTGGTGGTGCGCCGCCTGCCGTGGGGTTGAGCCAATCGCTGGGGATGATGACGGAGGACCCTGGGAATCATTCAACGTCAGCGGCACGCAGGGTCTCGAGTGAAGGAATTCGAATATGATTTATTATTCTTGGCCAGCATAATAGGTATTCGCAGGGATCACATTGGGTGTGGAGGCCTCTGAGCTCGCGGGAGGTGGGAGACACTGACCGTCATTTGATCGGGAAACGGTCACGTTCGTGTTTGATACTACGTACGTCGATGCCACGATACTACCTACCTTAGGTAGCATATCTCAACCACGTGCGAGATAGGAAGCGTTGTCAACTTAACACGCTTTTCGTAAGCAGCGAAAGACAAGCTCTGACATCACGGCTCTGGAAACCGTAAGTTAGACTGCTGTTTGAAGGGTTGCGAGCACGGGGTTTCGTCCCGAGGCACCGCGTGCTGTCCTCAAGGGACCAGTGTCCTGAAAGTAGGCTCATGAATGCTGGGGTTGCTCGATATCTATGACGGTGATGGAAGCAGATTTAATTAGAAGACTTAGCTAAAATACGAACGAAGCAAGAACCGAAACTGCACTAAATCGCGACAGGGCTTGTAGAAGTTCGACTTGCCTTCCGCATAGTCTTGGTATGAGCTTGTTGATGGGACGCAGTTTGTATGCCCACGTTTTCGTTTTCCACGCCCGTGAGCAAATAACGCACCGCTGGCCCTGTGCCCGATGCCTTGTCGGCGGGACAAATATATACTTGTGAATGAGGAGATTGTCGCGAAGTTGAAAAAATTAGAGCAAGCGTGGGGAGGAGTATCGAGACAAAAATCTGATGATGAGTCGTGTGTCGCGTTCGCTGGTAAGTCGCGCTGGGGAATCGCTGTCTTTCTTGCTTTGCTTTCGGGCTTGCCCTTTTGGTTGCGTTGGGAGTCCCAGGCCGAGTCGAGAGCGTTTCGCGTCTACATGATGACGCACTTGCTCTCTTCCCTGTCCTTCTTCACGCTCAATGCAACGCGAGCCGCCTCTGTGAAGGCCTCGTTCACTCCACGATTGCGCATGGCCGAGCATTCCAGATAGCGCAGGGCGCCTATGCGTCGCGCCACCTCGAGACCTTGGTCGTAGCTGATTGTCGGCTTCTTCTCGAGCGGTTGGCCGTCCGCGCCCGTGGGTGCTGTCGCCTCTTCATCGTCCTCGTTCCCTTGCTCCCGGAGATCGCACTTTAAAGCGACGAGCACAAGTTTCACGCCGGGGCAGTTGTCGGCAATCTCGCCCACCCATTTCGACTCGACGTTTTCGAGAGAGTCTTTGCTATCGACGGAGAAACAAAGCATGATCAGGTCCGTGTCATCTAAGAACCGTTAAGTTGCGCCCTCGCCTGGTGATTGTGGACGGGCTGTCGTACCGTAGGATAGTGACCGTAATCGGTCGAATTCCTCCTGACCGGCTGTGTCCCATAGTGAGAGTTCAATGTGTACATTATCAACAAAGATATCTGGGGTTTGTCAGAAGAAGCCTCGTGGCGCGATGATTGTTGTGGCGTACCGTGGACGTAATTCTCGAAAACCGTCGGTTCGTATACAGTGGGAAAGTACCTGTGCAGCTTAGCGAGTAGTCCCAAAGACCATCGACATGCGGCTTACCCTCGCGTAAACACGTTCAGCAGCGATGTTTTGCCGCTTGCGCCGTCACCCCTATAAACAAGTCAACCAAAGGTCACTTCTACAAGCTCGGAGCATACGCACAGCAAGACGAGCTTGCGGTTGACGGTCTTAGATCCACCACAAAGAGGCATCGTGTCGCCTGCGCAATGCGTTCTGGCAAATAATGGTTGGCGGAAGGATCGTCCGTTGTGGAAGGTTGGGACTATGGATCTGTCGGAGCAATGTCGTGATCGATATGAGACCAAGCCTGGTGTGAACGATTGTCGTGTCGCTGAGGGCGAGGGCAGAGAAATAATGGCATGTACTGTGATCGCAAGGTAGGCTCGGATACGGCGACTATCGCATCGGTTCAAAGGACGAAGGCCAAAGCTGGGAAGAATTGGAAGATGCGGCAGGAGAACGGGAGTTGAAATGAGCAGCGCCGTCGCGCTCATACCATGGCCCCAAAGCCGGGGGCGGGAGGCTGCTCGAGCCAATCAAATAAGGTTCTGGACCGTCGCCCGCAAGGGTGCGGGACTTTGATGCTCCACCACTGTGTGCTAATCTTGTGTTAGTGTCAGTAGTGTGCCATTGGGAAGGACGCTAACAGTGGGTTTAGATCATGAGTAGCCTTCCTGGCTCTGGGGCTGTCCTACCTGGTACTAATTAATGATCTGTCTAGCAGACGCTGTATCATCAGACGATCTTGAAAACTTGTGTTTGAATTCGGGCCCCGCGCGGACGCGTGCGGATCGTGTAGATTGGGTTGCGTCTGCAGGTGCCCCTTGCTCTAGTCCTGCACCGGTGAGACATTGGATTGCACTTCTTCGGTCAAGTCAATCATGTGTAAGAGAACAGGCTTTGGTAGAAATTAGCAATCTGGGTATCATTTGTGAGCTATATTTGGTGTCTGCTAAAATCAAAGAGAAACTTGAGCCAATCTAGCAGGACTCGACGCACAATCGCCATCGTGATTAGTCCTCATCCCTTTCAATCCCTTGTCTGCCTCTGCCAACGCGATCAGCCAGATTCAAATTGCCGGCCTGCTTATGAAGACCGTTGACAAAACCTCGATCGCCGCCTCGTTCGCGACCACGAGCATCTTGCTCCCGTGCTTGCCGCTCGCGCTCTTCTATGGCTGCGAGGCGCTGCACCCTGTCCTGGTCGAGGTCTGTGGCTGCGGACTGCATGGCGGCGAGCTTTTGTGCGCGCTCAGCCTCCTTGTCTGCGGTGTCGGCATCTGGTTGACGGGATCCGTTGTGACGATGCCCGTTTCGTGCCTGGCCATGTTGCGACCCTTTGCTCAAGTCTTGTCGTCGGCGGTCCGATCGCTCTGGTGTAGGCGATGTCCTACTTGGTCGATGGTCACCTCCGCGTCGGCCACGTTGATCATCATGGCGATGAGAGCGCCTGTCGTCCTCTGGAGACGATGAGTTGCGATGGGATCGATTGGTTCCCCTGCTGGACCGCCCCCTATCCTCATGTCGGCCACGACGGTCCCGGTCCGGGCTCCTAGTCTCACGCTCATCGCGGTATCTTCGGCTGCTTCCATGGTCGTCGTGGCGATCTCTGTGCCGAGAGCTCCGACCATCGGGACGATCCCTTCCCCTGCTTCTATGTGCGCGCTCCTCGCTTGAGTCATCACCCCGTCGGGGGCTTCGCGATCGAGAATAAGATCGTCGGCGTCGTCGCCGGTCTCTGTCCTGATCCGAATCAGCACTTCGGTGCCGATGCCTGCGATGCCGCCTCTCTTCCTTCCGTCGGGATCTGTCTTCTTTGTTTTTCTTGTCGCCATCGCCCATTCCCATCGCAGAAAGCAGCTGCTTGCGTCTGGCCGGATCGTTCATCATAGCTTCGTAGGCAGCCTGCTCCTGTCGTTTCATCGCGAGTAGAGGGTCATCGCGGATCTTGGAGGCGGTGTCTCGTGCAGTGTTTGCGTGTTGTAGGGCCATGAAGCTGTCTTCACCAGCCTGTTTTTCCAGCTTCTTGTGGTCGGTGCCCTTGATCAGATTGTCGATGCGTCGTTTGCCCAGCAGGTAGGCTTCGGTCTCCTCTGTGGTTCCAGCCTGTCCATCGGTTGGGCCTTCGTACATCCAGTCAACTCTGTCGATGCGCTTCTTCCCTCCAGCAGCCTCGAGTTGGCGTTGCAGTTCCTCCTTCTCGCGCTCCTCCTTGATCTCATTCAGGCGCTGTTGCGTGCGCTTGCGCTCTGCAAGGGCCTTTTGCTCCTCATCGTAGACGGCGGCTTGGTTGCGCCGCAGTCCTGGATGGAAGGACTTTTTGAGGTTGAGATCGCCGCCTCCCATGATGAATGTGTGTTGCTGGCGGCTTTGTGGTGCTTTGCGAAAGTTGCAGTGAAGGCTGGAAGGTTGGGAATTTCGGGCGGGACCGCTGCCTCTGACGTTGCTGCAAGGCCGTGTTGCTACGGAAAGGTCACGTGACACAATGCCATAACAATTCATGCAGCGATTTCTTAAGCGAACTTGGGACAAAACTTGTGAGTTTGTCAGAGGAGCAGATTCATTTCCTTTTTGCGTGTCAATTCTAACCCACGCTGAACTGGCTGGGTGTGGAAAAAGTCCACCCAACGATGCTTGAAAGGTGCTAAACAGATCCATCTCGTCCGTCCATTCCGTAGCCCATCCTGGAAGCATCCGGCCGTTCTAGAAGCCACGAGGGCGTCGGCTGTATTTTAGAGAACGCCGTGCAATAATAGACGCGCGTCTTTCGTGTCGATTCGTCCAGTGCTGGTGGAAGAACTGTCGCTCCCCAAATGTCGTGTACACCGTACCGCACGCATCTGCTCCGAAATATGGCATGAGGGTGTTACAATCGCGCGTATCGTACAATAGATATACAGGTCTCGCATACTATCGTTCTACCAGGACGCCCTCTTCACACCAGGGAGAACTCCGGCCATGGCCTGCATGCGAAAGTTGAACTGGGAAAGTTAGCCCTTGGCCCTGAACCACCGGCAGCGCATTTCCTTACGCGAGACATCTTGAAGTCGCGGAAGACACCACGGGTGTGGCCTCCAATGGTACATCGGTTGCGGATCTGGGTTGGTCGGGTGTAGTTGCTCATCTGCTGCAGCTGGAGCTGGGCCTCGGCGCGCGCTCTCGCCGGGAGACTCGTATTTCGGATAACATAACGCAGTGCTTGCCTGACAAACATTATTAGTTGTGGCCGTTGGCGTCGATCAAGGATCCCTTTACCTTTCTGCTTCATGCTGCTCGAACACCAGTCGCTTCGTATGATCGCGGACCGTCCGCGAGCCGACGAAGCAGCCAATGTCCAGCGTCTTCTTCCTCCAATGCGACATGACTGCGGGTTTGTGTGTCTGGGCGGAAGCAATGTCGATGATGATGATGTCGGCTCGCGCGCGAGGAAAGGATGCTGCGAAAAAGAGATGCCGAAGCTCTGCCGTAGGTTCGTCGACTGCGGGTACGTATTCCGCCCTCTACCCACCACGGCCTTGTGCCACCAATTAACATCAAGTAAGACAGTACCTAATTACAGGTAGAGGATGGTAGGCTTTTCAGGTACATCTGAGGTTAACAGAGCCGCAGAGCGGCGAGCCCCTGGGCCTGGGGTTGTCGATCTTGTTAGCCGCTGGTCTCGACGCCTCCGGGCAGTCGTCCCTTTTGCCCGCCCTCTAATTATTCCGTCCTTCTTCTTTTTTATTGTGTCGTTTTACTTGCTTTTGGTTGCGGGTTCTCCTTTCCACCTTTTATACATTGCATCAATATGATCCCTGCTTTTTGAATCGCACCTTGATCTACTTTGCTCGAGCTTCGCACCACGCCGAGGTCTGGCGTGTGTCCCACCTCACGCGCCTTTCCGATCGCAACCATGGACGAATCCAAGCGAGGGTTCCTCAGTCCGTCTCACCGCCCAAGAGACTCCGAATCCGATCTCGGCAGTCCAGATTTCCTCGACAAGAACAAGTCTCCAGGCAAGACCTCCCGAGCGTACGCCACGCCGAAATCGAGAATAGTCTGCAGGCCCATGTCCGGACGACCGAGCATTCGCGTACTGTTGATTGGCTTGGCTGCGATTGTCTTTCTACTAGTAGGAGGCGGAGGCTTCACATATCGCATTTCTGGTTCAAGGGACGGGCAATCGCCGCCATGGTATCCAAGTCCCAAGGGTGGTACGGCGAAGAAGTGGGCTGCCAGCTATCAGAAGGCAGCCCAGCTGGTCTCGAAGATGACGCTGCCCGAAAAAGTCAACGTGACGACGGGGACGGGTTGGAGCATGGGTTTGGCAGTTGGGAACACAGGACCTGCCAACAATGTCGGCTTTCCTGGACTGGCACTGCAAGACGGACCCTTGGGGATCAGAATGGCGGATAATATCACAGCCTTCCCTGCAGGCATTTCCGTTGGCGCCACGTTCAACAAGAAGTTGATGTACGAGCGAGGCAAGGCTCATGGAATTGAGGCTCGCCAGAAAGGGATCAACGTGATCCTGGGTCCTTCTGTCGGACCTATTGGCCGAATGCCAGCTGGCGGGCGCAACTGGGAAGGATTTGGCTCGGATCCCTATCTCCAGGGCATCGCATGCGCGGAAACCATCAAAGGGATCCAGGACCAGCACGTCATGGCCACCATCAAGCATTTTGTCGGCAACGAGCAGGAGCACTTTCGTCAGGCCTGGGAATGGGGTCTGCCGAACGCCATATCGAGCAACATTGACGACCGAACCATGCACGAAATCTACGCATGGCCCTTTGGCGACGCTGTAAAAGCCGGCGTGGCCAGCGTAATGTGCTCTTACAACCAGGTTAACAACTCGTATGCCTGTGGTAACTCGAAGCTCTTGAACGGCATTTTGAAGGATGAGCTTGGTTTCCAAGGATTTGTCATGTCAGACTGGCTGGCGCAGCGTTCAGGAGTCGCCAGTGCACTGGCAGGCCTGGATATGACCATGCCTGGTGATGGTCTGGGGTGGGCAGACGGCAAGTCCCTGTGGGGACCGAAGCTGTCTCAAGCTGTCTTGAACGGGTCTCTGCCGCTTGACCGACTTGACGATATGGTTACACGGATCGTTGCATCGTGGTACCAGCTTGGCCAGGACAACCGCACTCTTTTCGACGCGACTGGTCCCAACTTCTCTTCTTTCACGGACGAGAAGATGGGGGTCATGGCACCTGGCAGCCCGACAGAGCAAAGTCTTGTTGAAGTCAACAAGTTTGTGGACGTCCAGGCTGACCACGCCAAGATTGCTCGGGAGATTGCCATCGAGTCCATTGTCATGCTGAAGAACGAGAGGGATTGGCTCCCGATGAGTCGCAACGCCGAGTTTGGTGTAGACCGAAATCCGTGGAAGAACAAGAAACTCAAGGTTGGCATTTTCGGCGAAGACGCTGGACCTGGCGAGGGCCCCAACGCTTGTCCCGACAGGGGCTGCAACCAAGGTACCCTGGCTATGGGATGGGGCTCAGGAGCAGTTGAATTGCCATACCTGATCACACCCGCTGAGGCATTGGAAAAAGGCTTCAACGCTAGCAGGGTCGAGGTCACCAAGTATCTTGCGAATGATCTCCCCGGGCTGGAGGAGTCTCGTGCCTTGGAAGGTCGAGACGTCTGCATCGTGTTCGCCAACTCGGATGCCGGCGAGGGCTTCGTGTCTTGGAACGGGATCAAGGGAGATCGCAACGATCTGAGACTGCAAAAGGGCGGAGACGAGCTCATCCTGGAAGTGGCCGACAATTGCGGCGGTGGCAAGGGCAAGACCATTGTTGTTTACCATGCCGTGGGGCCTGTGTTAGTCGACAAATGGATCAACCACAAGAAGATCAAGGCCGTCTTCGCTGCTCACCTGCCTGGCCAGGAGAGCGGAAATGCCATTGCTAGCATCATCTTTGGCGACGAGAGCCCAAGCGGCAAGTTGCCATATACCATTGCGAAACGTGCTGAGGACTATGGCGACGGAGGCCAGGTCATGTACACCCCGAACGATGTGGTTCCCCAGCAAGACTTCACAGAGGGCATTTACATCGACTACCGCTGGCTCAACAGAGACGGTCTGTTTCCGGTGGATCCGCAGTTCTCTTTTGCCTACGGTCTGCAGTACACTGGTTTCTCGATGGACAACATTCAGCTGGAGGTGAAGAAGCCTAAATCCGCCTTTCCTGCTCCGCGACCAGCCCCCGGTGCCAGACCCCCGGTGTACAACGGCACGATGCCCGCCGTCGAGGAGGCCTTGTGGCCTAAAGACATTCGTCGCCTGGACAAGTACATTTACCCATATATCGATTCCGCATCTGATATTCGACACGGGCACTACCCTTACCCCGAAGGCTACGATACTGAGCAGCCCTTGTCTGGCGCTGGTGGCGACGAGGGTGGCAATCCTGATCTGTGGGAGACATATGCTGTGATCAGTATCGACATGCGCAACTCCGGCAAGTTTCCAGCCAAAGCCGTGCCACAGCTTTGGCTATCATACCCGCCAAACTCTGAGGCTACGGTGGACTTTCCCAAGCGCGTGCTGAGAGGGTTCGAGAAGTTTTATCTCAAACCCGGGCAGTCAAAGACGGTGAAGTTCCCCGTGACGAGGCGTGATCTGAGTTACTGGAACGTGGAGGAGCAGAATTGGATGATGTTGACCAAAGGCAACTACATATTTAGCGTGGGATTGGATGAGAGAACCCCCGTTCGCCAGATACTATGGTAAGGCGCTGTAGGATGATATTAAATGCGAAATCAGTTTGATACCTTTTGCTCCGAGCGCCCGATGCGTTCTGTCTTATTTCGTACGACCCCCGAAAACGAGGTGGCCGTTGCCATCTTTGTCGCTCGATGGGCGCCTGTGTCAGAAAAGATTCTCCATCTATAGACTCCCCGCCACTCTATTGCGGTCGATGTTGGTATGTGTGCCGAACGCCAGCGTGAACCAGAAACACGCGATGCGCGACAGCTAAGTCTGGAGACGTAGACCAGCAGGCAGACGGACAGACTACAAAGAGCCCATCTTGCAGCAGGACAAGGTCCGTGGCTGCGTCACATCATTCACACCTCGTTGCACGATGACGGCCAGACAAGGTGGAAGTATGTGGTTCATAAATTATTTGCGCAAGCGCGTGCGTTAGCTTGCGACTGAGTCTTTGTGGTCGGCAAATTGCCCCATGTGCGCCTAGACGTGCCTCGTCCTTCCCGAAATGACTCGCTTCAATGTGTGTGAGAGTAGCCTTGAAGCCTGTGTGTGTGAGTATGCATGTGCTGACTCTGGTCTAATTAAGAGAGAGCAACACGCTCACGGCAGCCCGACGCGCTTTGCGAACAGAAGGCCGCAGACATTGCACAGCGTGCCCGGTCCCTCGGGTCCCGAGCGCCATTGCGGCGTGGACTTTGTATGACATTCGTGACAGACGAAGCGATGCTTTTGCGGTTTCTGTGCCGATGGGCATGAGTACGTTGCCTGAAACTGACAGAGCACAAACGTCCTAATTACCTGAGTCACATATTTGCGTCGCGATGAGCGCGGTTCTAGGATGCCAGCTTTCAAGGCCTTTAATGTAGTTGTATACCCGTTACTGGGCGTAGATTCTGATGTATAAGGGGTTGTCGCTTCCCTCCGGTCGTCAGGGGTGGTATTGTTGCTGTCGGTACCGCTGCTGGTGGACTCGTTGCGAGACGGTGCCCATGGGTCGTGTGGGCTGCGTTCACTCCAGCCGGTACCGCTGACATTGACGAATGTCGTATCGTGATTCAGAGCATGGTGCGCCATGGCAATCGAGATTATGAATGAGTGGTTGCAAACGAAGTAAATCCAGAGATCACGATCCGGGATGGGGGCAGAGGACAAAGAAGAACGATGCTGGGAAGCAGGGCACTGCGTGACGAAATGCGGTCGGTCGTGGGTGTGAGCCTCCGTCCTCTGATATCCAGGGACTTCCAGGGACCTGGCGATCGGCAGCTCCAGGTTGACACCACAGATCGAGACCTGGCCACAGGGGGCGGCGGCGAGATCCGTTAAGACTAATGTTTGGAAGACCCCTAAGATCGTCAACTCTTACGTACGTAGCTGTAGCACAATGCTGGATTTTCTTCTGAAATTTTGCCGTGTAAATTGCGTGAATCGCGACTATTCACGATGGCATCACTCTCAGCAGATGCCTTTATCTGTCACTCTCCCGGGATGACGTAGTTCCCGCACAAGCAAGAAATTCCTTGAAAAGAGGGAAGTGGATCGAGTCCTTCAAGCCAAGTGCGTGCTCCACAGATTAGCATCCGTCGCTCAGCCACGACGAATGCGTCCGACGGCTTGCTCTCTGTGGCTGAAGATTAAATTGAGGCTCAGGCACTTGAGCCGCACTTCCCCTGAAGCGGGTTTCGGGGGATGGATTTCGGAACGCCGAGCATCACAAAGGGCAGAACCGGCAATTTTATTCCGGACAGCGTCGCATGAGATTGCATAACTGTGCACAATTCGATCCGGCTCAGTGGCATCCGGGGTGGGCGTATTATTTTGCCTGTCGGGGCTATTTGCCTTGGCCGGGGAAATGGATCTCCATCTCGTGGGGTCCCTGAACACCAGCACTTTTCGACAAAACCACACTTGCCAATCGGCTCTTGGTCGCAAACTTATAGGAAGCTTCTCTGCGGTCCAAGGAAAGGTAATATGAGGTTTGGAAGACTATATTCTTCACCATGATTGGAGGGCCCTAAGGTGAACATTGACCCCTAGTCAGTTGCAAGCCAACATTGATCGACCACCAGAGACCAGACTGCATGGCATTGGTTGGCTAGAATAAATTGCCAGTAGTAGTCTGAGGAGGGGCTGGGAAATAGTCCCTGGTTTTATGTCCGGAACCCGGACTTGGAGTTGACGATTTATGAAAGGTACGGTTTTGTATACAGCCAGACGCCCGTCCACCATACCTGTTTGTGATTCTTTCACTTCGGCTTTTCTTTACGCATCCTACAATTACCCTCTTTCCTCCAGCTTGGGGAGGCCCATCTGGAAGCCATACAAGCTCTTCGCAATGGGGGAACCCGAGTCGAAGACGGTCCACGTGGTCGAGGACGACTTAAACGCTGTTGGTTGGGAAGGCCCAGATGACCTCGAGAATCCCCAGAACTGGCCAGCCAAGAAGAAATGGGCAAACGTGGCGGCTTTATCCATCATGACCATTCTCACGTACGTTTGTTAATAATTTTCTGGAACATGGGAACTTTACTCACAAAGATTGCCAGGCCTCTGGGCTCGTCCATGTTCGCTCCTGGCGTCCCAAACATCATGCGCGAGTTCCAGTCGACCAACGAGAACCTTGCCACGTTTGTCGTGTCCGTCTATGTCGCGGGCTTCGCCTTTGGACCTCTGCTGGCCGCGCCTGCGAGCGAGATCTATGGACGCGCCATATGCTACAACATCGCCAATGTCGCATTCATCGTCTTCTCCGTGGCCACGGCTCTCAGCAAGGATATGGGCATGTTGATCGGCTTCCGCTTCCTCATGGGGTTCGCCGGCTCGACGCCCATCACCAACGGTGCGGGAACGGTCTCTGACATGTTCCCGGTCGAGCAGAGGGGCAAGGCCATTGCCATCTGGGCCATGGGTCCGCTCCTCGGCCCATGTATTGGACCTGTTGCTGGAGGTTACATTGTGGAGAGCTTGGGCTGGCGCTGGGTGTTTTGGATCATCGCCATTGCGGTAAGTTACATGCGCCTGTATACACATTTGCAAAGTGACTGACAGACTAGGCCGGGGCAATCTCAATAGCCTGCTTCTTCCTGGTGACGGAGACATACCACCCTGTCCTCCTTCACAGAAAGACCATGCGTCTGCAAAAGGAAACTGGGAACCTCGATCTCTACTCCAAGCTCCAAGATCGTTCCGTCACGCGCCCTCAGTACTTCAAGCTGTCCATGGTCAGACCGCTCAAGGTTCTGTTCATGTTGCCGCCCGTCAGCATCATGGCGCTCTACATCGCTCTCGTCTCGGGGATCATGTACTTGCTCTTTGCGACGTTCACCTTTGTGTTTGGGCAGCAGTACATGTTTTCGACAGGGATCGTGGGTTTGTCGTACATTCCAACAGGCGTGGGTTGTATCATTGGCATGATCTTCAACGGCGCCATGACCGTACTGAGTACCAGCACCCCGTTGCTCTGCACTATAGCTGACCTTGCCGCAGGACATTTTCATCAAACGCAAACTGGCCAAAGGAGAGGAGCCGGTCCCCGAGGACAGGATCCCACTGAGTCTGACGTTGATGGCCGGGACCATTATCCCCGTGTCCATGTTCTGGTACGGATGGTCCACTGAGCATAAGGTGCATTGGATATGTCCCATGATTGCGACCGCAGCCTTTGGGTTCGGCATGATGGGCGTCATGGTAAGTGTCCTGAGCTTTTGAAATCAGCCTTTGAGTTCCTAACATTCCTCAGATGTGCATTCAGATTTACCTCATTGACAGCTACGTCCGATATGCTGCTTCTGTGGTCGCGGCTATCACCGTTCTGCGATCGATCGTGGGAGCTCTGCTACCCCTGGCCGGTTTGTCTTTATACGATAACCTGGGCTATGGATGGGGGAATAGCATTTTGGGCTTCGTCGCGATACCCTTGGCAATTGTGCCTGTTGTTATGTTGCGATTTGGCCCAGCGATTCGACAAAAGTTCAACCATGTCAAACTTTGATGTAGATACTGGTTGTTACTATCGTATTAGAGACGTCAAGGTCATTGCATGGTCTACTTCAACCAATGTCTTTTGTCGTCATTCAAATTATTACTCATGTAAATAGAAAGTGCGCAATGAAAAAGGTATCCTAAACCTGAACGATAGCATGATGTTTGACGGCAGCATGAAGTATTCAGGGTGCCTCGTTTGATTCTAGAATACGTACGTGCAAGTAATTATTTGCATAAGCTACTGCCCCACTGTAAGTTAGGCTGCATGTCAACTATTAGTGCCCTGCATGAATTGTGCACTTGAACCCTTGCTGTAAGGTTCCCACCAATCATCGGCCGGCATTGTCCACGGCGATGAACGCATCAGCGGTGGTCAAAGCTTGACCACCCCAGCCGTTCACCTGCAGCCTTCCCCGTCGACGCCAAGGTGCCCACGAACATCACAGGCTCACTCCAGCTCTGTCCTTTGCAGCACAGTCGCTGTCATCGCTGTCGCATCAATTGACCGGCACCGCATCCTCGGGAGCGGAGGGCGTACGCATCGAGACCACCTCACTGTTCGAGGCAGAGATTTTCGTGCTCTCCAGCCTCTCTGAATTGCATCACCCTATTCGACCCGACGCGCGCGTAATTTTTGCGGCGCGAGCTCCTTCTCCCACCTCGACATACCGCGCATCACAGCCTCGACGCGATGCCCTCAACGAGCTCCGTCGGCAACGTTGCTGGGCTGCGACCCGCTGTCCTCGGACTGGCCAAGCTGGTGACACTGACATACTCGACTGTGGCGGCCTCACCGCTGCTGCCGCGCGGTCACCACGTTGGAAATGACGAGGCAGAAGAGGAGGACGGCATGCCCATATGGATCTATCTTGTCGCCTCCGTGATTCTCACGCTCGTTGGAGGTGTGTTTGCGGGACTGACGATCGCATTGATGGGACAAGACAGCATCTACCTGCAGGTGTTGCAGGACGATCCGACCGAACCGCAACACAAAAATGCCAGAAGGGTGCTGAATCTTCTCAAGAAAGGCAAACATTGGGTCCTTGTCACCTTGCTGCTGAGCAATGTCATTGTCAACGAGACCCTTCCCGTGGTGCTGGATCGCGCACTCGGCGGCGGCGTCGCAGCCGTCGTGGGCAGTACCGTCCTGATTGTCATCTTTGGCGAAGTCATCCCGCAGTCTCTCTGTGTGCGCTACGGCTTGCCGATCGGCGGATACATGTCCAAGCCTGTGCTCGGGCTCATGTTCGTGACCGGCTTCATCTCCTGGCCGACCGCCAAGCTTCTCGACTACCTACTGGGCGAGGATCACGGCACCGTGTACAAGAAGAGCGGCCTCAAGACCCTCGTGACACTACACAAATCTCTCGGCGAGCTGTCGGAGCGCTTGAACCAGGACGAGGTCACCATCATCACGGCTGTCTTGGATCTGAAGGCCAAGGCTGTGTCAGACGTCATGACCCCGATGGACGATGTCTTTACGCTGTCGGAAGACCACATCCTGGACGAGAAGACCATGGACAAGATCTTGCACATGGGCTACTCTCGCATCCCCGTGTACCGCGCCGGTAACAGCTCCGACTTTGTTGGTATCCTGTTGGTCAAGACACTGATCACCTACGATCCCGAGGACAATGTACCCGTCAAGGACGTGCCGCTGGGTGCCGTTGTCGAGACACGCCCCGAAACAAGCTGCCTGGACATTATCAACTTCTTCCAGGAGGGCAAGTCGCATCTTGTCTTGGTGTCCGAAGCCCCTGGTGGCGATCATGGGGCTCTGGGTGTCGTGACACTGGAGGACGTCATTGAGGAGTTGATTGGAGAGTGAGTTACTCGCAAAGCTTGGAATGGGACGAGCGCTGACAGAAACAGAGAAATCGTGGACGAGTCGGACGTCTACGTCGACGTGCACAAGGCGATCCGCCGCCTTACACCTGCGCCCCGTGCCCGCCGGATCGAAGCCACCGCAGCTGCCGCCGCAGTTCAGAAGACGACGGAACATCCTGTACTCGTGGACATTGCCGAAGACGCGGAAGGTAACACCATCCAAGTCGGGTCCTATGGTGCTGCGGGTGACGGGGTTAACGACACCCGACCCCGAACGGCCATATTCATGAAGCGCCGCCGGTCTGCTGGGCCGGACGGCCGTATGGAGGACAGGCCGGAAGCCGTGCGTGGCTCGCTGAAGGACGTGAAGCAGCAGATGCGCCTCGGGCCCGCCAATAGGGCTGCGCACCCGAGAGCGTCGAGACGCGATCAGTTCAAGACGAAGCAGGGTCTGAGTGGCCAGGACCGGATGCCTCCTCGATCTGCCTCCGCGAACGCTAGCAGTGAAAGAACGCCTCTGTTGGATGGCGAGGAATCGGGAGAGCGGTCCTCGCGCGGCAAAGCCAATGGGAACGGCAACTAATCGGCCTAGAGGTGGAGGAAAGGAGGATGGGGCAAAAGAAGGCTGATTTTTCCTTTTTAGAACACATCGCGGAGTGAACTTGTATTTCCTTACGCGGGCTGCACTAGCGCAAGGCGTCATCGGGGCATCTGTCGAAAAAAGATATCACAGCAGACATACATCAATCAAGTCTTTACGTTGGTGTGCCTCTCTAGCGCTGGAATCAGTCAGTCATACCAGATGGCATTCATGCCGAACCCCGGTTCTTGCACCCGACACCTCGCGACCCTCGCAAGGAACTCGCCTTGCCAGCGATATATCTCGAGCCAACCCTCCTGATCATCCGTGATAGCAACCCACTCGTCCGTCCACGGGTTTGGCGAGACAGCGTTGCTGTGCCCTCCGCTTGTCGGTGTAGGATTCAAGCAGATCTGCCGCTCCACCCTACCATCCTCGTCCAACTTGAACGCGGCAACATAACCGGTCAGGTCAAAGCTATTCGCCCTCGACGAGGCAAAGAGATAGTCACCCGAGCTGGACAGCGCGCAGACGTCGGCACGGTATTGCGTCCACCGATCGGGTATGCCAGGCGGGATCAGAGGCCAGTGACGGTGCGTCCAGACAGGCATGTGCGTCGACGGGTCAATGACGTATTCGAGAATACGGTTGCCCTTCTCCATGAGGGCGTAGAGGTACTTTCCCGAGGTGTGCATTTCCACCCATCGCGGGTGGTCCCTCTCGTCGGGACAGTCCACGCTGCCCACAAGCTCGACCTCGGGGCGGGTGGGCTCCGTCTTCTTGTGCACCCAGATCTTGTTGGCCTTGAGATCGGCCGAGTAGAGGAAGGTCTCGGTGGGGTCGAAGATCATGCCGTGGATGCCGGTGTTTGGTTGATATTCGTAGTTCTGGACGTTCTGCTTGAGAGCTCCCTCGTCCGAGACGGAGAAGGTCGAGCCGTGGCCCGCGTGGTTGTAAAAGGGGTTGCAGTACACGCCATACGGCGGCTTTTGGGCGGCCAGCAGGAAGATGGCACGTGTGTTCGTTTCGGGACTGGACGCCTTTGCTGTGGATGGTCAATGGTTGCACCGATGGGAGAAAAGGGGTTGGCAGTGCTCACGGTCGTGGAGCATGGGATGCGAGGCTGTTTGTGTGATCGAGGTTGGAGAGTCGACTTTGAAAGAAGACCACTTCTTCATGGCAGCGCCATAGATGGTTTTCCTGTTGTGCTGGTATCATTAGTCCCATGAACAGGGAACGACGAGTTGGTGGTCATACGTTGAAGGTCATCCATGATATAGGCTCGTCTTCTGGTATCGCCGTCCTCTTGATCATCTCGAGAGACAAGGTCTCCGTGTTGAAGGCAAAGGTGAAGATGGCGCCCGGAGGCGTCCATGTTCCGACCATGAGGTGGTGGATGGGCATCTTGGCTCTGGCTGCTCTGAGCATACACTGTCTCCTTTACTTGAGGTTGTGCCTGTGTCAAGATGTCTTGCAAGGCTGAACTGAACGGCTCCTACCGAGCATCGACAACAAAACGTTCACAAGTTCGCCTAGTACCGGCCACTAGTTATTCTACAGAGTAGAATCTTTAGCCGGTTCGCGCGATCTTGAGTGGTACAGTTTCTTGGGGTTGGAGGGAGGGATGAACGTTTACCCATCTAACCTGGAGTCGTGAGCGAGCCATGGCGGGGTACGTATGTGGGGTGTGCTTCACTCACACGAATGGCATGCCAACGGATTGCTGGTCTGATCAGGGGATCTAGACTAAAAGGTGCAGGGGAATAAATTACTTATATCAATCTTCTATGAAGCTTCTATGAGGCCGTATCACTAAGCGGGCTTCGCTCTGTGTTGTCCATTGCGACGCGAGTGTCCTGCTACCATTGACAACTGCCGCGAGCCTAGCCGACTCTTACGACAAGACCCCTCACCCAACATGAACCTCCAACAGCCGAGAGCACCATCCGACACCCATCCATCCCCATCACGCTCAGCGCAGAAATGCTGCGGAAAGGATGCCTCCACCTGTGGAATTAGAATGATGCCTCCACCTGCTGAATTAGCGCATGCGGGGTAGGCACACACCATCCCTCCGTCGCGACATGCCGACGATGCCGTCGACGCTGAGCCTCCCACATGGAAGCGCATTCTTCCAGGATCTGCGCCGGCGACTGACCCCGGCAAAGGCAATGCTGGACTATTCAGCGTTGGCGCATTGTCATCAAAAATAGTTATAATGACCTACATCCCCTCCATCTACGAAATCACTTCTGTATACTTCTAATACCCTTTACTGCTCTCTAGGCGCTCCACGTCTCCTCTGCTTGCCTGCACTACATCATCATCCAAACTCACAATGGCCTCCCAGCACAACCACCCCAACCCTCACGACGAGCCCACGGTTCCTCCCCCGAGCCGCTTCGATCCTCACTTCACCCAGCATGTGATCGACACCATGGGCGAGAACGTGGCGCCTCGCACCCGCCAGGTCCTCGGCAGCCTCATCAAGCATCTCCACAACTTTGCCCGCGAAGTCGAGCTCTCCAACGACGAGTGGATGACGGGCGTCCACTTCATCAACGCCGTCGGCCAGTGCTCGACCGCAACACGCAACGAGGCGCACCGCGTGTCCGACGTGCTGGGCCTGGAGAGTCTCGTGGACGAGATTGCCAACAAGATCGTGGCCGAGGGTGACATTGACCCGACGTCCTCCTCCATCCTGGGGCCCTTCTGGTCGCCCGACGCGCCCTTCCGCGAGAACGGGGCCTCTATCATCCAGAACCCCTGCGAGGGTGGCCGCGTCGCCCTCATGCACGGCACCATCACCAACCTGCTGACCGGCGAGCCCATCCCCAACGCCGTCTTTGACATCTGGCAAGCCAGCGCCAACGGCAAGTATGACTTCCAGGACCCGGACAACCAGTCCCCCAACAACCTCCGCGGCAAATTCCGCGCCGACGAGAACGGCAAGTACTGGTTCTACTGCTACCACCCCACGGCCTACTCGCTGCCCACCGACGGCCCCTCGTACCAGCTGCTCCGCCTCATGGACCGCCATCCCATGCGGCCAGCGCACATCCACATCATGGTGACACACCCCGACTTCAAGGGCTGCACGACACAGCTGTATCCCAAGGACGACCCCTGGCTGTCGACGGACACGGTGTTTGCGGTCAAGGACGACCTCGTCGTGGATTTCAAGCCAAAGGAGGGTGACGCCAAGGCGACGCTCGATCTCGAGTACAATGTGATTCTGGCGCCCAAGGGTTACAAGGGGAAGCAGTTTGGCAATGACGCAAAATTATAAGCCCAGAAAATAGATGAGAAAAATAAAGTGTAACGTTTAGCAGAGTACACCTCTTCCTGTCTTGTTGTGCTTCGCTGTGTCGCTGGTTTCCGCAACAATGACCTCGCACTGCATCTCCCGAGGCTACCTCACGGTACATCGTCAACAATGACTGAGATACAGACCGCCAGAGCACATGGCAACCGGATGCATCTTGCAAATACCAAGACTATTATTAACGAGAACGTGTCGGATCCCTGCAGCAGTTGTTCCCCGCGAGTCGCGACAGGCTGCACGTCGCTGGTTGTCGGGGTGACCGGCTACGGTAAACAACCCACCCCACCCCTCCTCATTCACGTTATTAATTGATACTTCGGGTCCAGCCCATCAAGAATCTCGAAACAACCAAAAAGCCTTCGCCGCCAATCGTATCATGACTTGTTAGCTGTGCATTCTTCGGCCTCTTGTTTCTCTTGCATCGCGCCTGCGGGAGCTCTTCTGCCCATCTTCTTTTTCTCCGAGCTCCTCGCTTCGTTATTTACTTCCCACATCACCCCTTCGAACCAGTGTTAGTCACCGACCATGGCATCCGAATCGGCCCCAGCTCGCCACCACCAACGTGCCAAATCGTCGGTTATCAGGTCCTTCGTCCACCGTCGTCAGCCTTCGAAAGGCGAAGCCCTTGTGCCTGAACCACAATCAGCGGAAATACAAAATATCACAGCAGCCGCTCTACCGTCAGCCATGGACGGCCGCAGCGCCTTGAACGGCCCTATTGCACTGGGCGAGCTGCAGACAAACAGCCAGGACCCCACGTCGAAGCAGTATAGGATGTCAAGAGAAGAATATGGCGAGAATTTGAGAGGACGCTCGCGCAGTCCGACCAAGAGTGCCTTGAGCAACCCTTTCAAGTCTCGCGAAATGTCACCGACAAAGCCAACAAGTCCAGCAAAGCAAAAGTCTAGCACGAATCTTGCCGGGCTGCTCAGACGGCCGAAGTCGATCAAAGGACTGTACAGAAGTCTCGAAACAGAGGAAGCCAGCATGGGGAAGGACAAGGAGAACCAGGCGCCCACAGAGGAGCTGGCCACACCGCCCCCCATCTTTGCACAATTCACGAGCGACACCTCAGTGCGACAGCAGCAGAGTGCCCGGTCGAGTATGGATCCTGGCCGCCCTACTGGCAGTCAAGACCTCCTTGGCCATACCCGACCCGTGATCCGAGAGCGACCCAAGTCGTACCAACTACCGCCTACCTCCAACCCTGTCTCGCGATCGACATCTACCACATCTGACTCTAGGCCGGCCAATTCCAAGAGCGCTCGCAGTAGAGCTTTTGCGGCACTGACTGGGCTCAGCCATCGGGGCAAGGCATCCGCGCCAACCAGTCCTGTTATCAACGAGCCGAGCGAACCCCACATCGACCCCAAGGACATTGACCAGCACCTCGAGGCTCTGCTGGACCGTCGTAACATCCCCGAGAACCAGCGCTTCAAAATGCGCGGATTGGACAATACCATCAAGATGGAGTTTATACGTCAAGACTGGGCGGAAACAAGGGGGGCTCATCCTGGCATCACCGACAGCGTCAACAGCAAAGAAAGCGACAGTGCCGTGGCCATGGGTACGGATGACGAGGACAAGTCAAAACGTACGCGCGGCCGGAGCTTCACATTCTCGAGGAGCAAGAAGGGAGGCAGCAGTAGGTCGCCTTCGAAGAAGAGGGAGGGGACGCTCGGACGACACTTTCGCAGCAAGTCGACCGACAGCGTCGTGAGCGATGGCAGGCCAACGTCCTCGCACGGCCAGTCAGCTGCCAGCAGCCTGTTGTCCAAGATGAAGCTGCAACAGGGCCCAGGCGACTATGTCGCGTACTTGCGAAAAGTCCAAAAGCCACAGCTGGTGGAGGTGGGCAAGCTGCACAAGCTTCGGCTGCTACTTCGCAACGAGACCGTTGCCTGGATAGAGGACTTTGTGCAGCAAGGGGGGATGAAGGAGATTGTCGGATTGCTGAAGCGAATCATGGAAGTCGAGTGGAGGTCAGTAGTACGTTCCATTGCATCGCTTCCCAGCTGACCCATCGCAGAGAGGAACACGAGGACGCGCTTCTGCACGAGAACCTACTGTGCCTCAAGGCACTCTCGACAACCGCTCTGGCTATGCAGTACCTCGACACTATACAAGCCGACCTCTTTCCGAAGCTCCTCCACATGATCTTCGACCCGGAACGCAAAGGGCCCTCGGAGTTTACGACCCGGGGCATCATTACATTTGTCCTCTTTACGTACATTGAGTCCGCCACACCGGCTGAACGGGTCATCCGCGCCAAGGCCGTGCTCGCGCACCTTCGTGATCCCGAGCCCAAGGACGATCAGCGACCGCTGCCGTTCGTGATGGACATGCGGCAGCAGAGGCCGTACCGTGTTTGGAACAAGGAGGTTGTCAGCGTGACTAAGGAGGTCTTCTGGATCTTCCTCCACAATCTGAACGTCGTCAGCTTGGAGAAGAAACCGACCGCAGCCGGCGAGGGGACATACGGTTACATGGGTCGCCATTTCCCACAGGAACGACCACCTGTGCCGGCCGCCCCCTATGTCGGTGGTGTAGAGTGGGATGCGACCAACTACCTGGCCTCGCATCTAGATCTGTTGAACGCGATCATTGCGTGCACGCCCACTGCATCGCAACGGAATGCCCTCCGCGCCGACATGCGCATCAGTGGATGGGAGAGGCTCCTGGGCGGCCACTTGCGTCTGTGCAAGGAGAAGTTCTACGGCAGCGTGCACGACGGGCTGAGGACTTGGGTATCCGCCGCGGACGAGGACGGCTGGGAGGTGAGGGATGTGCGGTATGGTCCGGCTCCCAGTGAGAGTCCACGCAAGGCGAGTCCGAATAAACGGGTGGAAGCCCCAGCGCCCAAGATTGAGGTGCCCAGGTTGGATCTTGGCTTGGACAAGGGCAGCAGCCAGCACGACGGGTGGATCGAATGAGGTGCACTGTACAGTGTCCCCATTGTTTGTATTTGGTATCTTATGGGCTTTGTCGGAGTTTGTTTAGGCGTATGCATGGATGGATTGGGTTGATTATTAATGAGACATGACACTATTATGCCAGAGGTCCTCGCCAGCGGGCATGTGTACCAGATCTTGGGAGATGCTTGGACGCACAAACGCCACGCTTCCGTTTTGCTGTCGGATGTCCGTCGGTGAGACGGTCCCACCGAACGGCCAGTCGGCAAAAGGGTATCTCACCACACTGACTCAGGCTTTGCAGATGCGGCAGACAAGCGTGAGACAGGACAAGGATGGTTGCTGCTGCCGCTCCGTTGTCGGTGACCCCATTCGGATGCTCAATAGTCAATACAGGTACTACTCTCATGTCTGTCGATGAGGACCGGCTTGCGGGATTCATCGGGTTCAGCAGAACTTGCTCGGGCCTTTCGTAGGGATAGATAGGCTGAGATGTCCCTCCATGCCGCGGGGAAGCTTGGACCGCAGTCCACGGACGGGAGGGAAAGGCTAAGATTAGCGATTGGCGACGGGCCGGTGGTCCAAGGGTTTTATTCCCAGTGTTTCAGATGCCTGTACCCATGAGGAGCGGTCCGTGCCTTTCCAGCCTCCAGGTTTTTGTCACGCTACGTGCGGTACCCTTTTCGAAGCAACGTTATCACATCTCATCCCTGGGACCGAACTGTCGGATCCATGGTCATCAAAGGAGGTGAGCACACGAGAAGGAGACGATTGACAGCATCTGCATGCAGTCATGGCACCGCCAGCATCTGCATGATTGCGTATACGTGCCGCGGATATTCGAGTGCTTGCTGCCGACTTCAAGGGCCTGTTGTCACTTGGAATATGCGCAGGACGAGACAGAGCACACGACTGATAGAGTGACTATTGTTGTCAGACCCGCGCGCCAGGGTAGATTGCATTTTGCGGGGCTTTGAAGGCTCGACGAATCCTCTGCCAGGGGTGCAAGCTGTGAGCCTCCAACGGCAATGTTGCCCTTGGCTCAACGGGTTGCTCAGCCAATTTGGGATATCCTTTGTCCGGTGGCCCCGAGTTGCCTCACGTGAGTAAGCATGCGCGCGCATACAAGAATGAGACCATTTCGCTATGTGTTGAGGGTTTACCGTTTCAGCGCCCACCAGCCGGGGCAGCGAGTATGCTGATGGGGACGAGAATGGAGACGGGGATCGTGATCATGATCATGACTGAGATATCTCGGGTGGGGTCACTTGCATTTTGCAGCTGCAGAAAGATGTACGGATACGTCTTCCCTACACTGTGTTCCCGAGAGCTGGCAGTTTTGACCTTTCTCTCTGCATCATAGCATGGCCTGACCTGCAAGCAGTGACTCTATCAATCTCATCCACAGTGGCGCGGCAGCAGCAGGCCGCAGCCCAGTGATTCGTGTCCAGCATCCATCTCCAAAAGCATATAATACGTGATATACATGTAGCGATGGAGAAGGACGTGCATCGGACGGTACAATGAACGTTACTGAGTAATTACTGACCAACGCACAATACATCATACATGTGAAAGCTGTACATGGTATCCGTAGTTGGCCCCAGCTCGGCGACTAGAGCACGGCGCGCATGAACTGTCGCGGGGTGGGTTGTTAGCTTAACCTGCTAAATAAGAGAATGCCAGCCTACCTAATTAATAATAGTCGGAATACGCACGGATTCGAGGCGTACCACTGCCAACATGCTCCAGATATCTGTTGCAACAAATTTCAGGTGCGTCGAATTGGCCCAAGAAGGCAAAACCCGACTCCCGATGTGGTGGGCTGGGAGAGCGAGGCTGACAGAATGGCGCAGACAGAGGGGTAATTCCTCGCCCCATTCGGAGGCGCCTGGCTGAGGGGTACTACTCCTGCCTCTATTCAGTCACCCTCGCGATTCAGGTACATACTGGTCGATGAATCGCTATGACCCCGACGTGAAGAAGGCACGATTGAGCCTTCATTGGGCTGGATCCACGGGCAGGAACTTCGAGATCAGGAGACGGCCGGACGTTCGCCCGAAACAGTCGCTCGTCTTTGAGCAAAAGTGAGAAATCCCCTTCCGTCTCCACCATCCGTGCCTGATCGCCTGCATGCTAAGGCGCATCCTGGTCCTTGTGTACTTATGATGATACCACGTATCCAACACCATCATCTCGTCATTGACATGACCACTCGCGACATGTGCTTTAGCTCTTGCAGAGAGCCACCCTCACGCAGCCACTTACTTGATCTGATCGTCCTCGTCGCTGCAACCAACGAACAGCAGCAGCAGCAGCAATCCCAGGTCACGTTTGGAGCGTCCGCATAGCCGGTACGCCCAGATTCACCAAACCCGACTCGCGCCAATCGCCCGCCGCCATTCCCCACCTCATTGCCTCCCAGCCACCTCTTGTTGCTGCCGGCCTGACTCTTGTCGTCGTCGTCTCCGTCTACAGTCGTCGTCTCTTTCCACAGCCGCGCCTAAACTCCCGCTCTTCGACTGGCCCATGAGACACAAGGCAGCACGACCGCCAGCCAGCCAGCCAGCCAGCCAGCCAGCCAGCCGCCTGACGACCGGCCTAGCCGTACCAACGCCTTCACACGGTGCCCAACCAAGCCGCCAGGCAGGGAGGGACCCCCCCAAAAGAAGCCACTTCAAACAAGCCCCCAAGACGACCGAGTCCTGCCTGGTACGGAGTAATCACTGACTGGCGGCCTGACCTTGGATTGGAGACTGCAGCCAGAGTCGGCCACCACACACTCTTCTATCCTGGATCTCCATTCTGCGCCATCTAGCCCTGCCTGCGTCTGCAGCAATCTGCACGTCCAGTCCCCGGTACGCTCCATCCTAGACTGGAGCCCTTCTACCTCGCGCGCACCATTCACAGACTTTAGTCAGTAGTTCCCGGCCTAGGCCAGGGTAGGTCGCAATTGTTCTCCTTCTCACCATGTCAATAAAGTAAGCTATATTCTTTCCTTCTCCGTTCCCGAGCACCCCCCCATCCTCCCATGCTCTTCGTGGCCTAGTTTCTCGGCATCTAGTCACCATGAACAATCCCCATGACTATCTCATCACCAGTCCTACCCCGTCCAGACCGCGGCACGTGGATCCTGACAATGCCGATAGCTGGGTGATGCTTAACCAGAGCGGGTTCGTCAAGCTCGGAAACGAACGCGTCCTGCTCAAGCTTGACTCCCGCATATCATGCGAGCTCTCCGTCCCCTCCAGCCTCAAGGCGCGGTGCGAGGCTTTCCACAGGAAGAGCGATCGGGGGACCCTATTCCTCACAAATAAGAGAGTGAGATCACCATGACTGGCTTTCGAGAAGAGGCTGGCTGTACTGACATGCATACTTTGTCAGATTGTGTACCTGCCCGCCAAAGTGACCGGCGAGCCCAAGTTCGAGTCATTCAGCGCGCCCATACTCAAGTTTCAGGATGCCACAACGTCCTCGTCCATGTGGTGGGGGTGGATGTGGAAGTCAGACTGCGTGCCCGTCTCGGGGGGAGGCATCCCGCCCGATATTCCTCGGATCGAGGTCAAATTCACATTCTCAGATGGCGGGATGAACGACTTCAACCTCGCGTACGAGCGCCTACGCGAACGGATCTACCAGTATCAGGAGATGCGCCGAGAGATGGGCCCGGACGCAGACATCCCCGACGAGCCTCTTCCCGCCTATGAAGCTCCCGGATCAGCGCCGCCCGAGGCAGCTCGGCCGTCAGCGCAGTCGAGGCCAGCTCCGGCACCCGTATCTGCGCCCGCCGCCAATTACGCTGCACCGGCAGCTCGCGAGCAACGGTCTGATAGCTCGGCCAGCCGCAGGCCGGACGGGCCTCCCCCGGATTACGAGGAGGCACAGGCGCAGCAGCTGAGCAACCGACTGGAAGACCACATTCGGGACGAAGTGAACCGGGGCGATGGGAGTTGAGATGTTTGAGACAAGCTGTTCCAAGGGATGCTTGCTCTCTCATGAGAAATGACTTCCTCCATCAATTGGCGTTTACAGGTTGTTTTTGCAATGGGCTAGGCGCATGGAGCATTACTCAGGCGCTGACTATGAGTGTTTCGGGGCCATAGGGGATCATAATTTTGTGCGGAACATTGTTGCTATACTTCCTTTTCGCATTACTTCAAATAGATGGGAGATAAACAAATGCGTTCCTTTCCGAGCAACTCAGCTGCCATGATGAGATGTCACGTGACGGAGTCATGATCATGTCTCCCTGTGGTGGGACCAATCAAAATGCCTCAATTCCAGATCAGTTTTCGTCTGCACCTTTTGGCCGAGAGCTCCCGAATCCGCAAAGGAGCCAACGCAATACCAACCAACCTCTTTTTCGAACGCCATCAAATTTACCGGCATCATGGGTATCTGGGACGCTTTTTCGGACATTGTCGAGGCCGTGACGCCATGGAGCACCGTCGAGGCTGAGGCGCCGGCCCAGACCGAGGAGTCCAAGGTGCGTGCGCCCATTTTGAGACGGGTACGATGATGAGCACAAGAACTGACGCGCTGTCCCACAGGAGGAGACGTCCACCGAGAGCGAGGACAGCAAGGCCACTCCCGAGTCCGCGTCCGAGGACGGCGACGAGGCCAAGGAGGAGAGCACCGGTGACGACAAGGAGAGCGAGGCTAAGGCCGAGGGCGATGACGCCGAGGAAGAGGAAGAGGAAGAAGAGGAGGAAGAGGAAGAGGAAGAGGAGGACGACGAGGAGGAGATTGTCGACCCCAAGGAGACGATTGAGGAGGGTATGTCGCATCCGTACACGCGCAATGGACGACGAGCCGCCATGCTGACCAAAACGCAGAGTGCAGGAACTCAGCCCAGTGTGCGCCCGCGAAGCACCACTACGACCACTGCGTCGAGCGCGTGCAGCAGCAGGAGAGCGAGGGCGGCGCCAAGGAGGACTGCGTCGAGGAGTGTATGGTTCCCCATTCCCAAGTACTGAAAGGGCGGTATTCGCTAACTGACAAACAGTCTTCCACCTGGCTCACTGCGCTACGGCATGTGCTGCCCCCAAGGTCTGGTCGAAGCTCAAGTAAATACCCTCGCCGCGCCCCCAACGCGACAAGACCGATCCAAGAAGCGCAGGCTATAGTATATGGCCTGGCATGGAAGCAGGCGCCTGTACAATGATGCTGCTGTCGTCGGACACAGTGCTGTTGAGTTCTCCTTTGTATACTACTGCATACGTCCCGCCCTGCAATAGACAAAATACTTTCCAAAATACCACGACCTTGTCACGGGGTCCATTCGCCAGCGTCGTGTGTGCTCGGTGCCACTACGTACCTAGGTATTGGTGACACAGAAGCACGGGCCTCGTCCGTGCCTCTTCCCAGAGGGAATATACTGACCGCCTCGCCGCACATGTTCAGCTGCTGGCCAACAGATCGCTCACTCTAGAGTACCGATAAGTGATGATTGTCAGGGGTCAAGCATAATAGAGCCTTGAGAGGGCTCCGATGTGACTGCTTGAAGATACGACTGCTTGAAGATACGACTGGTCCCTGGACAATTCTGCGTCGCACTCAAGTGTAAGGTGAATGGGCGTAGCTGGACCCCTTGAACTGTGGTCTAATAACCCGACCTCATGCATGCTGCACGTACCCTTTGGCCAGCCACCTCATGCTGCCTTTACTCGGGGCGATAAGGTTTGAGGCCACCGAGGCATCCGCAAGAGCCCCGTCCCAGACTCCCAACGCGGCAACGATCAAAGCACTCGTCGTGGCTATGTTCAGCGCATGATACACTAGGCCAGTGGCTTCGATGCGGGGAAGAAGCAAAAACGCGTTGACAGCCGGTCGTTCAACTTAAAGATGCACCGAGAGTCCGTACCGTGTCTATGCTAACGTCAAGGTGCGATGCTTCTCCTTGGGCACCGCCCTCTCACCTCCTATTACCACCTTCCCTGGCCGCGTGTTGCGCTGTTGGCAGGTGCGCCGCCTCGTTTGGAATGGCTGTCACCCCCAATCTCGGGAGCAGGCTGCGTGCTGCATTTATTGCTTCCCATTCCCCCTCACGCCTCTCCTCGTTTCCCAATCTTCCCATTGCTTCTCGCTGAATAGTTTCAGCCATCTTCCACGGGACGCGTGCCGTGGTTCGGATACGCGCTGCCTTGCCTCGCACACGACCACTTCCTTGTTGCGACTCACAGTACGGAGTACCAATCCCATGACCAACAACAGACACTGCTCTCACACACATGCACCACCACCATTCAGCTCTCAATTGGGAAATAGAACCGTTTCCTCACCATGGACTCAAAACATGATGATGGCAACATTGCCGCGCACCCGCAGCTCGATGTTGCGACCAGCAGCAACAGCGCCGCCACGTCAATGGGGAGCTTCACTTCCTGGTTCCGTCGTCACGGCGACAAGAGTCGACTTGCTTCGCAGGATATTACCCTGCGCGAGAGAGACGCGGAGGATGACGAAGCGGGACATGTGCCTCACGAGTATCGGACGTACAAGAGGAGATGGTTCGGGCTCGTGCAGCTTACACTGATGAACATTGTTGTGTCCTGGGACGTAAGTCAACTCGAAAGTCAGAGCAAACATGTAATGGGACCAGCTGACCCGTCTGCAGTGGCTGACATTTGCACCGGTAGCGGGCAAGGCTGCCAAGTATTACAATGTTGACGAGTCCACCATCAACTGGATCAGCACCGCCTGCCTCCTCGCCTTTGTCTCCGTCTTCCCGCTCGTCATCTGGGTTCTGCACCGCAGTGTACGACTCTCCTTCATCGTCGCTGCTGTCCTCATCCCCGTTGGCAACTGGATCAGGTATGCCGGGTCCACCAGCCGCAGCGGAGGCACCATTGCGTACGCCATGGCCGGCGAGGTCATCATTGGCTTCGCACAGCCCTTCGTCCTGGCGGCTCCCACGCGATACTCGGATCTGTGGTTCACAGCCAAGGGAAGGGTCACCGCGACGGCGGTCATGAGTCTAGCCAATCCCCTGGGAGCTGCGCTTGGCCAGCTCATCAACCCCCTTTGGGTTTCTGAAGTCGGTGACATATCCCAGATGGTGCTCTACGTCTCCATCTTTGTGAGTTTCATCCTGTGTTGCATCATGACCATGGCTGACAACAACAGTCGACGGTTTGCTCAGTGCCCGCCCTCTTCGTGCCCGCCCGTCCGCCAACACCAGTCGGCCCTGCCGCTGAAACTCCCAAGCTCAACCTGCGCAAATCGATTCGTGCTGTCACGAGTTCTCTCGAGCTCTGGCTGATGTTCATACCGTTTGCCGTCTATGTTGGCTTTTTCAACTCCATTTCTTCGCTGCTCAGTCAGATGATGACGCCCTATGGCTTCAGCGATGACGAAGCAGGCATCGGAGGCGCGATTCTCATCGTAGTAGGTTTGGTTACTGCGGCGATCACTTCTCCTATCCTGGATCGCTCCAAGAAATTCCTGCTTGCGATCCGGATCGTGGTGCCCGTTATCGCACTGAGCTTCTTCGTGTTCTTGTGGATGCCGGAGACGAAAGAACTCGCAGGGCCCTATGTTGTCCTGGGCATACTTGGCGCCTCGTGTTTCTCTCTGGTGCCCGTTGCCTTGGAGTTTCTCATTGAGCTCGGTCACCCTCTCAGTCCCGAAATCACCTCGACCACGGCCTGGGCAGGAGGTCAGCTCCTCGGTGCCGTCTTTATCATTGTCAGCGATGCTCTGCGCGCGGGTGACAACGCATCACCACCTCATAACATGAAGAAGGCACTGATCTTCCAAGCGGTTATGGCGGTCGCGGCAGCCTTTGCACCACTGTCATTGGGTTTGTTTGGGCGTGCGGACAAGGTCAATCTGCGTCGGATAGCGTCTGACACGCGAGGCCATTGAGTTCCGATGCGGTGTATTGTTAGATCATGTTTTTGTTTGGGATATTGCCCGCGTTGCTTTCAGCTTGAATATATGGAGAATGATACATATACCCCGTACCTACTTACACAGTTGTGTTCTGAGCAAGCCAAGTTAGTCTGTTAATTCCAAAATCTCCTCCCACTCCTCGCGCAGCTCCTCCATTTGCTCCCAGCACTCTTTGCCCAATTCCTCAAACTGGACAATCTGCTCGCTCGTCACGTCCTTTGCATCCCTGTGACGGCCGACCCTCTTCCTCATCGCGTACTCTACCTCCTCCTCATCGCCTATCGGCTCGACCTTGCCACTGAAGCCCCACCCGTCCACCTCGGTATCACGGATGCGGCTGTCGCCCATGGCATTGACCGCACTCGCCCACTTGATCCTCTCCGCCGCCTCGGCATCGAGCTTCTCCTGGGGCGCAAGGACCAGGTAGGTTGCTGCTGCTGCGCCCGGGTACGCGTCCGTCGTGTGCCACGGCGAGCCCCACCACTGCGCAAAGAACATGACGAAGCGGTACAGGCCAAAGAGCCAGCTAGCGAGCGGGAAGAATTTGGACGCCACGATGCCGGGATGCATGAGGTACATCTTGGGCGGCGTGCGCTCCTCCTCCTCCTCCTCTGTCGTCAGGTACGATGTCGAAATTGGTTTCACAGAGGGCAGCGTGCACGTGAGCGAGAGAATGTCAGTGAGCCTCTTGACAGATTCGTAGGGCGTGGACGAAGGGTCGAAGGTCTGGAAGTCCGCGAGCGAGAAGGAGGCTCCGACGGCCTCGATGGAAGACATCCAGACGATCCGACCCGGGTGGAGGTCTGATCCTACGGGTCGTGATAAGAGGGGCAGCAGGCGGTGGGCGAGGAGGTAGTGGCCAAACAAGCAAGCGGTGAAGACCTCGCCGAGCAGTGGTTTGGCAGGCTGCATGGATGTTGTCAGCCTGCTGTCTCCAGTATGTCTACAAACAAGGGGGGGGGGGGGGGGACCCACGTAGTCGTATTCTTTGCGATTGTTCAACGCCAGTGTCGGGATCGCATCTTTGCACTCGGGCCATGTGACCGAGTTCATGAGGCCCTGCGTGAGGAACTGCCATATCAACACGGGCCAGTTGACACCACTCCAGCCGCCAAAGCCGGCGTTGAAGATGACAGCATCCAGGCGGGGGATGGACACATTAACCAACTCGCCATCGGGACCCTCCGTCCCCTTGGGGTTGCTGATGGTCTCCTCGCACAAGTCCTCGGCCAGGTTATAGATGGCCCTGATGTCGCAGAGGTCGACCTGCACGGAGAGAATGTGTATCCTCTGCGCGTGGTCGCCTTCCCCACCAGTTCTCGACCTCAACGCATCGCTCCGTGCAGCCTTGTCAGCGTACGCACGGAGGTGGGCTATCGTCTCTCGAGATTTCCCCTCGGAGCGGGTCGTGGGGAGGAGGGTGAGGTGGGCGGTCAGGCTCCTCGTCGCGAAGAACTCGTCGATCAGGCGTTCGCCGATACTCAGGCCAATACCGCTATGTTCTTGTCAGTCGAGGGATGCGGGGTGGTGGAGGGGCTGTAGGGGCTGGGAATGGTACCTGTTTGCGCCGGTGATGAGGACGAAGAGCTGGTCTTGAGGAGGGGCTGTGGCCCACGGCGCCTCTTTTCCTGCGGTCATTCTAAAGGCTTCACAATGAGGCTTCTGGGCCTACAAAGTGTTAGAACACGTCACGGAAACAAGAGCCAGGAGACATGGGTCATGATCGCCATCATGGTTGGATGAAGGAGAGACAGCTCCAGCTCCTTGGCAGAAAGAAAGCGGTGAAGACAGATGCCGTGGCCAGATGAAGGATAAGTTAGGTAGCGTGATCAATTAACACAATGCTACTAGACTACAAGCAGTAAGGTAGATACTAGTCACATTCAGGGTCCATTGCCTGCTAGCACTCTTGGATCATTATACATTCTTTTGGTATTGACGTCGCTCAGCGCATCTATCTACATAGACTGTCCAATCTAACCAAACACGTGACTGTCCTTGGATGCGACGACTATGGCTGCGCCCGTAATGAGCTGCTCGAGGTTCCTCCACGCCTACTGTACAGCTATAATGGTACAAGTGGAGGTGCATTTACTCCCGCGCCTGGCTGAGACCCTCGCGAACAGCTTCAAGGATCAGGTCCTTTGCTTGCTCAACGCCAGCCGAGCTGCCAATAATCTCAATGGCCTCATCCTTCGCCTCGGCACGGGGCACCTGGATCTTGCAGTCGGTCTGCTTGCGGATGGCGTTGACCTTGCTGCCACCGGAGCCGATGACGAAGCGGTAGGTACGGGGGTCTGGAAGAACCAAGTACCCAGTCGCATCGCTCTTTTGGGCTTGCGCCAGAGCTCGCTGGATGGCCTCCTTGGCCTTGGCTACGTTCTCGGGGCTGCCACGCAGGACCCAGGGAATGTCGCCTTCTTCGCCAGCACCCGTCTGGACGACTTTCCATGAATGGGCGTCAGCGGTGGCCTCCTCATCGTCGGTGATGAGAGGCAGGGAGCCGCCATTGGCGCGCGTCGTTTCGGGTTTGGCAGGAATCTGCTGGCCAGCATGGTCCACCGTGACCTGGTGGTTGTTGCGCAGCTGACGGAAGAATTGTCCGCCGTTCGAAACAGCATGGTGTGCGCTGCGAGGCACCTGGATGGTCTCGCCTTGCTGTGACTTCAGTAGAGAAGCAATGTGCTCCTTGGCACTTTCGACGGCTTCGGGACGGCCGGTGACCTTGACGCCAGTCTGGCCGCTGCCCTGGCGAGGCACGTCGATGCTGACCGAGTACTTGGTCTCCATCTGTCGCTTGATGTCTCCGCCACGTCCAATAAGGGAGCGGTGCTGGTCAACTGGCACCTCGACGACCTCGGTCACTTGGCTTTCACGCTCAGCAACAATTTCCTGGATGCGCTTGATGATCTTCTCAACGACGTCGGTGCGGCCCTCAACCTTGATAGAGTTGCCGTCGGCATCCTGCTTGGGGAACTGGATAGTACGCGCAAGCTCGCGGCGATCATCAGAGCCACCAGCTCCAACGACAATGTCTCGGAGCGTGGCGCCTAAGACTTTAGTTAGCAATCAACCCAGGAACTGATTGATGTAGACGACTTACCACTAGTGCCAATCAACGCGCGATGGTGTTTCTTGTCAACTTCCACAGTTTGCACAACCGTGTCGTCAAAGATAGCACGCTTCTCCTCCAAGACCTTCTTCGCCTTGGCCACCTGGGCAGCGGTGCCCTTGACGACAATGTCAACCACATCGGTGTCACGATCGGAGGGCACATCGATGCGGGCACCGGTAGCCTGGCGTAGCTCGTCAAGTGCGGCGCCACCTTGGCCAATCAGGGAGCCGACCTGCTTCTGCTTGACAGGAACAGTTGCGCTGTGGGAGTTCTCTTCGAGATACTTGTACAGTGAGAAGATCTCATCGCGAGCCTCATCGGCTCCACGCTTGGGTCCGCGGATAATGACCTCATCAGGGTTTTGTTGGCGGCGAGCTTTGCCACCAGCCTCACTCGCAGCGTCACTGCCAGCCTGATCCTCGCCAGTGGACTTGGCGGAGCGGGGGAAGAAGATGAGAACCTTGTAACGGGTCTGGAGGCGGTTGATCTGAGCACCCTGAGCGCCAATGAGTTCACGGTGGAACTTGGGATCAATTTTGAGAGTGTGGGTGCTCTCGTCGTCGAGAGTGCGGCCCAGGTTTTGAATGTAGGTGCGTGCAGTCTCAGCCTTGGCCTTGGGGCCCTTAAGCTCGACCTTGCCGTCTCCAACCTGGATCTCGACGTCAAAGCGATCTCGCAGCTCCTTGATGTTGCTTCCACCCTTGCCAATGAGCTTGTTGGCGTGCTTCTGGGGGAAGTCGAATGTGAGGGTGAAGCCACGCTCCTTGTCGTCTTCCTTCTCCTGCGCGATGAACGCCTGCGACTTGGCCGCGAGGTTCTGGACAGCTGAAGCGGGTCCGCGCAGAGTAACGTTGGTGCCGACTTTGGTGACGCGAATGGGGATCTGGTCTGCCGGGCACTTCTCTTGCTCACTCTTGATGAACCTGCGGAGCCTCTCGTGGAACTTGACCGGGACGTCCAGGGTCACACTGTCGAGCTTCTCCTGTTTATTGATGAGATCAACGATATGGCGCTGGGCGTCCTGAAGGCTCTGCTGGAAGATCTTGATCTCATTCTCATCAGGCTTGTGGCGAGGGAGCTGGTACTCGCCCTCGGTGGGCTCGGGGCCTTCGTAGACCAAGACGAGGGGCGCGTTGCCCTCCCCGGCCTCGGGGACGACAATGTGGACGCCAAAATCCTTCCTCACCTCAGGAGTAACGTTTTTGCGCAAATACTGGTGGAAGAACGGATCCACGTGGACGGGCTGCAGGCGCGTAGGGGGGTGGGCATTGATGATACCGGTAATTTCAGACTGAGCGCGGATGGCATTCTTGCCTTCGCGCGAGTACAGCTCCCAAGGCAGAGCACCGTCTGACGAGAAAGGGGTGTTGATGTGGGTGTTGTACAGTCTCTCGAGACGGGCAATTTCGTTGCGCTGGCGCAGGTAGCGAGTCACGAATCCAGCATGAGCGGCAGCACCGGTGGGGGCGTTCCGATGAGCACGGGAGATGTCCAAGTTCGACATCTGCATGTTCATCGACAGATCCATGGCCTTGTCGGTACCGGCAGACACGCGATCGACGGGACCGATGATGGTGACAAGGTCGTCCTCCTCGTCAGTGGGCAGCAGGATAGCACAGCCAGTCTCCGCGAAGAAGTCGTCGGGCGACACGCCACGGTCACCGATGATGAACTGATGACGGCCGCGCTGGATTGACAGTTGCTCCATCTGAAGCTCCCGGGCGAGCTCGGCCGCCCGGCGCTCGATCTCAGCACGAGCCTTCTGCACTGCCGCGCGATCGCCGCCGAGCTGAATCAGGTTATCCCGATCATCGGACGGCACGAACTGCGGCCGCTGGCCAGCGCCAAACTGGGGAGCTGGAGAATAGGCCTGGTGAGCAGGCACGCGCACCTGAACGCCGTGATCTTCCTCCAAGGCCTTGGCAAGCGAGTTGTCCGGGCCAGAGAGGAAGGGAAAGAAGGCAGCAGGGATTCCTTTGACCTTGAGATCCGCAGTGGCGCCGCGCTCGCGGACAATCTTGTTGATCTCGTCGCGAGCTGATGCGACGGTCAGAGCATTGCCCTCAACGATGACATCAATGGTGGCTTCATCGTCTTCATCGACAGCCTCCTGATTCTCGGACTTGGGGAGCTGAATGCGAGCGCCGGTCTTCTCCTGGATCGCCTTGATCATGGAACCAGACTTGCCGATGACGTGTGCACGAGTCGAGCGAGGAATTGGCACCTTGATTGTGATCTTGGTACCGATTTGATTGACCAGGTCCCTTAGCGCCTGCTGCGCAACATCCTGTGGGCCGGTCGCATCAAAGCGCATCAAGCCGCCGGCGACAGTTGACATGTTGATGTTGGCGCGCGACTTGCGATTGATGTCCTTGATGATATCGGGGATGGGTCTCTTGAGCTGGCCGCGAGGCTGAACATGCTGCGGTTCGAGGGTGTACGATTCGACCTGGCGCCCGGGAATGGAGAAGTTGGTCTTGACATTGTTACCGGGAGCTGGGGCGTTGACAGGAGACGATGTGCCGGCAGCATTGGTGGGAGCGCCATTCTTCGCACCCCAGATGGGAGCAACATTAGCACTCTTGCCCTTGGCGGCGCCAAGTTCGGGGAACAGCTCATGGGATTGGGTGTCCAGCGATTTCTTCACAGCGAGCGGCGCAGGCTTGGCGGGGAGGTCCTCGTCTTCGGCCTCTTCGACAGTGACAGTGTGCGGCTGAGAATGCTGCTCACGGAGCTGTTCAGCGAGGGAGCCCTCGGCGATGGGGGCGTCGGTCGAGGTGGAAGCCATGTCGATGATCGGAGAGTAATAGCTGGTGGGGATTGGGGTCTGTCTCTGCTGTCAGCTCCAATTGGAAACGGTGGGGAGGCCCGTAAGCACAAACAGAAGCGTGGATGGGGTTTTGACGGACAGCAGGAGGTCTATACACGGCAATGCTTTCACAATGCTGCGGATGGGTCGAGCTGACAGATATACGAGGATGGGTCTAGGGATTGACCTAGAAACCAAGCGGGCAAACCGTGACCGGAAGGAACAACCAGATGAGACTAGCCGACACCACCAAGGAAGATGGTACCGGGGGAGAGAGAAGAGTAGAGGGGATGGGAGGTGTTGATAATGCCAAGGTGTCGAGTAGGAGAGTTGAGAATGAACAGGTGGACGGCTTCGAACTTAGAAGTGCCTGGAACTTGCGGCTACAGTACTAGCTCCAGTCTGCTGCGGGACAGCCAGGGGTCCAGTGTGGCGCCAGCCTGCCAATCCGCTCGGTGAGTGTGGCGCAACCCCGTGTAAACCTCGCTGGGGAGGTGCGGGACTGGAGCGGATACCCATTCGTTGTTAGTCATGTGACTCGAGATTTTATCTGGCTGGTAGCGAGTGAAGACTCGCAATTGTAGAATGCAATCTAGACGCCATTGAATCGGATACGAGGTTTCTTAGGTCGCGTAGGACCAATCAGTCCCAAGCTTGTCGCGTTCAAATCACCAAGCAAGTGGCTTGAAGCTCCCTGGGCATGATTTGATGGTGGTACAACATGTGCCTCGGGTGCCAACTCGCCTCCCGAGGACTGCCGCAGTGGCAACGGCAGAGAAAGCTGGTGGTGAGAAAATGCGCCAGCAATGTTGAAAGGGGAAGGATGCTTGGCGCAGACTTGACGAGTGAAGGCGATTGGAGTCAATAGTACCATACACTTCCGTCAAGGCTCAAGCTGTCGATTGTCGTTAGTCAAATGATGATCTGGAGCTGAAATCTCAATGGAAGGCAACTATCAATGTGGGTCTGGGTCTGGGTCATTTTCCAAACATGGAGTTCAAGCTAACTACGTATCCCTTTGTTGTTCGACGGAAAACCGGGCTCTGTCAATGGCAGAGACAAATTTTACATGTCTTGAAATTCACTGAACAAATGAATACAGGTCGTGACTTAGGAACCAAAACTTCTTGCGGATAGGAATCCTCGGCATATTTCACTACAGGGTATCGTGAATCATGAAGCGGATAGACATCTGCGCACTGTATGCTGCCCTGGAAGGCAGGGGCCGTTAGCACCATGAGAGCCCCTAGTGACAGTGCGAGTATTCCTGTCCGTAGGCGGATAGCCTTCGTCGGGAGCTCACATAATTTCTTGCAAGTCCCCGCCAATCGATGCTTCACTTGTCCACATGACCCAGCGCTTCGCTTTCTGCTGTTTGACTTGAGACATTTGGTGCAGCACTGTCTATGTCCCGTTAGGCTGGGCGATTGATGAAACGGCAGACACGGCAGGGCATCTGTGGTCGGAAACAAAGCCTGTAGCCCCGAATAATCATCGCTGTGATTAATACCATAGGCTCCCAGAAAATGCGGGCTGAGTGCCTTGGCCTTTGATAGATGATAGCCCATGTGCCGGGTGAGAGATCACTGGAGGGGACTGGATCTCCCGAGTGCCCCGTTCGAGCTCAAGGATCAGTCTGGTCAAGGATTCGTTACAATTTTCCATAGACAGGCGCACGTTATGGCGAGTCTCCGTCTCCTGAATGTATGATTTTTTTGCGTATTCTCGGACTCCATGTCGCTGTGAACCTGAACCTGTCGAACCTCCATTCTTGCCTCTGTTAATCAACTCCTCCGTCGAGGGCAGGAACTCCCCATCTGTTTCCTCCATCCATCGTCCAGTCCAGCTCAACGCACCCAAAAGGTAAGTACCTCAGTCCCTATTGCAGCCAGCTCTCCCCTTTGCTCAGGCCAAATCCCGTTCCACCCTGGCACGCAGTGTCGTCAGTGCTGCCCCCTCCTCGCGCGCACACACAACAATCACATTCATCATCCTTCGTCGCTCTACTGCAGCGCTTCGCTTTGCTGGAGCTGGGCTGTGCCGCTGTTGCTGCAAGTGCCTTGCTTGTCTCGTCCCGGTTTCCTCGACTGGCCTGACGCCAGCATCGGACAACTGGAGCCCACTGCACTGATTCAATTCGCGCGGCGCGCTACTCATTACCTACGTACTGGGTCTCTCGCTCGCCTTGACGCAAGTAGAGTTTTAGCCTCTATTACGGCGGACCTCTAGTGCCATCCAGTCCCGTTGTCCCCATCTGCTCCAGTCCATCCATCTCCGTTCGTGCTGGCTGGCTGGCTAACCCGTTCCCAAAGCGCTGCTACCCGCCAGCCCAAGGGAGGGCTACTACCATGGATACACGTTCCACCCACTCCAACACCACCTCGCAACGTCGAAAGCTCACCAAGCGGAACCCTTCCTCCAACCTCTACTCCCCATCGACTGCTGCGGCGATTGACGCCGCCTTTGACGACCACTCTTCCCAGAGCAGGCGCAGCTCTCAAAGCTCGAGGCGCGCACCAAGCGTCCCGCCCATTCACGCATCCAACTCCACCAACCCCAACACCTCTGCGACCGCGGGCACGGCATCTCCTCGTTTGCCCACCAATACTTCGGCCCAGCGCCCGAACCAATCGCCCAACCTCCTTCAGGGCGACTTTCCCTCGCCTGGTGGCTCTGCATCGACCGAACCCCGTGTGCAGCCCCTCAATCCGGACGCTCGTGACGACTTCATCGGCGCACCCTTTGACGGCGCTGCGATCCTGAACCAACTCGACGCAGGCAACGCGGCGGGCTCGCACACCCCACAGCACGGTCGCAAGCAATCCGTACAGCGGCCACTCATTTCCCCTCCGTTGAATAGCTTTGGGACGACGACCGTTGCGGCCGGGCCGGACAACCAAGGCTCTCTCAAGCACACGCTTCGCGCTTCCGCCAGTTTCAGTAACATGGATGGAGCCATGTCAGAGAAGGGGCGCCCCGGGGAGAGCCCGTTGGCGAAGCGCTACTCAGACGAGGGCAAGGACTTCAAATCAACACTCACGCGCAAGAAGACTGGGTTGTCTGGGTTCGTGAACAGCTTGGTCGGGTCACAAAAAAAGCCTGTCATTTCGGCGCCAGAGAACCCGGTGCATGTGACGCATGTTGGTTATGATAGCTCCACTGGACAGTTCACGGTTCGTGCTCAGCAGACACTTCTAATGCGACGACTGGCTGACCGCATCTAGGGCCTCCCCAAAGAATGGCAACGACTGATCAACGAGAGCGGCATTTCCGAGCAAGAACGGCGAGAAAACCCGCAGACGATGGTCAACATTCTGCAGTTCTACAAAGAGACGACCGAGCGCGCACCCGAAGATAACCTCGAGAAGTTCCAGATAGCCCCTGGCGATCAACGACAATATGCAGCAGCTCCAGGCATGTACCCACAGAACTACACGGGTGTGTCCCCGTCACTAGTGAGGACCTCTCGATGCGATCAGCATTCTAACTTGACCCAGGTAGTTTCGAGAACCCGAGAGCAGCGCCTCCCGTGCCGGGGCGAGCCGGCGGCGGGGGTGGTCAAGGTGGACAGCCCAAGGATCTCCAGCCTAACCGACCGGCACCGAAGCCCCCCGTGGCAGTGAGCAACAGGCCGTATCCGCAAGGCACTTATGCACCCAAGGACTCGGCCATCGGGATGAGCCAGTCGGACGACTCCACCAGCGGCTACCCGGCGAACAAAAGCACAGAGAAGCTTCCATCGAGATCAAACTCGCGCGCGGCTGGCCACTCGCCCTACGCCCAACCGCCACAGCAACCTTCGGCTGCCCAGCAGAATGCGTACCAGCAGCAGCTCATGCAACAGCAGCAGGAGCAGGTCCTTGCTCAAGCGCAAGCCGCCATGTCTGGAGGCTACCCTCAACGGTCTGCAAGCAAGCGGCAAGGGCCCCAGCAACCTCATCCTGCTGCGCATCTCGGCCGTGGCCACCAACCACCAGGCGTCAACGGAGCGTCCGGCGCACCCTCGCCCCAACAGGGTCATGGAGCCCCCGGTGTCGGCCCACAACCGAGGCCTCGACAACGCCCGCGTCAGTCCGGAAACATCGATGTTATGCAATCACTCAGGCGGATATGCAACGACGGCGACCCTCGCGAAATCTTCCGCGGCTTCACAAAAATTGGACAGGGTGCGTCCGGTGGCGTGTACACCGGGCACGAGCGAGGCACCAACCGTCTGGTGGCTATCAAGCAGATGAACCTTGAGCAGCAGCCCAAGAAGGACCTCATCATCAATGAAATCATTGTGATGAAGGAGAGCTCACATCCCAACATTGTGAACTATCTAGACAGCTACCTCACGGGCGGTGAACTCTGGGTTGTCATGGAATTCATGGAGGGTGGCAGTTTGACTGACGTGGTCACCTTCAACATCATGACGGAGGGGCAGATTGCTTCGGTGTGTCGCGAGACTCTCAAGGGTCTACAGCACTTGCATTCCAAGGGTGTGATCCATCGCGATATCAAGTCCGACAATATCCTGCTTTCCAACGAGGGCAATATCAAGCTAAGTGCGTCTCCCGTCACCCCAGAATATGATCGCTTCTAACCACAGCAGCCGATTTTGGTTTCTGCGCTACTATCAACGAAGCTCAAAACAAGCGGACCACCATGGTCGGCACGCCGTACTGGATGGCCCCTGAGGTGGTGACGCGGAAAGAGTACGGGCGCAAGGTCGATATCTGGTCGCTCGGCATCATGTCGATTGAGATGATTGAGGGCGAACCGCCTTACCTGACCGAGTCGCCCCTGCGTGCCCTTTGGCTGATTGCGACGAACGGCACGCCCAAGATCAAGGACGAACATAACTTGACGCCCGTGTTCAAGGACTTTTTGTATTTCGCGTTAAAGGTGGATCCCGAGAAGCGAGCGAGCGCGCATGATCTTTTGAGGGTGAGTCTTCTTCTTACTGTGCCACACACGACGTTTGGGACAATGATGGCTGACACCCTAGTAGCATGACTTTATGAAGCAGTGCGTTGATCTGGCACAGCTAGCCCCTCTCGTGAGGGCGGCCAGGGAACAGCGCGCGCAGGAAAAGGCACGAAAAGCATAGGGGGCTAGATGGCTTTCACGGCGAGCGCCATGATGGGGCGATTGAACAGGTTGGGTTGACTGCTCAAACATACGAGGGGGCCGGCCCTTGCTCATCTACTCCAAATACAACCCGGCCCGTTTGCACTGTTGCACGTGTTTCTCCGGGTTGCTTCCGTTTTCCTATTCTTATTCACTGGGATGGGATATACCCGACACTGGCCCGCAAATGACGTGGCTGGCATGGTTACTTTGCCTTTTGGATACTTTTTGATGCTTTCTTTTTTTTTTCGCTCATATCTAGACTTGGTTCAAAGCCATGGGTCTTTTCTCCTTATTTTTCTTTCTTCTCTTTTCTTTTGGAGCAAAGAATTGCTGCTGACAAGACGATGGGCGGCGAGTGTGCATGGCGGATTCAATAGATTCAGGTAGCAGGGCTCTCCAGCAACTACGATCCAATTCCCTTCAGCGTAGAGAGTACGCACCTTGAGTTGGGGTTCATGTGCATTATCAACATTGCGGCCATGGAAGGAATGATAGTTTGTGGGGAGATGTATTACTAGCCTGGCCCATACATGCCAGGCGGTGTCTATGCCAGACCACTCTATCTGGGGCGCATCCGCAGTCCCTGAAACGCCGTGGCTCGAAAATCACGACCAAAACACAAAAGAACAACAAAAGCAAACATGCTGTGCCAACCACCTGCGCAATGCCCTATCCGGAGAACTCATGCCTCGACGCCTTTTTCCTTGCCTGACACCAAATCAACCCAATGGGCGCGCTCAATTAGTAGCAGGAGTAGCCACCGTCGATGAGAATGTTGCTTCCGGTCATGAAGCGCGAAGCGTCAGACGCCAGGAAGACGCAGAGCCCGTTAAGCTCATCGACGCCACCAAGGCGATTCTGGGGCGTCAGGGATTTCCAGATCTTCTTCTGCGCCTCGAGGGCGGGCACGCGGTTGAGGGCGGTGTCCATGTACCCGGGGGAGATGCAGTTGACGCGAATGTCGTGTTTGGCCCATTCAGCGGCGATGGACTTGGCGTACTGGATGACACCAGCCTTGGAGGCGTTGTAGCAAGACTGCTCCTGGGGGTAGTTGACAACGGAGCCGGACATGGACGCGATCAGGATCAGAGAACCGGGCTTGCCAGCGGCCATCATGGCACGGCCGATAGCCTGGGTCATGAGAAAGGTGCCGGTCAGGTTGATGTCGATCAAGCGACGAAACATGGCAGGGTCGTAGGTCTCGGCCTTGATGTTGGAGTCGGCGATGCCGGCGGCGTTGACAAGAGAGTCGGGGCAGCCGTAGAGATCGACGACGGACTCGACAGCGGCGTTGATGGCGGCGCCGTCGCGCACGTCGACCTTGAAGAAGGAGACGGGGAGGCCTGACTTGTCGTGAAGCTCGGCCGCAGCCTGGTCACCGAGCTCCTGGTTGGCGTCGAAGATGACAATGTTCTTGGCACCAGCCTCCGCACAGGCGCGGGCCATGTGGTTGCCGAGACCGCGAGCGCCGCCTGTGATGATGATGGTCTGTCCGTACACGGTCATGTTGCGGAGAGTGTGCGGCATGGCCTCGTGCACACGCTTCGAAAGGGGCTGCACGACATCGTGCTCGAGAGGGGGCTGGGGCGACTCAAAGGGGACGGTCGAGTTGTGGGCGCCCACGCTGACAGTGCTGTGCTCGCCCTGGCCTTCGCCGGCGCCGTAGCGCGTGACAGGGACCTCGCGCTCGCGGACGACACTGCGCTTCGGCTCTGACTCGGACACTTTGTTGATGTGGGTTGTCGAGAAGGCACGTGTCGCAGCCTGGGGAGTGGAAAGACGGGCCAGGGGGGCAGTAGCCCGGGTCATGCGCAGGAAGTTTCGTGCGGCGAAAGCCATTGTGTCTGTAAGGACGGGCTTTGGTTGTGAAGAGACTTGTGGAGACGAAGACGTAGAGTGAGATAGTAGCGAGCGGTGGGTTTTCCAAAGAGGAAGAGAACGAAAGACACGTTCAGCGTGAAGAAAGTTCAAGGGTGAAGGGGAAAAGAAGTGAGGAAGGAAGCAAGCAAGCAAGCAAAAAGACCAGAAAGGCGGCTGTCGACCGAAGCTGATAATTATAGGCAGGACGGTCAAGCCACTGGCAGCCACGGGGGGTCCAGTGGGTATCCAAGCTAATTAGAGCCGGATACGGTGAGTTGCAAGTGAGCGGGAGTTGTCGAAGAGACAGGCTAAGGGTGAGACATAGCTAAATGTCATGGCGGTTTGTGTACTAGCAAGTCGTGAAGCGGTAGTCGGGTCGTGGGTGTGGGTGTAGCAAAGACCAAAGTCTCGACCTGGAGTGGGTGGACCCTGACCGCCCTGCCCTATGCGGGTGCCTGGCCGGCTTCATTCCTGAAGCCGGGGGTCTAGGATGTTTGGGTCCGGCATAGATAGCCCAGTCCATGTCGCCTCACTGGCCACGAACTCAGCCAGCACCGTGGCTTTTGGTCCGGTTCGAGGCAGTTTGTTGCTTCTTTTCGCTTCTTCAGTTAAATATTGAGCTCAGGCGATCAGGAGATGAGATGATTGAGTCCAGAGTCCAGACTCAGGATCCAGTCATCCACATGCGCAGAAGAGGCCTACGACCGGATGCAAGTGAAAGATGTCTCAGATCTTGAGTGACTACAAGCTCACCCACAGTATTTATCTGCAAGCATGCTCCTTTATGCCCGCGAGACACAAGTTCGAGAATGCTTTAGAAACCTCCGCTGTCGGATTTCGATGCTTGGCTGCCATCATCAACATGTTGTCATCCAGGGGAACCAGAAGGATGGTGGTGGTGTGACTGGTCTCAACTTGTCAAGTCGCGGAAATGGGGGTCGCACCGCACCGCGCCGCTCTCGCTGGTTCAATTTGACATGGGGATATGGAGCGTGCCGATGTCGCTTGTTCTTGGTTCCCAAATGACTGGATTGCCTTGCGTTGCGAGAGCACGCTGCTCGCACGATGCATTTTGAGATCGTGTCGAGCATCGTGCCTAGATGCATCATTCCCATCGGACACTTTCATCGTAACGACAGGGCACCCGCTCAACAATATCTCCGCCTAGTGTGTCCCGGACTGATATTTCCTTTCTCAGGGCGCTATTTCGCCCGCGGCTGGCTTGCCAGGTGGCAGGCAATGGACATCAATTATCAGCCCCCACGATTCTCCAAATGTTCCCCGAGGCACACCGCCATCTCACCGACTGGAGTCAAGGGTCAAACAAATTGAAGGGGGCACGACTCCATGAGCTGAGCTGGCTCCCCCACGCTGGAGCTTGCCTGCCTGTGTGTCACATGCGCCAGGGCCACGAGTCTCATGAAATCCAGACGTCCTGCATTCATGAATTTTGGTGACCAATTCCGGCTTGTCGGTGGCTTGCAGAGAACTGCAACAGCGAATTCGTCCTCATACCGACCTCGGAATGATCCCCAGGCACTCGCACGAGTTCGAGCAGCTCCAGTCTCTGGCGTGCCGCACCACTGTACAGTAAAGCTACGATTAACGCTATGATATTCGTCAATAGAAAACTGCATCGTTGCCGTGGTACGTACAACCTGGACCAAGGTGCAACGACCCCAGAAACTTCTTTGTTCCCCGGCTGTGGAAAGGGAGGCTTACACCGACACCCCGCATGCGGGCAGCGATCACATTTTCAGCAGCTATCAAGGCTTAATTCTAGGGTGTGAGTCTATTGGCATCCTCGGATTCCGAGCTGGGCGCAGCTCCATCGTGCTCTTTGTTACCAGGTAACGTTCACGGCCAGTGTGAACCTGTTCCATTCTCCTGGGCTTTTGCTAATTACTCTCTTACGATTTATTCTGGACAATATCTGTATCGCTCGCGCGTTGGTCTCGCTCCACGTGGGATCGACAATCATGAGTGGGCTTGAGCCTTGGCGGCGTGGAGGGAGGCACGTCAAAGCGGGTATCCCGCTCTCCATAAGCCAAGACGAATACGTAAGGTATATTTGTATACGTAGTTCACTGCAGGTCGTCAAGCAGCAGCTGAAACATGAGGAATCATCTTCATGTGTTATGACCAGCGGGGAGATATCTGTGTAGCATGTCTACCCAGCGCTCAATCAAAGCGGGTCGACATACAGCTTCGCAATACGAACCCAACCGGGAGAACTGCTTGATCACAGTAACAGCATACGTCCATTCATGCGTAGTGGCCATCAGCTCCCCTGCGGCCGTGGCGTTGGGTAATCTCTTTCGCTGCAAACTCCTTTGTATCATTACAAGATCCACTGTGCGCCGCCAATCCAGCAGTTTCCCATGTCGTGCATTTCCCTCGCTCGATTTGTCAAAGCCGGCTCGAAGACCATTCTACAGACGCTCGCAGCAACCGGTCCAACGAATGGGTTAGTCTGCAGCATCTGCGTCGTGGTGTCGACTAGATACGGTTGACGCCCCCCCAAGGACTAGTGCGTCCGACCACCCCACCATCATGCCAATCTATTCGCTGTCGCTACCATATTCCGCAGCCTCTACACGGACGTACTCGAGCAGTGATGCAATATATGGGGCCTATATCCTGCGTTAACCGTCATGTCCAAGATGAGATCGTACCATGGACCACTTACCAATGCTCTGTTCTCGGCCAGAATCTCAAATAGACGAGGTTGTACTGGCCGGAACAGCTTCTCGTTCCATCCGCCACGCTCCGATCCGTCAGAGCCTTGTGCTTTGACCAATTCCTCCTCTGCGTCCGTCTTGACGACATTACGCGCCAGATTGCGGAGGATGAGCACGGCACTGAGAGGGATACCCGCTGCTTGCGGCGGTAGATTCGGATTGCGCTCGTCACGCTGTGTCTGGGTCTCCTCGTTGCTGACGGCCAACGTGACAGCAGGAATGACCCACCGCCTGCTCGTAGGGTCCTGCGGCGGCGAGGTGATGTGGGTATTGACGTGCCGCGCGAGATCCTGGAGGTGCATCTTAGTGGGTTTGTTGTACCTGGTGCAGCTCCCCCATGTGCACATGTACTCGCGCTCCACGTTGTCAAACTGCCCTTGCTCGTTGCGCTGGACTCGCAGATGGTCGACCATGACGTGATTCCACATTTGTTCAGCATCCAGATAGAATTTGCCACACTTGAGCTCCAGTCGCGTTGGATCCTGGGCCCATTCGCATTTCTTGTACTCAACACCATCCACACTGAGGGGAGCCGGTCGCGCTCGCAGCCCCTGTATGATGAATCGTTGCTGCTGGTCCGCCGGGTCCCGGTGGACCTGCGCATTCGAGTCCTTGTACACAGATGTGCTGTTCCTAATGAAATCGGCCGGTGAGATGAGGGACTGTCCGATGGCCTTGAGGGGCGCCACAAATGCCCCTTGGTACGCTTGCCACGCTGACAGTTGTGTGATGGATGACTGGCTGTCCTCCTCGAAGAATGACCGGACCCACGCGTGCACACGCTCAGGCTCGTCGATCTTGAGAAGCTCCTGTGTGAGATCCTCGGGGATGGACGCTATCTCGTCCCGCGAGGGAATCTTCCGTTCGGGGGCGAGAACCTTTTCAGTCGTCGTCTTCTGGGCGCCGTGAGCAAGCAATCGGGTGAGGTGGTCGACGAGAACGTGTGGTGATAGTGAGCGGATGAGATTGTCAACGTTGGGGACGACCGCCGTGTATTGGTAGAGAAAGTCGAGGCAGGCATCCGTCAATTCGTCGTCATTGAGGAGGAGCCAGGAAACAATTCGTTCCAGCGTCTGTGACGGCACATCGCCGAGCTTGTTAGTCGCCTCGAGGTTAACTGAGATGCGACCCAAAGCACGCAATGCTGTGAGAATGGTGCCTCGATCATCCGACGTCAGCTGCCAAAGAAGCGTGCGGTAGAGAGGGTCGTCAGAGCCGATGTCCAGGAATGGAGTGATCTGCTCCGCCATGTCAAGGGCCATGTGCTTGAGCTCAGTGAGGGAATCTTTGGCTGGGAGGTGCATGATGATGATGATCAGGTCCTTGAGTGGATAGAAATCAGCCATGTAGTGCGCGTTCTCGGGCAGGGTCAGCATGTTGCGCAGCGTTAGCACTGCCTCAGTCACGAGAAGCAGCTCGTCCGAGTATCGCTCTGTTTGCATTACATCCGGTAGTTCCTTTTCGATGAGATCACGAATGCGTTCGATAATGTCAGGCGTGCCAGAGTTGCCGTCTAGTAAGCCAACATCGCTCGTTTGTTCGGTTGAATCCCAAGATACGGTCCAGTCGATGTGATAGAACAAGTTGCCGACATGAAGCGCCTTTTCAACCAAGCCTTCAGCCAGGCCAGGGAACGAGTCGAAGCGGAATTTGTCGCCACGCTCAAATGATATCTTGACAAGATGATTCAACGCGAACGCTTGTTCGGCTGGCACGCGAGATCGAAGAGCATTGAGGCAGCGGGTGTAGATGTTTGGGCCGTCAAAGCCAGCTGTCATGCTAATCAGCAAAGGTCTACCGAAGTTTAGGTGCGCTACTCACTGCCAGGGAGCATGGGCCCTTGGTTCGCCTGGGAGGCTTGCCGCTGCTGGCGTTTTGTTTTCAGAAAGTCGTCTGGCGCGCTGCTGGGCGTGTGCACCGGCCGAAGTGAGAGCGCCTTGATGTGGCGTGGCTGGTACACTTCGACTTGAGAAGCCATGTTCTCCACCGTTGCTGGTCTATGGAACAAGGAAGGGCCTCGTTGGCCGTGATGTCCTACCATTCCAGGTGCGTGTTGACTCATGTTGGGCGAGTTCGTGTGGTTTGGCACCTGCTGCGCAGCTGCGGCTCGTGTGCGGCTAGGTCCTGTGTCGGGTTGGAATATCACGCGCTGTGCTGGTGCTTCGCGAAGGCCCCGCGACGCGCGAGCGCTGCCTCCGGCATCAATGACGGGCCGTTCTCTGGCTGGTGTGCCATCGTCGCCCGACGCTGCTGAATCAGGGCCACTGGCGCCCACTGTACTTTGGCGAATCCCCTTGAAGTTCTCTCGCGTACGTGTGAGCAGGCCAGCTCCTTTTGCCGTCACATCCTCGAGGATATCCTTGGGCGGAGGTTCTTGGTTGTGGACGGTGCGGATCTCGAACGCAGCCAGGTTCTTGTAGAATTTCTCCTTCAAGGCGAAGGCTGTCGATGCTTCATTGTGAGAGTGGATTCCAAGCTCGTGAGCGATCCTCCTCCATGCGAGCTTCTCTTCCGAGATCTTGTCGTATCCTCCCTGCGCAACGACATGGTTGAAAACCTTGAACAGGTCGAGGTGTGTCGACCCAACCTTGGGCTCAGAGTCGAGAGCGGTGCCGCGCTCGATGTGAAAGTCGCGCAATCGGCGCATAAAGTCCTCGTACTCCGGAGTCCGGTCGATCATGTGCATTGGGCCATCTTGGGGCGCCATGGTGGGCTGTCGCGCAAGCCAAGGGATGTGTGGACGCGGTCGTCGCCAGCCTCTGGGGGACTCGATTGGCGTCGCGGCGCCACAGTTGCTCGTCCGTGTCTCTATGCGCCGATGAGCTGCTGATTGGGGTTGCTCAGAGAGTGGTGGCGCTCGGTCCAATGGTTTCGCGATCGGGAACGATAATCTGCGTTGGCGTTTGGCGTCGGCGTCGGCGTTGCCCAAAGCGCGTCGCAAATTGAGCAGACCAAGCCAGCTCTTGCTGCACGTGAGCTGGGGGAAGTGGGCCAATCGGAGGATTTCCTGGCCCCCACTATCAAGCATGCACCCACCTTCCTCCTCGGCCTTTGTCTACGTGTAAGTGGAAGGAGCAAAGGAGAGGCACGAAGAGTGCAGAGCAAATCTTAAAAAGTGAGATTTTTCTCTTCGCTAAGCATCCATCATCAAGTTCTGCCAAATTACGATGTCGCCCCCAACGCCAATATCTGGCTGCTCTCTCAGGCGCCTTGAGGTGTACAACGGACAGTCATCGCCGCAAGTATACGACTCATCCCACGGCCTTACTATGACGCTTGAAAGCCAATTGGCAGCTAAAGCGAGACCATCTCTGATACTTCTATGCCATCAAGGCGCGCGACCTGTGGTGAGACACAGCCCGGCCCCTGAGCTGGGAACTCATGCTCACCCCTGACGTGCTGATAGTTGTCAATTCGCCTCGGTGATCTTCTCCAGTCACCGACTCAAGGTGACCCGATCAGCATGGAAACATGGCTTCAACAGATTCGCATCTGCGTCTCTGCTGATCAAAGACTATCCCTGGAGCTACAAGATCCTCGAGCCTTCGACATAGCTATATGCATGCTGCGCAGGATCGGGTTCGAGATCAAAGACGGCCTCCCTGACTCATCAGTTTCCAGCACGCAATCGACTACTCTTACCCTTGCTCCAGAATTGTCCCAGAATACCCGCCTGTCAGATGTCACTCAACTTACCGAATCGCGGTTCAGCCAAGCACGAGAACCACTTGATTGTTCGTAGGAGAACGACCACCTGGTATCCCAAGCGTCAAATATACCGGGCGGCAAACCGACTGTTGGGATCACGAGGCCTTCCCAATCATTCGATCCTTATCATGCCCTGCTAGAAAGATCCATGCAGAGGAGCCAGACTGATTGGAACCTACAAGAGAGCCCACTGGTTCGCCATGGCCCAGATCGACAAGTATCCGACTTGGGACCATTGCAAAATCCGACAGCAGCCGAGTTCTCAAGCTATCGAACAATGTCTGTGGATTCACCTTTCACTCAGACGCATGCGTCATATGCCCAACCGGTTGAAGTCCGCAGTCCCTACCAGCAACCCAACAGCCGGCTGTCGAAAATGCAGCGATCGCGCGATACTGTGGCTGAAATCCGAAGTCTGTTGCCCCGGCCGCGCAAGCTGCCATTTTCATCAACAACTCAGAAGCTTGCGGACGAAGTTTCAGTAGACAACAGGGAAGAGACACGGCCCCCACGAAGAAAATCGCAAGGCCATGCCAAGAAGACTGCATCATCGAGGAATCGGCTCCAAGATCCTTCGGTCAACGACGTGAAAGACCAATCCGGCGAACTAGTCAAAATTGACCTTCAAGCGGATGCCAACTTGGAAACTCGCAAGGATGCCAACAAGTTGGCAAGTCCCAGACCAACGGTGAGCTTGCATTCGAAATCCAAAGAAGCCCAGCCAACTGCCAACCAGTCAAGAGCACGGGTTAAAAAACGAGCCAAAACACCGACCTCACGGGCTAAGAGGAAAGTCGCCAGAGGCTTGCCCAGAAGAGCACCTCGAAAACCCAGCATCAAGGCCTCATCTCCTTCGGAAAAGGTCCCAAGTAGAATCACAAGGTCAAAGGCACGTAGCGCCTTGGTGACGAGCGCAGAAGACGATGGAGCGAGCCTCTCTGCGGAGCAGACTTCAGAGGCGACGAGCCTACCTATAGAGCAGACCCCAACGGACGCCTCGACTGGATCAGTTGCCGAGACGTCAACGCGGCAAACGAGAAAAGCGACACGCGAGGGACTGTCGGAAGCCGTGACGTCTAATGCAGCGCCAGCTCTCTCAGAAGCAGAGAAGAAAGACCAGGAAACATCAAAACGACGCAGGACTACGGAGCCTGTGGCCCAGAAAGACTCGGGATCAGCAAACCGGCGGAAAAGGGCACGGGCGTGCAAAGTCAACGCCACGCAAGAGCATGCCCAGAAGAGACCCAAGGTGATCGCTTGTGAGTTGTGCCACATACGCAGATTAAAGTGCGATTTGCAGAAACCATGCTCGAGCTGCCGCACAGTAAGTGTAAATTGCGAAATCTCGAATGCAGTGCTGATGCCAGTCAGAGAAATGTTGTTTGCCGCCCTAGGAACGCAACGGATCGTCAGCGACAACACAGTTCAACGAGCGTTGCTCATCAGCAAGAGAACGAACCCGAACAGCCCAACAGCACAAGTCAACCGGCACCTGAAGGTCAGGCTGGACCTTGTGCCAGTAATGTTCTGTGTGAAGCCCAGGCTGAAGTTCAACAAACTCCTCAATGTCCTCAGAGTTCGGGCACCTCCTCGACGCACACTCCTCCTACGCAGCTGGACATCCCAATCCTGATCACGGAAACGATGTTGGACCAGGTCAACGCAGTTTCTGCTGTCGTGCTGGACCAATATGAAGCCGATGCCCGCGCCTGCGGTGCGCATGGAAATGCAGAGGCTTTCTACGACCAGCTGATGACCGCAAGGCGAGACTACTGGTACGGACAGCTCGTGGAGACAGCTCGTTCACCATGGGCCACACCACTGTAACCATGTGTGATAGCGACAATTGAAGATTCCGAAAAGATACTTGTCTAATGCAAAATCAATGCAGCAGGGGTAATCCGAGGTAGCCTCAGCAAAGAAAAGCAGAGCAAAGCAAAAAGGATCCAAAAACAGGAGAGTCTTATGTACAATTTTTAACCAACATCTTGTAGTCTTGTGCGCACCTGTGAGCGAGAATGGGGTCTCTAGGGGTTCATCTTCACATAATTGCTAGGAAAGATGCCGTGCCTCGATCCGATCATGCCAGTCCTGTGCATCTGGTTAGCTGTCATATACGACTACTGTGCATGCATGCGCCTCAACTCACCACCAGTCATTCGTGCTCTCTGTCTTCTTGAGCACTGTGATGACATCGCCCTTCTTAAAGCCCAGATCGCCGGGCTGGTCGGCGTCAAAGTTGAACAGGGCAACTGCCTCGTTCTGCTTCAGCGAAGACCCCTTGTTACCACCAAACTGAGGCTTCGGCGCGGTCGGTCGTCCAGGCCCAGCTCGCTTCTCGCTGGCCTGGCTCGGGTGGTCGCTGTACGCGTAATCGTTGTCAAAGCGGCTACCGCGCGACGCAAACGTATTGGATCGGGAGACGCCTGCGCCACCGGAAGAAGGCTGATCGTACATGTCGTCCTGCCAGGTATTCGAGCGCTTGGGTGCGTAGAAGCTGTCGTCCCCTCCGTATGCGCTCCCGGAACCGGTGCGGTCGGACCGCACGCCCTCGCCGTATGCGCTGCCACTGCGTCCATTCCAGACCACGTCGTCGTGCGAGTCTGAGTAGACGGGAATGTCGTTGTACATGGAGTCGCTGTCGTTCATGGTTCCAACCCTTGCGCCGCTGAACACTCTGGAGTTGAGGACGGTCATGAGGGGGGCCGCCTGCGGTGGTGGCGCCACCGACCCGGTCAAGAGCTGCGCCGCAGTGTATCTCGTTCCGTACATCTTCTCGTTCGCGTCGCGACGCTCAATGATACCGCCTCCCTCGAGGGACACACCGGCGAACAGGCCCTTGGTCTTGGAGTACGAGAAGACACCGGCGACACCCTTGAGCGAAGCCGCGCCGGCCGCCTCGGCATTCCTGCCGACCGGACCGGCGGCCAGACTCACGTTGCCGCCCAGTGTCAAGCTGCCGGCCTGCGCAAACGTCTTGACCGCGCTCGCGTCATTGAGGATGAAGACAAAGTCGGTCAACTCGAAGCCGATCTGTCCGCCAAAGCCACCGCCGACCGTCGCAATCGCACTGGGCGCACTCCAGGAGCCGTCAGGCAGACGGGCGACGACCAGCCCGGAACCGAAGCGACCGGACCCGAGGAATCCAGCCTTGAGGACGGTGATGATGGCGAGACCTTTGGCGTTGGAGAGGATGGACGGCGGGATGACCTTGTCGGGTCCGAAGGCTTGGCGGGGGTTGATGAAGGAGGTGAGGATCTTGCCGCACTTTTTGCATTCGGCTGTCTTTTTGTCAGTGGGACGGAGGTCGCCTTATACATAGCATTCTGGGTTTAAAGGCAACATACACGCCATGGACGACGGCAGGGGGTTGTGCAGGCCCATCTTGACGGTTGGGGCTGCCTGGCGGGCTGCGACAGCGGGCTGTTGTCGAATGCGGGGGGGCTAGAGTGAGTCCTCCTTGCGGAAGAGCTGGGAATGGCGTCGCACGGGTTGTAGGTGGTGGAATTCGGCGAGCGCTCGTTCTCTCTAGACGTCGCAGAGCGTAGCAGGTGACGGGTTGCACTAGATGACAGGAGGCAGGAGAAGGAGGAGCAGGAGGATCGTGCAATGACGAGGACGGTGGATGACGGACGGGGTTGGTGATGGAGCAGCACAGCCCACACTGCTTGCGCGGTTGGTTAGGCTTGGCTTGGGAAGCGGACGCCGGACGGACGTGGAGCGTGGGGAATGATCGTTAATTGTCCTGTGGCTGGTGACTACTCATAGACGCGTGCCTTGTGGCGGCGTGTGGCGGTGCAACCTTAACTGGACCTCTGCGTCATGCCTTGAGCCAGACAATGCACCCAGCGCCACGACCCCAAGCACGATCCACGCGGTGATTGACAGTCGCATTCTCCCCGAGATCACGCCCAGCGACCGACCGAGTAGCCCAACATGTCCGAAGCCTACGAGCGCGAGCGCCAGAACAATGACCGGCTCAGCGAGCTCTCCAACAAGGTGTCCGCCCTCAGGGGCATCACGGTGGACATTTACGACCAGGCCTCCTCGCAAAGCCTCATCGACAACACGGTACATCTATAACGACCCGCCAGACAAACAGGGAGGCTGACAGCGTGATACAGAGCGAGACATTCTCCTCCATGGGCACCCAGATGAAAGGGTCCGCAGGCCGCCTGACACGCATGGCCGCGTCGGGCAACAAGGTCGCCATTATGAAACTGGCGGGCATCTGCATCGTCGTCTTTCTCGTGTTATACTATGGTCTGAAGCTGATCTTTGGAGGCGGCAAGAGCTGAAAGAACAAAAGAGAACTGGTCACGGTGAATGGGTTCAATACAAGCATCGGCGTTTGGGGATTTCCATTTTTTAACAGGGGGGAAAGGTCTATGCAAGATTCGATTTTTCTGTTTCTCATATACATGCATGCTTTGTGCCCTTGCTTTTTTCGGTCGGTCCGTCATTGCAAAGACGCCTCATGAACGCCCATCATCATGCCCAGCCCATTCGTCAACGTAGTCTAAAAAGTCCAGCCACCCGCTTGCTCGCTAGTCTATAAGTGTGGTTTCACTCCGCCGTTCCTGGCTACTACTGCCAGACATTGGAGAAGAGGTCCTCCTCCCCGCCGAAGCCTTTGCCGGCGCTGCTGCTGTTGTTGTTGGTGTTGCTCGTGGTCGACGGACCGGTGCTGCTAGCCCAGCCGCCAAACTCCTCATCCGCGGCGACCTTGGGCGCAGCACTGAACCCACCCGAAGCACCGGGCACGATGGGGGTGCTGGCAAAGGACCCTCCCGAGTTACCCCATCCGATATCGCTGGATGCCGCGAGAGCGGGTGGGTTGCTGGGTGCAGCGGGCGCGGCTGGCGTCATGACGGCTGGGGCAGGCGAGGAGCTGGCCCACTCGTTGCTCCCCCAGACATCGGCGCCAGACATGCCGCCAAAGGCAGGTGCGGCTGCAGCCTTGGGCGGGGATTGCTTGGGCGGAGCGGGCGCAGGCTGTGAGAGGTTGAAGACGGAGCTCTGTGTCACAGGGGGGGACATGGCCGGAGCGGGCGGGGATCTGGTCTGTGTGACCGGGGCGGACATGTCGAACAGATCCTGGGAGGCGGCGGGTTTGACGGGCGCCGCAGCTGGAGCCGCAGGCGAGGCGAAAGAGCCCCAGTCTCCGAACCCACTGTTGGACGGCTTCTTCTGATGGGCCGGGGGCGACTGGGGCTTTGCGTCGAAGAAGCTGCCCCCTCCCAGACCGCCGAATGCGGTCGTGGTGGGAGGGGCCTTGGATGTAGGTCGACTGTTGCTGGCACCAAAGCTCGCAAAGGGGTCGGCAGGGGCTGGAGGAGGCTGATGGCTTGTGGTGCTGGACATGCTCAAGTTGCTGAAAGCGTCGGTGAATCCTCCAGTGGAACTCTGAGGGGCCGGACCAAAGCCAGGCGAGGACATACCACCAAAGGAACCTTGTTGCTGATGCTGGGGTTGCGGAGGCGCCTGGGGTTTGGGCGCCGAAGCATAGAGGGACAGGATAGATTGCTTCAGATCCGGCCGTGACTGACCGCCGGGGGTGCTGACGCCAGTAGTGCTCGCAGGTCGGGGCGGCGCGGTCGACTCGCCCAGGAAATCAAGGCCGAGAAGGGAGGAATTCGATTGCGGTGTTTGCTTTGGAGGTGCCGGGTCCGCCTTGGGTGGCAGTCTGTTGCTCGCAGCCGGGCCTGCGGTGCTAGCGCGAGGGGGACCGCTGCTGTCGCCGCCCAACAGGTCGCCCGTAGGCTGCGATGGGCCTTGGAGAGAAACGCCCTGGCCAGCTGATGGCTTCCGCACGGACTGGCTCTTTTCAATGGCCTGCTTCTCCTTGACGACGCTCAAGGGAACGTCGTCGTCGCCTTCGGCATCGAGGGTGGCGGGGTCTGGTGGCGGCCCTTCCATGGCCCATCGCTTCAGCTCGTACTTTGTGCGGATGAAATTCTCAATCTTGGACTCGGAGGGGACGTGACCGGGCGCGAGCTTGGCCTCCCAGTACTTGTTGGCGCGCGCGTTGCCCCAGCTGAGGATGCTCTTCATCTGCTCGTCGGTCCAGGAGTCGAGGTCGACGGATTTGACGCGCGAGATGTGTGTGCCCATGCCGCGGTGGATGCCGGAGCAGCGGATGCAGACAAAGACGCCGAGGTTCCAGCTCGCCCATCGCGGGTCTGTTGTTGTTGGTTAACACATGATGCGGTCAGGTAGGCAGAGGGCACGCACGCTTGTTCTTCTTGCAGTCGGCGCAGACCTTGTTGGGCTCGAGCTTGAGCAGGCTCTTGATGGTGGCCTGGTTCTGCGCGGCGCGCTCGGCGGAGGGGTTGGGCGGTCGTCGAGACATGTTGACGTTGGCGCTCGCGTCGAGTCGAGTTGGATGGATGGGGTTGAGGGGGTGGACGACTGGAGTTGTTGAACCTGAAGATGCTGGCTGCCGCCCCTGTCAGGCCAGGCCCCGGCACGCCTCGCGTGGGGTTGGGCCGGGCCTGGTGGTCCGTGCGGGATCTGGCTGGTAGTGGCAGTGGGAGTGGGAGTTGGCTGCTGGCACAATATTACATCGCTCTTGATGAATTGACTTTGAGAACCTATGGGCATTGCTTTGGGAAGAGAGGAGCATGTATTCTAATTTAATTTAGAAAGACTTTCACTACTCAATATTTAGAAAAGCTTGCTGAAGGCTCTGGTCGAGATCGAAAGGACATGGTCTTTGTGTTCAATTATACGCGGAGGTCATTTCGAAAGCTAGGGGCAGACAGAAGGCATGTTAGGCCTGTTGTACGTTATCAATCCCATGGAGCGCAATACAATACGCATATATAAATGCTCGTGTTTCTATTCCAAATTCTATCATTCGTCCCTCTCCCATTTGGAATACTTTGTCGAGCTGACAGACTGCGACGCCTGCCCTGCTCCGCCTCCCGGGTGGGCTGAATGGAATCAATGATGCAACCTCCACTTAGCGATCGCCACCACGCGAGAACTGCGTGTCATACAGACAGCCTCGTGATTTGTCACTCTTGTCTTCTTTTCTCACTCAAACTTGTCGCAAATTTCATATAACAGGCCGGTGATGCGCCCATCATTGTTCACCTCCATCATCTACGCGACAGCAAACACCACGAGACTCACCACCGCCGCCAGAACAGGCCTCGCTAGATTTGCGCCAGCAGTAGCAGCAGCTTCGGTCCCGCGCCACATGTCCTTCCTCAGCAATCTTTTCTCCTCCTCCTCCTCTTCCAACAGCGCCTCCAACATGTCGTATCCCGACTCGCGCACCGCCGACGAATGGCGCGCTGTCCTCAACAAGGAGCAGTTTCGCATTCTGCGCGAGAAGGGCACCGAGGCCCCCGGCTCCGGGACCTACGACAAGCACTACCCATCCGACGGCGTCTACACCTGCGCGGGCTGCGCAACACCCCTCTACAAGGCCAACCACAAGTTCAAGTCGGGCTGTGGCTGGCCCGCGTACTTTGACAGTATCCCCGGGGCCGTGACCCGGCATGAGGATCGGGCCTTTGGCATGGCGAGGACGGAGATTGTCTGCAGCAACTGCGGTGGCCACCTGGGTCACGTCTTCAAGGGAGAGGGATTCCCCACGCCCACGGACGAGAGACACTGCGTCAACAGCGTCAGCCTGAACTTTACCCCCGAGGACAAGAAGGCTTGAGCGATCTGGCTTGGGATTGTGAATTTGTGCGACGAGCGGGGAGTTGGTGGTTGGAGATGTTGCAGTATGTACATAGCTGGGGCTTGAACTGGTCGAGTCGCATCAATATAGGAAATCCTTTGATACATTGAACATGATGGTCCCCTGGGATCTCCCGCTGAGACTATCGACGACTCGTATACGACTGTAGGCACATGTTGTCAAGTAACAATATCAGGCTGGTCCAGGCGGGCTCACACCGTGCACCAGAGCCAGTCCATAGCAGATGCTGCAGATGAGCACTCGAGAGATAGATAACGAGCCTCTCCGCTAACGCACAGCGATAAGCTGCAGAGATTCAGAGAGTCAGAGACCTAGAGACACCGTTTTCGAGATTCTTGGGACGGCTTCAGATGTTCCTCAGTTCGTCTTGGTAGGCTGGTTGTAAGGCCACAGCCTTGAGGGAGACTGGCGGGCGGTTCTGTGTTTAGCACACCACTGATCAGTGTCGAGAGGACGGCTTGAGCGTCGGACGAAATGCCTCTCCCAGAAATCTACGAAAAATCCGGGGAAGACCTGGAGAAGACGATGCAAGCGTTGACCCCAGAGTGCAGTCTAAAAGGCCAAATTGCATGTGAAAGCCCTCATTAGCCGCTACCGGCAACCGGCGGCGCCAAGTCCGACTGGCCCCACTTGTCGCGACGAGCCTCGGTCGGTCGGTGGCTGATGTCACGGCGGGCATTGTGCTCCTACGAACCATCACATGGATCCGCGGCTGGCAGCACAGTCTTGCCATCTGAATAAGCAGCTCCTCCTTTTATAACTCTGTCATCCTCGCTGTCTCACATTCTCTGTCAACTCAACACAAACCACAAAACACCGACAAAATGGGTGGTATGTATCCCCAGACGCGCGCGCGTCCTCGCTGCGCAATGGACAAGAAGACACGCGCTGACACGATGCAGCTCTCGACAGAATCTCACAGATTGGTGGCCAGATGTCTGGCAACCCCACCGCCGGCGGCGTCTCCAAGATCCTCGAAAAGCGTCCCGACGATGTCGTCGTCACCGCCTGCTGCCGCTCCGCCTTCACCAAGGGCGGCAAGGGTGGCTTCAAGGACACACCCGCCCAGGACATTATGGCCGGTGTCCTGCGCGCCATCATCGACCGCTCCAAGATCAACCCCGCCCTCGTCGAGGACATTTGCGTCGGCACCGTCCTCGCCCCCGGCGGTGGCGCCACCGAGATGAGGGCCGCCAGTCTGGTCGCTGGCTTCCCCGAGTCGGCCGCCGTCAGGACCCTCAACAGGCAGTGCTCGAGTGGTCTGCAGGCCTGCATCGACGTCGCGCACCAGATCAAGTCGGGCATGATCGATGTCGGCATCGGCGCCGGCGTCGAGAGCATGAGCACGCAGTACGGGTAGGTTCAACAGTGTTTCGCGTACGTGGCTTTGGGCAAATGCTAACAGAGGATAGACCTAACGCCGTGACTGAATTCTCCGAGCTCCTCGAGTCGCACCCCGAGGCCGCCAACTGCAAGGTCCCCATGGGCGTTCTCTCCGAGAACATGGCCAAGGACCTGGGCATCGGCCGCGACGCACAGGACAAGTTTGCCGCCGGCTCCTACCAAAAGGCAGCCAAGGCCCAGCAGGAGGGTCTCTTCAAGGACGAGATCGTGCCCCTCAAGGTCAAGTTTGAGGACCCCAAGACGGGCGAGACCAGGGAGATTACCGTCGACAAGGACGACGGTATCCGCCCTGGCGTGACCGCCGAGTCGCTGGGCAAGATCCGCCCTGCGTTCGCCAAGGACGGCAGCATCCACGGCGGAAACGCCTCCCAGATCTCTGATGGCGCCGCCGCCGTCCTGCTCATGCGTCGCGACGTCGCCGAGAAGCTCGGCCAGACCATCCTGGGCAAGTACGTCGCCGGCTCCATTGTCGGCGTGAAGCCCCTCCTCATGGGCCAGGGTCCCTGGAAGGCCATCCCCCGCGCCCTCGAGCTGTCGGGCATCTCCAAAGACGACGTCGACATCTACGAGATTAACGAGGCCTTTGCTTCGCAGTGCCTGTGGTGCGCCAACGAGCTGGGCATCCCCCACGAGAAGATCAACCCCAAGGGCGGCGCGATCGCTTTTGGCCACCCCCTGGGTTGCACGGGCGCGCGACAGGTATCGACCCTGCTGTACGAGCTGAAGAGGACGGGCAAGAAGGTTGGCAACACGAGCATGTGCGTTGGCACGGGTATGGGCATGAGCGCCACCTGGGTGGCCGAGTAGAAGGCATCTATAGCTATATGTACAACTGAATCAAATGAAACATGAACCATACAATTCTCAAAAGGGGCAGGCAAGTGTAAGCCAAGATTTGACACAGAAGAAGGAGAAGGAAGAGAAATACTGACCGATTCCGCCGCTGGAGTGACCAACGGTCGCCCGGGGGCTTGACACGGCCACTACACAATACAGAACGATGATACAACCGCATCGCTGTGCTGGTCGAGCGCTTTTCCGTCCATCATCCCATAGCAGTAGGCCTCCCCAATATATTGAAAACACTGTCGTCCTTCTGTTCCCCCATCGCAATGTCTCAAGATCACAGGCACTGATAATTCTCTCAAGATCGCAACTACATCTTCTGGCTTGCTGTCCAGTGTTCCTAATCCAACATACCCCCTGGGCGTCAAAAAGCACTTTCTCCCCTGCTGAATGTCCATGGCTTTCCCCAGACGCGGGGAGACAACTGCAGCCTCGTCTCTCACCTCCGCCTCGAGGTTACGCCCGTCCTCTTCCGCGCTCCCTTCTGTCCCCATCACCGGACCAAACTTGTCCCAGTGCTGGTTGAACTTTTCGCAAAACTCGTAGGCGTCCCAGCCCCCGCCCAAGCCAAGCCAGTACGCCATGGCCCGGAAAAGACCTGTGCGCTTCTTCATCTCGAGCCATTGCTCCTCCAGTGGCCGCAGGACCTCCGCCCGGCGCCCTTGCCAGCCCAACAGCTCGTGCTTTTTGGTGAGCCGCTCGAGATAATGGCGCCAGATCTGGTAGGCGGCATCAAGAAGCCGTACGCCCTGTACGTCAGGCCCGAACACTTCGTCGCGGCTCGCCTGGGGACTGCTCGCCAGACCGCGACCGCCCGATGCTATCAACCACGGTGCATCTTGAAGACATGGCGGGGATTCGGGATCCTCTGCCTGCCTCTTTCTTGCCAGTCGGCAGAAATACTCAATCTCTGACAGGAAGTAATGGTGCGAAACTTCAGTAGGCTTGTGGTGTGGGGACACGGGGGTCTCATAGACATGCTCGCCTACTTTACTGATGGTATCGATGAGCGTTCCGGTAATAACCAGCGTGGAGTCAACGGCGTAAGGCTCGGTTGATCCCTCCCAGATTCGGCTCCTTCTTGCGTAGCCGGCAGTGGAGAGTGGTTTGCTGGACTGGGCGTATCCAAAGGGGCAGAGAAGCTGAGAGGTCCAGTCGGGAACCCACGAGGGGAGGTCCTTGAACTGTTTCGAGTGGTCTTGCGAGAATAGCAGAACATCAGGATCGTCCCTCACAACTGCCTCGGCAAGTTGTGTGAAGACAGTCTGCGCCGACTTTTCATAGCTGACCTCGACACGTTGCACAATCGTGCCATTCTCATCGGGCAGCGCGAGCAGGGAGTATAAACAGTCACGCGGATTACCCGCGCGGAACTTTTGCAAGTCGTGTTCCTCGGTCAGTGGAGTGCCTGTGTCGGCAACGTTAAACTTGGTCAACAGGTGGAACAGGGGCATACGTATTTGGCCCTGTCCATGGATGGTTCTTCGCGTAGTGAAGATTCGATTCACGAAGCGGCAAAGTCCAATGGCGAAGATGATGTCGTCGACCTTTGGGAATTCTTTGGTCACGTCCTCGGGCGTCAGATTGCCGGCTCGGTAGGCTAGGAACATGGTGAAGAGCAGTAAAACGCGCTCGAATTGGTCAACGTGCCACGCATTGTGGCCGCACACGAAATGCAGGGTCCCTGGCAAACATGCTTCTTGGACGATCCACATGCGACCAAACAACTGGCGCGAGCAGATATCCATGAAGCCTCTGAGGGCCATGTCATCCTGCATCGCCATGACAGTGTCTCTCAACAAGTCACGGTCCTTGATTAGATCACTGGGAACAAGCTTGGACTCTGGGTTCGGTGCGGCGACTGACAGGCGTAGGGCATCGAGAGTCGGGTAGTCGTGATCGCATAGGCGCAAATAGGCAGGGTTGGAGTCTTCTTCGAGGTGCGTCATGAATGAAACGAGTCGGTCTGCTTCCAAAGTGGACGGTCCTAGCCATGCCAGCACTTGCTTTGCTTTGGAGTAGATCTCGCCCATGTGTCTGACCAAATGCCCCTTTTCAGAGTTGTCGGCCTGGTTGATGCATAACTGGTCAACGAACAATGGCTTGTCCGTATGTGTCCTCAGCTGGAGCAGTATTCCCTCCAACACGGCGCTGATGAGAAGGACGCCAACAACATGAACGCCCTCCCTCACTAGAATCGGGCGGTCGAGTGTCGAGCGTTTGCAACGTTCCTCAGGCGACAGAGCGCGCTCGTGACCAGTCCAGCAGTAGGACAAAGCTTCATAGACGATGGGGTTTTGGAAGGGGCTTTCGACAAACTCGCCCTCAAGAGTCGCGTTGCTAGCTGCACCTGCGGCTTGACCTAGAGGAGAGCCATCATAGGATGAAGCCGCTCTTGAGTGGCTGCCTACCAGCTTGAAGAGTCGAAAGAACCCAGGTTGCAGGGTAACGTAGGGGTATATTGGAGCGTCCAGGTCCTGCATCATATATCGTACTTGGGAAGCGGTCTGTAGTTTCCGTTGCCTTCGACAAGCGCACAGCAATGGTAAGGTACTGTTGATGAACAGCGAGCGGGGTAGAGACGCATGAGGGCTTACACGGAGCATATTGATCTCTCAGGAGTCAGACGCTGCTGACTAGAAGCCACTTACGTCTGTAAGTATAACTAAATCAAATAATCTCAAAAGGCAGCTTTTGTGCCGACAGCTTTCCCGTCGGCCAGTTTGACAAGGAGGTTGGCCACGACTAGATCCATCATGGGCAGGCCGACACTTTTGTATACCACTGTGCCTGTACCGAGCCATCTCGCCAGCGCGCTCTCTCGTTCGTCGTGATTTGACTTTTTGCGGTGCGGCAGACTGAACAGGTTTGTCTTGGATGAGGACGATGTGGCCTGGCTGTTGGCCGACGCGAGCGAGGTCTCGTCCGTGCTTTGACTACGCGTCGATTCGGCATCCGACTCTGCCATGCGCTGGAGCATTACAAGCTCACCGAGTCTGTTTGTTTGGTTAGATGGGTATTTTCATATGAGTAAAAGGGGGGCTTACTCGACTAGCTGGCTTGGCTTGACACCGCCATGGACAATCTCCCCTGCATGCTTGATACCACCCTCCAACGAGTCGACAATCACCACGCCACCTTCGTCCGCGTGCTTGTGGAAATGCCGATGTGGCTTTTCGTGGACTTTGACGGCCTGAGCGACGAGCTCGGCCGGAATTTCCCTCTGGTGCGGGTTCGTGCTGCCGACAGCGATAATGAAGCGCCCCTTTCTCCGTCCCTCGTGGCTCGTGAGAATGTCGCCCGGGAAAAGGGGTTCCTGGGACGGGGTGCAGAGGTAGATGACGTCGGCTTCGAGGACTTGCTCGGTGAGGAGGCGGTGGTAGTCATGGAACGCGGGCGTCAACATGCCAAACTCGGCATGCTCCCACCCTTCCTCGTGCTTGATGGTCCGGGGGATGGTCGAGAAGTTCCGGAGAAAGTTAGCCGCCGTGTCGGAGAACCGGTGGTTCACCACGTGGACCTTTTTGATGGCGTGGCCGTGGACCTTGAGGGCGAGTCGGATGTGGTAATACGCTTGCTGGCCGGCGCCAAAGACGACGAGGGTGTGGATGGGGCGACTGCGCTTGGAGAGCAGGCAGACGGAGGAGAGCGCTGTGATGAAGGGTGTGAGGGGATATGTCGATAGGATGGCTTCCAACTCGCCCTGGGTATTGTATAGCGAAAGACTGCCGTGTTGGTGTGTGCTGACTGATGAGGAGGATGTCAGCCGTGCGCCTCAAAGTCGGATGTCATGGTCTCAACTAGGTACCTTTGCACGCCGTGCCCTCGGGGCCACAGGCAGTATTCAAGGCACTGGGCCACTCGGACTGCTCATGGCGTATCGTGGTGGTTCTGGGTTGCTGGTATGTGCCGTGCCCACCTGCTCGAGGGTTGACTGAGAATTCATGCAGGGCGGCGCTGAGGACCATGCGAAGCTCGTGGATCTCCAGCGGCGTCAAGCTCTCGATGAGAGACGTTGTATCGTCTTTTCCCAGGATAGTCAGCGGCATTTTGGCATCGACTGAAACAGCTCAGGTTTTGATAAGAATGACTGAACGTTTTTGGGCTGGATGACCGGGACGCCGGAGGTGAGGATCCATGTATAGTCGCGTGATATGCGTACCCTGTACAAATACTCCGCAGCATTAACCCGAATATGGCAATTCGCATCGCCATGATTGCTAGGGAGTGAGCAAGCTCCCGCAGTGAACATTGAAAGACATTTTTGATCGTGGAAATGTCAAGACTCATTGATGTATGGCCATGAGTGTCCTTGACCCTTGACCAGTGGGGGAATACTGCAGGGTACGTGAAACGCTTAGTTCCGTCATTAGTTCCCAATGTTGGACTATCGCAGTGTGAGGAAAGCAAGTCATGAACATCATTGTTGCCCCTGATCCTCCTTTAATAGATCAAAAACATCTCGTCAAAAGCCTAATATTCATGGAAGCTTCCCTTGTACGAATCAATCCAAGAACGAGCTTTTATCCGCCAAGTTAATTCTGCTTAACAGTGGCCGCCTCCCGCGTGGGTACGTATCCCGAAACGGGAGATTTGGTTAACGCCGTTACCCGCGCGCGTAAATTGATGCACAGACCGCGACCTCGTGCTTGACGCGTCTCGTCTGTCTGTTGAAGCTTGAGCACCCAAACCTCAACCTCAACCGTCTTCCACCCTAAACTTCCAGAGGCGCCATGATGATACACCAGCAAATGGCCAAAATGGCATGTCTCTAGCTGATTCACAATCTCAACCTTGCTCTCTGCCCAGCCCTCACAAAAGCCTTCACGGCCGCCGTGCGCGTGGCCATACAAGCCTGGCTGGCCGCTTCACGCTGGCCCACGCTGCAGGCGGCCCCTTTATCGGCCAATGTGCTCAACACTGCCTGACGATTCGTCATGGGCGATATGCGAGGCATGAAGCGCGCACGCGGGGATGAGGAGACTTCTCACTCGAGGGCTGCAGAGGCACCAGTCCCACGTTTAAAGAAGCCCAAGCACTCCAACTTGGAGTATCCGCCGTCGTTCTGGGATAATCTCTCCACGATCCCATTGAGTCGTGCTGCTTTGCGAGAACTTGACCGAAGAAACAGGACAAACGCTGCCTCTTGGTCCCCACGACCAGCACAACCGCAGCAGCTACCACAAGCCTGTCGCGATATCAAAGAATTCGCGAGGCGAGGAGGCCCGAACTTGCTGGATATCAGAGGTGTAAGTGCTGTCGCGCCCGTGTGCATTGTCATCAGGGGACTTATCATGATTGCTACGCAGTACGCCCCGCCAGACCTTCTTCCCGCACCCATCGCAAGCATGGTCTCATCATCGACAAGAAGCCAAAGTCGGTCAACAAGAAGCCAAAGCCGAGCATCAAGAAGCCAAAGTCGGTCGACAAGAAGCCAAATCGGGAAGATCCAGTCTTCGTCCAAGAACAGCAAGAGCCAGTCTACGTCCAAAATCAGTAGCCGTTCTGGACCATACAAGCCGGAATTTGAGCAGCACCTCATCGATTATGGGGTGTACATGGCCAGCCTGGATCCTGAACCTGCCAATCTAGAGGCAATCTGCGACGAGCTGCGGCGTGGAAGGTCATCACTGTCACCTGGTCAATTCACGAACGATGCGTTCAAGACCTTTATGAACGCGCAAATGACCGCCAAGGATGAAGCGACTATCATGAACACTACAATTGGATCGATTTGTGGAAATGATGTAAACATCTCAAACGCTAGGGACATCCTCTTCACTCACCTAGAGCCTCTCACGACGGGGGAAATTGTCAAACCAAAGCCCGACTTTTTCGATGGCGCCCACCGACACGAGCTGGGCGAAGCGTTGCTCGCAGACAGATCGCTGGCGTCCAAAATCATCCCCTCCAAGAACGCACATATTCCTGTTGTGCCGAACCTGTTTCTTGAAGTCAAAGGGCCTGGAGGTAGCCCCATCGTGGCAAAACGACAAGCTTGCTACGACGGCGCAAACGGAGCGCGTGCCATGCACGCTCTGCAAAATCATGGCTCGAAAGATCAAACATACGATGGCAATGCCTATGCGTTCAGCGCTACGTATATTGATGGCATGCTCACTCTATATGCGCATCATGTCCAAGCGCCTGTTTCGCCGACGTCTGCTCGTCCGCAGTACCACATGACCCAAATAGATTCATATGCCATTTCAGGCAACAGGGCCAGATTTATCGAAGGCGCGGCTGCTTTTAGAAACTTGCGGCTGTTGGCAAAACGATATCGGGAGGCCTTTATACGAAATGCGAATGCGCAGAGTCTGGCATCAGGCTCGCCGCATGACACCCTGCCGTCCACCGAGAACTGACAGGAGTTCATTGATTGAATCCAGCGCATGGCAAACTGAAGCTTCAGCTCTGTGCGAGAAAGGGTTAGATTTCTACAGGAGGAATACCTGCTGATCTGGAAAGCTGAGCATCAGGCAGTTTGTGCGCAACGGCCTGTGATTGTTCAGGCTACGCAATCAGCACAGATCGCCAAAAAGACATCATCGCGTTTCTCGCGTTCTCCTTCAGCCAGACGGACACAACATTTGGATCCTGTCTCCTTTTATATGAAATTTGCCCCCGCTACTGAGAACGCGACCCAAGGCGCCCGACAACAGCATTGTTGACCAACAGGATCGCCTCAATCTGACGCGAAAGCCGAGGTGTCGGTTCCGGGTCAATGCACCCCGACGATGCGTGCGTCTCCGATGCAACACGTCTTCCGGTCTCGCAAGGTGCCAGACGATATGTAATGAGGGGTTGAATGCCCATTTGCGTCGAATCTGGCATTTCCATCCTCTCCTCCCCAACTTGGTGCTTTCCAGATTCTCATCACTATCACGCGCGCCCCAGGTCCAGTCGTCAAGATGGCCACTCCTCCCGACGGCGTCTTCGTCCCCGTCCCCACCTTCTTCAAGACCGCACCCGACGCTGGCCAGCTCCAGCCCGCCGTCGATGTAGCCACGCAGGCCGCGCACTCGGTGCACCTCGCCAAGTCAGGCATCACCGGCCTCGTCCTCCTCGGCTCGACCGGCGAGGCCGTGCACATGTCGGGCGAGGAGCGCAAGGCTCTCATCTCAGGCGTCCGCAGGGGCCTCGATGACGCGGGCTTCCCGGACTACCCCATCATGGCCGGCGTGCTGGTCAACTCGGTCGACGAGACCCTCGAGTGGCTGCACCAGAGCAAGGACGCCGGCGCGCAGTGGGGTCTCGTCCTCGCCCCGGGGTACTTTGGCGCGGCGGCCAGCCAGGACAACCTGGTTGAGTGGTTCACCCTCGTGGCGGACAAGTCGCCTCTGCCCATCCTCATCTACAACTACCCGGGCGTGACGAACAACCTGGTGGTCAGCATCAAGACGTACGAGACCCTGGCGGCGCATCCCAACATTGTGGGCTGCAAGATGTCGCACGGTAATGTCAGCCACCACGTGCAGGTGTCGCTGCACCCCAAGATTGACCACACCAAGTTTCGGGTGTACAGTGGTTTCGGACAGCAACTGGGTCCCATTGTTGTGTTCAATGCTGGTGGCGTGATTGACGGGTTGGCCGCTATCTTCCCAAAGACCATCTCGAGGCTGTTCAGCCTGGCGTCGAAACGGCCCCTGGACGAGTCCACCCTGGAGGAGGTGCGGCGTCTGCAGTGGAAGGTGTCTGCGTGCGAGGAGTACATTGTGTCGAACGGCATCCTGGGAATTAGGGAGGGTATCTACAAGGTCCTTGGATTCGGCCACCTCGAGGGCGGTCGGTTGCCCCTGAAGGGCAAGATGGCTGCTGGTGTGTACGAGCAGTGGAGCGACATCTTTAGGCAGATGACTGAAGAGGAGAAGAAGTTATAGACGTCTCAATGATACAATAATTATTGACAAAGGAACAGTGACAGATGTTACCAACCACAGGCTACCTGGGTGAACGCTTAAAGAGCTCAAAACCAGCTGGGCTGAGCATGAAGCTTGCCACCGGTTGGGTTAACATCCAGGACAACTATGACCATGCGATCCAAGGGTTTGTTTGTCTTTGCACGTTGACATATAATCATGTGCATGGCAGGTTATCTCACGTGACGGGGCTAGCTGGTCATCAGTGGTAGCACACGTTCCAAATCTGAGCACAAAGACGAGCCTTCATCATCAAAAGCGTCATCAACTCATGTCTCGGATCCAACGTCCAGTCCGTCGATATCTGCGTCATCCAAACCCTTGCTCCCACCGCGACAGGGCGAACCCCGGTGTTTGACGATTCAGCCAAAGGTGTTTGTCGCGACACCCTCAAACTCTCACCACGTGCCTCCGGCCTTCGCTGCTGATCCTGCAGAATAAGATTGCCATTGCAACCTCGCCATACACCGTTTTGGCCTGTACAGAATGTAGCGCAAGCACGTTTCCCTTCCACTGGATGTTTTCCCTCGCTAGATAAAACCCATGGATTCGAAGACAGTCCCTGACCCTGCTAACCTCTTGCATTCCCGACCTGCGACAGATCGGCGTGATGATGATAAAGGTTCACGACACCCACCTTGGGCGTCAGCCCCTCGGCGAGGGCCTCTTATTGTCCTGTCCTTAATCATTTTCTTGGTCTATGTCGAGCTTGACGGCGCAATGCGTCAATACATCCTCCCAATCGTCAGCTTGACTGGCTTGTCGCACGCCCTGCCGAAATGGCGGAATGGCACGACTGAGTTGGGCCCGCTCAAGTTCTCTGATGACGGGACATTTCAGCTCTCCATCTTTGAGGATTTGCATTTCGGCGAGAGTACGTGCGCCGATACTAGATGCTGTGTCTGCTGACCATTAGATTACTGGGATTCCTGGGGTCCCCAACAGGACATCAACAGCGTCAAGGTGCTGGAGAAGGTCCTTGACTCCGACCGTCCTGACCTCGTGGTATTAAACGGCGATCTGATCACCGGCGAAAATGCATTTCTTGACAATGCCACACATGTGATGGACATGATTGCTGGCCCCCTGGTCGAGCGTGGGCTGAGCTGGGCGTCGACCTATGGCAACCATGACCATCAGCCCAATCTATCAGGCCAAGCACTCCTCGAGAGGGAGCACATGTGGCCGAATGCTCTTACTCGCAGCATGGTGCCCGGCCGCAACGCTGGCGTCACCAACTACTACCTGCCGGTGTACCCCAACAACTGCACCGACTGCAGCAAATGCGCCCCTGAGTTGCTGCTCTGGTTTTTCGACAGTCGGGGCGGCTTCTACTTTCAAGAATGGAACGAGGATGGCTCGCAGGTCGCACAGCCCAACTGGGTTGACTTTGGCGTCGTCGAGTGGTTCCAGCAGACAAACGCCAAGCTTGTGAACAAGTACCAGAAAACGATCCCGTCTCTTGCCTTTGTCCACATCCCGACAAACGCCTCGCGCGCTCTCCAGACAGAGTCCAAGGTTCACCCAAACTACCAGCCTGGCATCGATGATGATTACCCCCTGGCGCCGCAAGCCCAAGGATGGTGCACCGACGGCGTCAACGACGGGACCTGCAGCTATGGCGGCCAAGACACGCCTTTTATGCAGGCGATCGCCACAATGCCAGGCCTCATGGCGCTATTCTCGGGACACGACCATGGTGCGACTTGGTGCTACAAGTGGGAGGGCCTCATCCCTGGTATGGTCGTTGCTGGCAACGGTATCAACATGTGCTTTGGCCAGCACTCTGGCTATGGCGGTTACGGCAACTGGATTCGAGGCGCCCGACAGGTGCTCGTCACGCAGGGGAAGCTGGCGAATCTCGAGATTGACTCGTGGATCCGCCTGGAGAGCGGTGACATTGTGGGCGATGTGTCGCTGAATGCGACGTATAATGAGGATTGGTATCCTGCGACGCCAAACGACAAGACGTCGTGTCCTACGTGTAACTATACAATTATTACCCCAATGCCAGGGACGCGAAGGGCTAAGTGAATATAGGTTGATCGAAGCGAAGAGAAGTCTTTGCTCAACATCTGTTTGCATACAACTCTGGCAGTGTGAGAGCTTGGTTGGACAAGACTGAAGCAGTTGACCTACCTACGAACCAATTTGAGGCGCCCAGAGACGTGTAGAACTGGCAAGTTCCTAGGCTCCAGTCCTTGACTGAAACGACCGCTGGAGCGCGAGCCTGTCGAACGTGCACACATTATTTTGAACCAGGCTTGCTTTCTTTGCTCCCACATATGGTAAAATTAGGCCCCTTGCAGTGCCTATATCACGGAAACTATATTTCTCACTTACTGCTCAACTCCATGTCACAGTCATCTGAGAACCGTGTGTGCAATTTGCGATGCTTTGTCACAGTCATCCGATCATGCTGTTTTCGACCTACTGACTGGAGCTAAAAAGCATAACAAATTTTACTCCCCTTCTTCTTCTAAAACTCCCACTACTCCCCCTTCCCCCTTCTCTCTCCCCTCAGCCTCCTTCACGGCAGTAGCTCGCAAAACAGGCTACCATGTCGCTTCCTGAACTCCCCTCTACCGTCATCGCACTTATACTTGGCAAAACAGACGACCTGCAAGATCTAGTCAACTTGGTGTGCTCATGCCGCGGTACCTACGAAGCTTTCGAAACCTACACTTTTGACGCTCTCGTGGCGAGGCCCACGCTGCTGAGGGAGCTACCCTTCGCCGTCGCTGCACAGCACTTCACGTCCACCGAGAGTGTTGCTGAGGAACGCAGCTGGCGTGATGTACAAGCTTTTGTTGACGACATGGTCCGCAGTCCTGAGAAGATGTACGACGAACTGAATCGGATGCGGAGCTCGGAACTGTTGAACATGTGCAAGACAGCGTACTTTGTGCAAGAACTCGTGGGCGATATGGGTAATGTATTCCGGCAGAGGCTGAATGTTGCAAAAGATATTGTTCTCACCGAGGAAGCCGGTCCTGGAATGAGCCCCGAGTACTTCAGCTACGATATCAGAGGACTTTCCAGCAGTGAGCAGTCTCGCTTTCTGACAGCGGTCTACCGCACGGAGATTCTCCTGCAAGCTTTCAAAGCCCATGCTGGTATAGCCACGGCGATGATGTGCCACGCGAGGGCGTGGTTGCTGAACAGCTTCTCAATTATTGAGATTGAGCAGATTCAGTGCGTGTATGCCTACCTGGAGTCCAGGTTTGACGAAGGTAATTGAAGTCCGATAAAGATAGAGTATATGCTAACGCTGCGTTAGACTGCGATCGAATATTAGACAAAGATTTTGGGTTTGGTATAGACGATCTCATTGATCTCACTAGCGACACGATGGAGCAGCGATGGGTAAGTCAGTGGAATGTCTACAGAGCCAAGCTTACTGTATCAGATTTCACAAGGCTGTGCTTTTGTTTGCCAACTCCGCCGAGTTAATCGCCAGCGTGCGAGCGTCATGCTCTTGTCAAAGATCCACGCGGACAGCGCATCACCATACCTTGCTCTGAGCGAGCTCGGCAACTGTTATCGAACCTGTAACAATTTGACAAAGCCTCGTGACAAGCTGGACCACGTTGAGGGTCCTGTCAGCGCTTATTATCAAGCGCACAAACTCATGCCGCTCATCATTTTTGACTTCAAAAAATATGAGCTCCGGCTATATCCGTCGGCCTTCGACCCCCGAAACTGGGCACTGTACTGGGTAGGCTACGTCCCATGGGATCACAGACGGGTGAAGGACTGCAAGCTCTGGTCCATAGCAGACTGGATGAGGGCGCAAACACACACTTGAAGTCACTCGGTAAGAAGGTTGAAAGTCTACGTTGGAACGCGAAATATTCACGCTTGACTCCAGTCTAGAGTCGACCTTACCTTACCTACTAACTTACTCCGTACATGTAGTCCGTACTTAAAGTCGCACAGCGGCGCCCCACATAAATAATCGTTCACCTTGACCACTGTTCGTCATTCTCACCAGCGCGACAAACTCTTCCCACTTCACTCAAGACACGTCGCCGGTCATGAAAATCAATCAGCTCCCCCTCGAGGTCGTTGCCAACATCCTGAGCAGCCTCGAGAGTCTCACGGAGCTCACAGAGGCCATTCTAGCCTGCCGGCACTTTTACGCAGCCTTCCTGGAAAACCCTCACATACCCGGCACCATCGTCTACTCGACCTTTGACAATGGCGAGGTCCTACCCCTCGCTGTCGCGGCGCTGCGGACGGGGAAGCTAGGCACGCGCTTCGCCAACAGCGACGAGGTCCTGCGATTCGTCGATGACTTGCGCGTGCTTAGACACCTGGACCGGGAGCTTCGCTCGATGCGACTGCATGAGCTGTACGACCTGCACGATCTGACGGATGCTGTGACGGAAGCCGCCTTTGACTGGGCGAACCTGGCGTGGCACAACTATGAGGAGGATCACAACTGCGATTTTGGGCTGTCCCTGGCCGAGGCTGCTCGGTTCTGCCGGGTGCTGTATCGCACAGAGATTTTCCTCAGGGTCTTCCGGGTGGACGACGCCTTGGACGAGGACGCCAAAGAACGCGTCGAGCTGGAGGGCCAGCTGTGGCTCTTGAAGAGCTTCTGCATGTTTGAGATTGAGCAGATTGCCTGTGCGCACGACTACATGGAATCGAGAATCGTTTTCGGTGCGTTGTCTATGGATGTGACGGGTGGGGCTTGTCAGACTAATTTTCGGTAGCATCTCGTTTCATCCTCGCCCATGATATTGAGGCTGGCGCCATGCAGATCGATTACCTAACACTGGGAGAGAATCCCTTGCGACAAAAATGGGTATGTTTTCGCGGAAAGGGGCGGTTTACCTACTGTATACTAATACGGACAGATCACCCGTGGCTGCGTGTGGCTAGCGAAGCTCATACGCTTGAAGAAAGACGTGGCAGCAAGAAGGGACCTACTGGCAAAGAGTCTCGACGGAGAAAACGCACACCTCTACGGTGTCCTGTGGAGACTCAAGGAGCTTTATCGGGGCCCAAACAGCAAGTTGAAGCTGTGCCCCAAGCAACCTCGCCAAGTGATCGACAACGATCCAGGGCCGCCCAGCGCCTTTGACTACGCGCACACAAACACCGACATTGACCTCACAGTAGACATTGGACCCAACGGCGAGACACCCGACTACCCCATCCTCGTGACGTTTGCGCACGACGACTCGGGTCTCCGGGAGCAAGCGTACGTCATGTGGGATCTGAGCAGGATCAAGGACTGGGATTTGTTCCACGAGATGGAAATTGTGCCCAGCGCATCGCGCGCGGCGCCCGAACCCGGGTGGTACACGGAGATGAGGCGGTCCTGGGCAGCGAGGCGGAAGCTGTACGAGCAGGGCGAGAGGGGCACCTGGAGACTGGAGAGACCGTGGAGTGACGTGTCCGCGATGGACGAGGCGGTTGCATCCGAGGAACTCTGGTATACCATGAGCGCCTTTGAGGGACGGCATTGACTCGGGGAGATGGCCTGAGGAGCAGGGGCTTTGTGGTGCGCGTTCACGAGACGGAGCGAGCAAACACCTCTGAGCCCAGAGGACCGAATGATCAAACATTCAGAGGCAAAACTGCAAACTGGCAACGCTCGACTGCCTCTTGGGCCTGCCCGTCTGCCGGTCCGTCAACCCTGGTCGTGCGCGCATCAAATCGTCGTCACCTTCAGGGTTCAACCAGTGCATTGATGCGGGGATGGCGTTCAAAATATATGTCCCGACTGCTGGCTTAATGATCCTTCGCGTCTATCTCTGGGATCACGTCCATCACTCGGCCGCGATGGCACGGATCTAGCAGCGTCTAGCAGCGGCAGTGAAGGTCAGGCTTGGCAATATGGCCACCAATCTTCCGAACGGGGACGGTCGTGCGCAGCGAGATCAAAAGATATAAAGTCGAGCGGCAACTCGTTGGAATAAGAGTCTTTCTCTCGGCAGGCAACATTCAACCAAGCGACAACCTTCCTACTGTACACTTCTATCCCTTCAAGAGCTGGTCTCTTTTTTCTGTTCTTATCTCATTCACCCCTTATATCACCACTAACCGTCAACCACCCCAACCTACATCAGCCCAAGATGCTTTTCTCCACCAAAACTTGCCTCGCTGTCGTCGCCGTGCTGGCACGCGCGACAGCTGGCGCCCCGGCCGGCTCTACCAACGACGCCCTGGACCGCCTGCAGGACGTTGCGCGTGAGGCGCGCCAGCTCGAGGCCGTCACCGCCGCCGCCGCCGAGAAGCGCCAGTACCAGATCTGTGATTGCCCCGAAGGTTTGGAGTGCATGGACTCCCGCATCCTGGCCATGGTGGGTACCATCGCTCCCGAGGCCCAGTGCGTGTTGCCCAGCACGAAGCGTGACATTGAGGCCAGTGCCGCCGAGGCCGAGAAGCGACAGCAGCGCGCAAAGGTGGAGGGCGTCGCAAAGCGCCAGGATTGCGACTGCGGCGAGGGCTACGAGTGCACGGACCCCTACATCACGTCCGTGTTAGGCGCCGTAGGCCCCTTTGGCTCCGAGCCAACGTGTGTGTTGTCCCACACGAAGCGCACCCTTGAGGCCATGGCTGTCGAGGTCGAGAGGCGTCAGGTCGCAGAGGCTGAGGCTGTCGAGAAGCGCGAATCTTGTGCCTGCCCCGATGGCTTCTCGTGCATGGTCCAATCGTTTGAGATGCTCGCCGTCGCCCCCCAGGCCATCTGTGTGCCGTCCAGCACGAAGCGCGACCTCGAGACTAGGGCCGCCGAGGCCGAGAAGCGTCAGCAGCAGCGCGGAGAGGCGGAGACCGTCGAGAAACGCACATCTTGTGACTGCCCCGAGGGCGACGTGTGCTTGCCTAACAGCCCCGCCGAAGTGTTTTCGGGGATCCAGCTCGGCGGCCCATCGGACATTTGCGTGTCACCCACCACGAAGCGCGACATTGAGGCCCTCACCGCCGAGGTCCAGAAGCGACAGGTCGCGGACGCGGAGGGCGAAAAGAAGCCCCCCGCGTGTGACTGCGCCGAGGGCGAGACATGCTCTCTCGTCGTCATGCCTATTACATCCAACAAGGCCGCATCTACCTATATGTGTGTGTAGGAGGACATGATGGATGTTGGCAGGGAGGTTGTTGATGTTGGTCTTGGTGTATACACGTAGCGTACAGAGTAGGAGAATTGACTGGCGTTGTTTCACAAGAAGCTGTTCCTGGGTCGAGTGTGTGTTTGTGTCTGCGACGAACAGCGTGTGAAGAAATTGTGAATATAATGGTACAAAGACATCGCTGTGTAATCCCGCTCGTTTTTCGTAGTCTGTCTGTATGCCAACGCCACGCCGATACCAAACATCTATCCCATCATACGCATTCATGTAAACTCCTGAAAGAAAAACATAAAAGTAACCCTGTCATCTATGCCGTTCATCGTCGCTCTTCGTCCTCCTCGTCATCGGAGTCGCCCACCCAATCGTCACTCTCCAAGCCATTTCGTCGGATAAAGAGAGACCCAACCCAGCCACACAGCGCAAGACCGCCAAACAACGTCCACGGCAGAGCCTCGCCTTTGGGATGGATCCCCTTGGAGAGAGAAAACAGACCGCCAGACACAAACGGTCCAATGCTGCGGCCCAGTGCGGAGAGGGTCTGTGCGACGCCATTTAACGTCCCCAGGCTGTCGTGGGAAGGGCAGGAGTTGGTAATCTAGCCATGATTAGCTTTAAATTCGGGGTCATCACTGTGTGTGTCCACCTACCAGAAGCATGACGCTCGAGAGCCCGCCCACGGCGCAAATGTTCTTGATGATCAGCACAACGCCGAGCTCGCCGTATAGCCACTTCTTGCCGGTCCCTAATCCAAAAAAGGGCTTGTCGTCGAGATATCCAACCCATGGCATGAGGACCATGCAGACGGCAAGGCCAAGCAGAGATAACCTGTAGGCACCGAGGTTTCCCAGCCGCGCCTTGAGGTGCTGAAACAGAAAGGCCTGGAACAAGATGGTCGCAAGGCCCGCTGCGCTCAGACTGATGCCGATTTTGGATGGGTCAAGCGCTCTGCCGGCGGGTGGTTGCTCGGAGGCGAAGATGGGGTACAGGCTGTTGAAGCTGATGTTGGACAGTTGAAAGACGAGATATGTGAACAACAGCGTCATGGTGGTTCGGTTGTAGATGGTCGTCGTGAACTTGGGGCTCTCCTGACCATCGCCATTGGGGCTCCCTCTGGCGTCCTCCTCATCCTCGTCCTCGTCGTCTGACGCATCGGGCGACGCAGGTGCTAGCAGTGGTCGCTGGTTGCTGCGCGGCCAGCGAGCGGCCCACGAGGTGGAGCGTGCCAAATCAGGCTTGTCCGTGCCATTTTTCTTCGAAGAGATCCAGGCGGAGAGGCGTTTGATCCATGGCGGTATCCAAAAGTCAGCGGGCTCGCCGTCATCTTCCAGGGTCTCCTCAAACCAGATCGCCACCACGACGAAGCTGACGGCCAGCATGGAGGCGCCCAGAATGTTGGGTGCCAGGTACGGGTATTGGCTGCCCATCTTGCCCACCAAGACGCCGCCCACGGCAGGACCCGTAATGCTGCCCAGGGAGTAGATGATGGGCAAGTACGTGAATGCGCGGCTCTGGTTCGAGCGGTCCGTCACCTCGCCCAGCACCGTCGGGACACACGCTGCGTTGCCGTTCAGCATGCCCATGGCCATGTGGACGACTACAACCTGCCAGTACGCCTTGCAGAACCCAAAGAAACAGAAGCAGCACATGAGCGCAAAAGTCCCCATCAAGAGCACAGGCTTCCGCCCAATGACGTCCGACGTATATCCCCATATGAAATTGGTCGAGAGTTGCGCGAGGGCAAAGGCGCTAGCCAAGAGACCAACATACATGCCATTGAGGTCCTGTGATATCCCCGGCATGGAGCCGACCATTTTCGGGAGATAGGGTGATATTGAGTTCAAGGCAGTCTGCTCCGACAAGGACAAGAAGGCGAGGAGCAACAGCTGCTTCACAGGGAGAGGCGTGGCCACATTGTCCTCCTCGGAGCCCTCGCCCTCGGACTCGCTGTCGCCGTCCGAGGGTGGCGACGGCTGCTCGAGGGGTGTCTTGGGAGGCTGCGTCGGGAAGGTCTGGTATCGATGGGACTGCCGGCGCATACTGGCCAGCGTCGGGATCGGCGCGCCAGCGTGGAACGAGCCCTGCGAGTGCTGCCGGCCAGCACCGTGGCCGAGTCGATTCGCGGGTCGAGACATGGTGAGGTCGCGTGAGGGTGCGTACGCGGGGTCAGACGTTGGCGGCGAGCGATGGCGTGAAAATCAAAAAGACCCGGGCTTGAGGAAGCGCGCTGTCACCCAGAAGAGCGCTCAGCTGCTTGGTTCTCGTCGCGTGCGCCGGTCGCAGGCATGTGTTGGCGCAAATCACCCGGAGTGTAGGACGCTGCGTGGGTGGATGTCGAAGCAAAAGTCCGAGGGAGGGATGGAGGAAGACTTGATGCAGCGAGAGAAGACGTCACCAATGAATGGGTTCCTCGCCTAGATCCGGCAGACTTCCAGGGAACGTCGGCCGCTGAGAGGTGGGACCGGCCAGCTGGAAGAAATCCTCCGCTGGAGTACGTGCAGGAGGCAACAAGCTTGGCCGCTAAGCCTGATGTGGAATAGCGTCACGGCACGTGCCTCCAAGCTCGACAATCGAGTCTCGAGTCGCGTCTTCATTCTTCACTCTTCACATCAATTATCACTTTTGCTCATCCATTCACTTCGACGACCAGGCAGCTTGAATCATCTTTTTTGTTGTTCTAGACAAAAACCTACACATACGCCCTCAGAAACTCGACCAGCGCCATCATGGCCATGGCCTGCCCGTACGGCATGCTTGTGCGTGGGATATCTTTGTAATGCTGCAGATCGTGGCCCATGCCCGTACCAAACGACGTGTTTAGCAGCTCGCCCTCGGGTGTGATATTGTCCAGCACGGCGCGTATCGCCTTGACGGCCATGGGCTTGTGCTCCCGTCCAATGTACTTGCGCCTCTCCGCCTTGAGCAGGCCGTACGCGAAGCCGGCCGTCGCGCTCGCCTCGACGTAGGACCCTTCCTCCTCTGGCACGTCGAGCAGCGTGCGCCAGAGGCCGCTGGGCATCTGCAGGGGTCCGAGGGCCTCGCTCTGGCTGACGAGGGTGCTGAGCAGGTGGGCGCGGAGCGGGTCGTCGGGCTGGAGGTTGAGCAGCTCGATGAACTCGGGGATGACAATGGTGACCCAGGCGTTGCCGCGGCCCCAGCGGGCGTCGGCAAAGTTGTGGCCGCCCTCGTTGAAAGTCCAGCCGTGGAAGAAGAGACCGGACTTGTGGTCAAAGAGGTACTGGATGTGTAGGAGGAACTGGCGCTTGGCCTCCTCGACGTAGTGGGGCCGGTTGAGGATGAGGCCGATCTTGGCGAGGGGCATGACGGTCATCATGAGGGTGTCGTCCCACAGCTGCTGCTCGTTGACGTCGAGGTAGGTGATGTGCTGGAAGCCGCCAAACTTGGTGCGCGGCAGGTCGTGGTAGGCCCACTCGGCCCAGCTGTCGAGCCAGGGCAGGTAGGTCTGGTTGCCCGTCTTCTCGTAGACGCAGGCGAGGGTGAGGAAGACGGCCATGGTGTTGATGTTCTTGCCCTTGTGGCCCTCCTTGAACCGGGCCTGGAACCAGTCCTCGATGATCTTGAGCCATTGCGGGTCGTCGGTCAGCTCGTAGTACTTCCAGATGCCGTAGAGGCCGATGCCGTGCGTCCACTCCCAGTCGTTCCAGCCCTTGGTGTCAATGACCTGCCCGTCGGCCAGGGTCATGAGGAACTCGCCCGTCGTGTCCTTGATGTTGACGAGCTCGTGGATGAGGTGCTGGATCTGGCTGTGCACCTGCTCCGAGGCGATGTTCTCGACGTGGGTAGGCATTCTGGCGGTGTTGACGTGCGTCTGGGAAACGAGAGGCCAGAGATTTCTTCAGTATAATTAATTGTCTCGCCAGGTAACGCGCTCTCATGAGGGGATATGGGGAATATTTGAGCAATACGCGGCGGAATAACCTCCAGTACGCGGGGTTGCTTGGCTGCTCCCCCATGCGGGTGAACGCTACCCGAGGCCCACCCCGGGCTCTTGAACTTCTCTGCTGAGCTTCATGGACGCGGGAATCCATCGGTATCGGGGACCGACAGTCTCGAGGAGGATTTGGAGATTGGGGCCAATCGAGGGCCAAGGGTCCCTCACAGCGTGCCCAGGAACCTCACCGTCCTCACGTTGGTCTGGCGCTTGGTGCTAGCTGTCGGTCTCGTGGCATAGATGTCCCGACGTGCCCCGCTAGGTGACCTCGATCGCAAGCTCAGGGACTCCAATTTAGGTATCCTTCGGCGAAGGTTGAGATTTTAAACGAGTCGGGTGCGGGGAGCGTCTGACTCGACAGGCACAGCTCCACTTCCCCATGGAGAGTCAGATGCCATCATCGTGCTTCGGTCTAGCAACTGACGATGATGTGTTGAGATTCAACATCGTGAAGGAAGGGAGTATTCTGCTTATATTAGAGCCTGGCCCGTCCTCATCGCAAGGGGCCTCTGCTTGACCATCACCATGTGCGAATGGGCTACCCTGGACAGTACACAATACCCCATTGCATGACCACTCATCTTTGTAGACTTTCACACCTGGTATACCTCACTCCAGAGGGCAAGGTCACCCTCCTCTTTATTATGGTATTTGACGTCCTCAATATCATCACTATTGAGCAGCCGGAAGCACAGTTTCTAGGCAACGTGAAGAGCTCAATGTCCTCTCTGTCTTCTGCACACTGCTCGGGGCATAGATCAAGGTCCGACAGCGATAAGGTGTATAACGCAGTCGGTCAACTCCCGATACTCCCAATCGACCCCACATGCCATCGTGAGCCGATTCCAAGCGAGGGCTGACACGCTGAAGGATGCGCGTGGCGGCGAGGCACTTGGTGATGAAGCTGTCCCGCCGTTGTCGGATGGGAGCAGGATGGCTTCAGTGCGGCTTGCTGGGCGGGCAGTGCTCGTCAGACGCAGACAGTTCATATCTCAAGTATTGAACGCAGACTGCGACCATGAATCGTGACAGCATCCTTACGCGAATCCTTATCAGGGTGATTTAATCATCTCCGTGGGCCCTGATAGCATGTCGACCCATTGATGATAGACGATGGACCCCCTCCGCGATCGGAACGTCCCCTCATCATCCACGCCGCACGCGAACGCGACCAGGCGGGCCGGCAGTGGAGCGCCTGGCGTCTTGGTCCCTTGGAACATGATACGCATGATGCTATCTGGTCTATAAGCCTCCAGAAACCGTCTGGGGCCGGAGCTCAGTTGTGCGGTCCGAGGGGTTAAGTACGTGTACTTGTAGGATGCGACCTGCTCCTCGTCTGCGCGCGCATCTTTTGTAACCTGGTCAACACTCTTCATCCTTGATCTTACGACACACTACCTCACCATGGCCCAAGTCACACTGCCCCAGCCCTTTGCGGCCATCCCGCGCGAGTCGTTCCTCTTTGGCCCCTCGCCCATCCAGGACCTGCCCAGGATATCGGCGGCGCTGGGCGGCAAGGTCAACGTCTACGCTAAGCGCGAGGACTGCAACTCGGGCCTCGCTTTTGGCGGCAACAAGGTGCGCAAGCTCGAGTACCTCGCCTCTGAGGCGGTGGCCTCGGGCGCCGACACGCTCGTCTCCATTGGCGGCGTCCAGTCCAACCACACCCGCGCCGTGACGGCCGTCGCGCGCAAGCTCGGCCTCCAGGTCGCGACGCTCCAGGAGCACTGGGTGGACTGGGAGAACCCTGGCTACGAGCAGGTCGGCAACATCCAGCTCTCGCGCCTCATGGGCTCCGACGTCCGCCTCAACGCCGAGGGCTTTGGCATCGAGCACAAGGGCGCCCTCAAGAAGCTGACGGACGAGATCACCGCCAAGGGCGGCAAGCCATACTACATCCCCGCCGGCGCGTCCGACCACCCGCTCGGCGGTCTCGGCTTTGCGCGCTGGGCGTTTGAGGTCGAGCAGCAGGAGAAGGAGATGGGCGTCTTCTTCGACACCATCATCGTCTGCGCGGTGACGGGCTCGACGCTGGCGGGTATGATTGCGGGCTTCAAGCTCGCGCAGAAGAAGAACGGCTCCAAGCCGCGCAAGATTATCGGCATCGACGCCGCGGGCGAGGGCAAGGTGCAGCAGACGTTTGACCAGATTCTGCGCATCGCCAAGTTCACGGCCGAGAAGATTGGGCTCACCGCCGACGACATTACCGCGGACGATGTTATCCTCCGCGACGAGTGGAACGCCAAGATCTACGGCATCCCCGACGAGACGACCAAGGCGGCCATTCGCTTTGGCGCCGAGACAGAGGCCTTTATCACGGACCCCGTGTACGAGGGCAAGAGTCTGGCGGGCATGATGGACCTGATCAAGAACGGCGAGATTGCGGGCGGGAACTGCCTGTACGCACACCTGGGCGGGCAGTTGGCGCTGAATGCGTATACCAATATGTAGAGTGGCAGCCATGAATATGAAATGAAAGAACATGAAGTTGCCCGCAGTGTCCAATATTGGCTCCCAACCTTGAACGGCTGACTGCAGGCCGGAACCCTCATCAAAAGAGATACATATCCGGCTCTCAGAGGAGACTGTCAGTCAGCTTGTGCCACCCAAGACTCGGAAGAGAACCCAGCCACGTTGTGTGACACTTCTTTGCCTGATCAATGCGGCGAGGCGCGTCCAGATACTTGGTGGCTGCTGTGACACCCCTGACACTCGACCGCCTTGTCAGGAACAGGCCTCGTGGTATTGTGGTACCGCTTGGCACGGGTGCCACAGCATGTTCGCTCATTTCCAAGACTGGAGATACCGAGACGAGCATGCAGCATGCTTTGCAATCTATCTATGCACGTACTTGTATGTAAGATGCCACCATCATCTAGGGTAGGTTGCATTGCGGGAGATAAAAGCGGTCGCCAATTGTTGTCCGGCTGTTGATTCCGGCTGTCGGATCCTAGAAGTGCAGCCCGCGCTAGGCCTCTTTGGGCGCCCAAGAGGGCTGGCCACTGGTGTAAGACAGGAGAGCAAGCCATGTTCACTCACCACCGCGCGCAAGAAGCGCGCGATCTATGGTTGCTCTATGTGTGCATCATGTTATTCTCTTCACAGCTCTTTCAGCACTCGATTCCTCGGACGAAAATGCGTAGAGCTCACGAGCCAGAGCCACTGAATAACGCTGACGTCAGAGGGCGAGGCACAAGACGCAAGCCACAACTGCCCTGTGCTGCCTTGTCCGCCACGAGGCAAGCCATGTCATTAATTACTAGTTAGTAGATGGTGTCCGTGACTCCGTTCTTAGTCCTCACACGCCAAGCGAAACAAGATACTCCTCCCAACGTCGAAGCGAAGGCGAAATAAAAGTACTTTACCCAATGAATTTCACCAAGGTAATTAGGTAGTCGCCAGACTAGTGAGACGAGCCGGCCATCCCCCCGCATCCGGGCAGCGGATACGGCACATGCGGCATGCCCCCCGTTCGTCCGTGTGGACGACCGTCGACAGCCCAGAAGCTTTCGAGGCATCTCTATTGGCTTTGCGAGGGTTTCCAGAAGCCTGAGCCCATTCCAGGTGCGCGTTCATTGGCCCATGTGTGAACCAGGAGATGCTTACCAACCGCGAGATGACGCCTCGAGAGCTGCGAGTTGCGAGTTGCGACAGGGACCGATCGTCGCCCTCTCCGCACGAGGCACCCGCGCGCAATCTCACGAATCACAGAACGGATCTCATGGACGAGAAGACTGACTGGGGCTCCGCGTCTGGGGTCGGACTCGGGAATTGGGCTGCCTATGTCCGCTGCAATGAAATCAGACCGGATCCGATGGTGCATGATGCGCGCCCGGACACACACACCCACCTTGGCTGCCACCTTGGAGCCTCGTCGATCGAACTTGTCTTGCAAGGTGCGCAGAACCTACTATTCATGCCACATGGATTATTAGTTAGCGCCAGCACCTGCCATCGACCCCGTCGTGATGATAAATGGTCCGCTCTTCCCCCGCGTTGGGCCCGAGTCCTCCGGGGGTGTCAAGCTCTCCCTTCACCTCTCTCCTCCCTTTGGTCCTGCTCCCAGCTCATCCAACAGTCGGGCGATAACGCTCTCCTCTCTGCTCATCATACCTGCCTCTCGGAATGGAAGACAAGAACCCCTCAGCCCTCGAGGGCCAGCATGTGTCCAAGACCGGCATTGCCCAAGAGCGCGCAGAGCTGCTCGCCAGCCTCCCCGACCCAGACGCCGGGCTGAGCGACGAGGAGCGTCTTGCCATTGTATGTCTCACTTGCCCAGCTTTTTGAGTGTGATACTAACATATTGCCCCAACAGGACAAGAAGCTCATGTGGAAGGTCGACCTCTGGCTGATCCCCTGGCTCTCACTGCTCTACCTACTGTCCTTCCTCGACCGCACCAACATTGGCAACGCCCGCGCCGCCGGTCTCGAGGACGACATTGGCCTGGCCGACGGCGACTTTCAGATGGCCATCACCGTCTTCTTCATCTCGTACTCCGTCGCCGAGCCTCTCACCAACGCGCTGCTCAAGCGCCTCACGCCCCGCATCTTCTTCACCGGCATCATCATCTCCTGGGGCGTCATCATGACCCTCATGGGCCTCGTCAAGAACAATGCCGGTCTGCTCGCCGCGCGCTTCTTCCTCGGTGTCGCCGAGGCAGGCCTCTTTCCCGGCGTCAACTACTACCTCGGGTGCTGGTACAAGCGTTCCGAGATTGGCGTGCGCTCGTCCCTCTTCTTCTCGGCCGCCGCCCTCGCCGGCTCCTTTGGCGGTCTCCTCGCCGCCGCCATCACCAAGATGGACGGCATCGGCGGCATGAACGGCTGGGCCTGGATCTTCATCCTCGAAGGCATTGCCACCGTCTTTGCCGGCTTCTTCTGCTGGTGGATGGTCTTTGACTGGCCCGACACGGCCCGCTTCCTGACCCACGACGAGCGCGTCCGCGTCCAGCGACGCCTCATCCTCGACCGCCAGGGCCGCACCGCCGAGGACTTTGACAAGAGACACATCTACGCCGCCCTCAAGGACTGGAAGACGTACGGGTACATGGTCATCTACATGGGCTGCCTCTGCCCCCTGTACGCCTTCTCGCTGTTTCTCCCCACCATCCTGGGCGGCATGGGCTACTCAGGCACCCACCTGCAGCTCCTCTCCGTGCCGCCCTACGCTATCGCCGCCCTCCTCACCATCGCCGTCGGCTTCCTCGGCGACCGCACCCAGTGGCGCGGCTACTGCAACATGGCCACCGTCACCATCGGCATGGTCGGCTTCATCATGCTCATCGCCTCGAGCAACCCCCAGATCCAGTACGCGGGTACCTACCTCGGCGCCGCGGGCATCTACCCGACCATCTCCAACACCCTGTCCTGGGTCAACAACAACACAGAGGGATCCCTCAAGCGCGCCTTTGTCCTCGGCATGGTCGTCGGCTGGGGCAACCTCAACGGCGTCGTGTCCTCCAACATCTATCTCGACCAGGAGAAGCCCCGCTACTGGACTGGCCACGGCGTCGTCCTGGCGTATCAGGCTGTCTTCCTCCTCGGCGGCACCGTCTTTATGCACTTTGGCCTCAAGAAGCTCAACCGGGATCGCAGGGCCGGCAAGCTTGACGCCAAGTGGAACAGCCTGAGCGAGGAGCAGCGCTGGATCGAGGGCGATCACAGGCCGGACTTTGTGTACACCACCTGAGCGGTGGTTGCTTTGAAGTTGGCCCTTATTTGCACGTTCGGTGTGTTTTGAACGTTGGGAGATGATATAGTACCCGTATTGGATATGCGTTGAATGAGATTCTTTATGTTAGAAATCGTGCTGGGGCAACATGAGCGCATCATGTCGCTTGTGGCCTTATCTTCCATTGCCTCCCAAAAAGGCCACTGCCGTGACAGGACGCAGATGCAGTCTGCTAGCCTAGTTCACGCTCGCCTCGACCGTCTTCTCCCCCACGGAGTCGACCCTGCCCATGATCCTCACACTCTTCTCCTCGCGTAGCCACTGCACCACCAGCTCGCCGCCCTTGGGCGACTGCTGGGCTACTCGTAGGGCGTCTCCCTCGTGTTGGGGATGGTACTTGTCCAGTCGCGCCCTCGTCTCCGGGTTGCCCAAGGCATGCGGGATGATAGCCCGGTGAGCGGAGCCGGTCTAAACGCACCTTGGTGTCAGTTCTTCTGCTCTAATAGTAGACCGTAAATGAAGCACAACTCACCGCAATGTCCTCATCGGCGTGTCCCGGGAAGCAATGCATGACCCGCGAATGGATCTGCTCCGACGGTTGCGCCGATATCTGAAAGATGTAGGCATAGCTGTGCAAGGAAGACTAGATTTCCAAGTAAGCCAGTTGGTCCCCTTAAAAAGACGCTTTCATTTCCCACGCACCAACTTCTGCGGCTCCATCTGGACACCCGCCAAGTCAAGCTCAGGGCTGAACTCAATCAGCAGAAACTGGTCCTGCTTGTAGACGCCCAGCGGTTCTCCGTGGCCTTGCCACAAAGACGAAGTCGCCTCTTCAAAAAGACGTCTCAGCTCCTCCCATGTCTCGCTGCCCTTGGGGACGGCAGGGATGTTGGTCAACTCAGGGAACTCAATGCCCACGAGCTTCCCATCGCCCAGTGGGTTCTGGTGCTGCGACGCCGATATCACCCCATGGAACCGCGTCAGATACCGGAACGTCGGAGGCGGGTTGGCGACCGTATTGAAAAGATGCTCGGACATGGCGAGCGTGGCGTGACCGCACAGGGGGCCCTCGTTGGTGACATTGAACCAGCGCACAGCGTAATCCGCGCAGCTGCCGCCGGGGAGGGGCAGCACAAAAGCCGTCATGGGCAGGTTGATCTGCGTGCTAATGGCCTGTAGCTGCGCGTCCGGTGGGTAGAGCGCACACGGGAAGTCTTGGCCATCCTGGACGACGGCGGCGCCTTCGTCTGGCGAGTCCAGCACGATGACGGCGGCGGGATTGCCTTGCGCCGAGGGGGAAGAGAACGCATTGTATACCGTCGCAGTGATGGGCGCCATGGCGGACGACTGTTGGGTTTCGGTGAAAATAAGAAAAAGAAACCTGGGAAGAATGGTAATTTGTTTTATATCACCACGTGAGTCACCCGAGTGAGTCGGTGACTTGACCACAAGTTGGCGTGGAGTTCGGAGAGTGTGGACTGTGGAGACTCTCTCCCAGACTCCCAGCCCAGCTCAGTCAGCTGCCATTTCCTCTCCCCAACTGAGAACTCCCAACTCCCAAGTCCCAACGTCGGGGTCCTGCAAGGTCAAAGGCTGGTCTGGGGCCCCGGATCCCGAGCTCGCTCCGGATTTGATCATTCGTCTTCGGAGCTTCGTTCATCGAGTGCTGCTCAGCCTCTTCGACGTCCTGCGGGACTGCGTTTTCTGCAGAGTAGGCTGTGATGAGTCAATGTCGCTAAGCATGGCAAAGAATCGGAAAGCGTCATCGTCGTCACTGTCAAACTCATCCTGCATTCGGCCAGGGACTTGACTGGTACAGCAGAGCTCTTCATCACCTTGACAGCGCACCGCTTGAAGGGCTGGATACTCATTTCCCGCCAGGAGACTTCTGTACTGCCTGGCTGGAGCGTGGTCGAGCTTCGTATGACCAGCCGAGTCTTTCTCCGTGCTTTTCTTTTGGGTCTTGTCGTTTGCCATTCTTATCATTGAGACTTTGTCTTGTGTCTGTGGTTGCGAAGGTGGCTGTGGTCGTTTGAGAGACGAGGAGTATAGAAAGAAGATCAGAGGCTTGGATATTACCCCGCTCTTAAGAACTGGAGTTCAAAAGACTATCAGCTGTGACATCAGCCGTCTAGATGCCTGAATTAGGTAGGCGCGTGAGGTAGAGAAGACTGGACGGTTGATCACAGTGGCGGTCATCTGGTCTCTGAGCACTCTGCCTTAGAGCAGTTACAGGCGGTGCAGGAGATGAGTGCTTGTTGACCCGAGAGGAGCATACTATGAAGGTGTGTTTAAAAGCCTTGTTGTATTTAGCCATGTCTTGGTGGAAGCTCAACTTCGCTAGGCTTGATTGCGCCAATAATGTGCGCCCCAAGATATGGAAGAAAGGCATGCAGTATTTTCCTGGGATGACCTCTACTCACGTACGAATAGTTTTGAGCTTGTCTACTTATCTACATGTAGGTTGCAGCGATCCCTTAGAGTAATCGAGAGCCCCTTGAATATTGGAGAAAACTTGGGAAGCCTTGAAGTGATTCCCCAGAGCAGTGTTCATGTTGTCGAGTTTGAGTCGAGTTCGAAGTCACAGTGAAATGGCTCCCTTGGTAACACATGCGTCTACCGGCGCAGTCAACTGTGAGAAAGCAGTTTTCGTTGGGTTACACAAAGTGGTGGCCAGACACCAGCAAGGACGCTTGCTCTGCCATTGTGATCACAACATTCTCACCTACGGCGGATAGCAAGACGCTCTTCTGTTTCCATTCAACCACGGACAGTCCTCCACAGCCGCGACTGATTACTCCAACTGAGAAATCATTCTTTCTTGACAGATCCAGTCTTTCCCCTATCTGGATGCCTATTACTTACCCAATTTGGCATATTATTCGCAGCCTATCAAGCCCGACATCCGTTCCTCACGAGTCACGACTCCAACATGTGGCGACCGACTTGGGGTAACCCCTTCGCCAACCTGCACGCCAAAGCCGAGAGAATGCGCGCGCCCGCCTGGGCATGCCAAGTGGGCACTCGGCTTTAAGCGAATTGACATTTCGCACTCGCTCGTGTGCATATGCAAAGGCCCAGTGGAGGAGGGCGGACATACGGTGGGAATGGCCGCGGGTTGGAGGCACCACTGCGTGGGCCAAGATGTTGGGGTCACCAGTCGTTGTCACTTTGAGGGCTCTATTACATAGGCAGCAAGACCCCCATTAGCCCGAGGCTCCAACTGTCCTTGGTGACTGTACCTCGATAATCATGGCCAAGGCCTTGCACACATTATGCGCGAGCGAAGCGCAAGAGTGCATCCTGCGCGGTAACTTCACGGTCGAGGCATACACTGAGGCGCTCCTTGACCGGGTGGCCGCGCGCGACAGCGAGGTCCATGCCTGGGCGACGCTCGACCCTCTCCATGTGTTGGAGCAGGCACGACGGTTGGATCGAATACCGAAAGACCAGCGAGGACCATTGCACGGGTTTGTCATTGGCGTCAAGGACGTCATCAACACCGAGGGTGAGTCCTCGATCATGCTTTGCGACATGGAGGGAATTTGAGACTCACAGGGCAGCACAGACTTTCCCACCAAGCACAACTCTCCGTTACACCAAGATGATCCTACCTTGATCGACGCGACATCTGTCGCCATCCTCCGCGCGAACGGCGCCCTCATCATGGGTAATACATTGCCCAGCCTGCCCCCCTTTGCCGTGTGACATGTCGCTCATCGAGTATCACAGGGAAGACCAGGACCACCGAGTACGCAGTGGTGGCCGTCACGCCTGGGACCAAGAACCCCCATGATCCGTCACGCTCGCCAGGCGGTTCATCATCTGGCTCCGCAGCGGCCGTGGCCGACTACCAGGTGCCCATTGGCCTCGGCACGCAGACGATCGGCTCGATCATGCGCCCGAGCTCGTTCAACGGCGTGTACGGCTTCAAGCCTACGTGGAACAGCATCAGCAGCGAGGGACAAAAGGTGACGAGCCCGACACTGGACACCTTTGGCTTCATGGCGCGCGACCCTCGTGATCTGCGGAAACTGAGCGACGTCTTTGGGCTGAAGGATGACGAGGCGCCTAGAAAGGGGGAGATGATCGCGGGTCAAAAGTTTGCGATCCTCCGACCACCCATGTGGAAGAACGCCGGCCCCGGCACTGTCGCGGCCATGGAAATGGCAGGGCAGATTCTCCGTGACGCAGGCGCCACAGTGGACGAGATTGCGCTGCCGTCCGACTTTGAAAATGTCCTCAAGCTGCAGACGGATGTCCTGCGCCACGAAATCCAGGTCGTCTTCCACCGCGAGAGCACTTGCGTCAGGGACACGATGAGCAAGGAGTTGGTCGCTGCCACCGCGGGCATTGAGGGAACCCCAAGACGAACGTTTCTCAGGTCGTTCGATGCGCTAGCTGCTCTGAGGGGCAAGATGGATGAGATTGCGAGCGACTACGCGGCCATCATTGCGCCCAGCTCGGTGGATGTCGCGCCCGTGACCGATACGTGGACTGGTGATCCCCAGTTCAACGGCATGTGGACGGTGAGTGTCTGCCTTGAAGGGATGAGTTCGTGAGGCTAATCGATTTGATGCAGGGTCTTCATACGCCCGCGATCAACGTGCCTGGATTCGCTGGTGAAGGCGACATGCCCGTTGGCGTCACGCTGGTCAGTGGCCGGTATCGCGACGAGCACCTGCTGCAGGTGGCTGCGAGTGTCGGTCCGCTTTTCAGTGAGCGAGGAGGATGGAAGTCGAAGTTGGCGTAGTTGGTATCTTGAAGGATAGACATTAGACACGTCTGCATAGCGATGGGTGTTTGTTTGTTGACGCGACTTGGGCTGTAGAAACAAGAGAGAAACTCTGTGTCAACTCATGACGATAGGGTACACCATGGTATCAATAAACGGCGAAGGTATCAATCTCGCGTCTGCGCATGAGCGCACTCCGATGCTCGCTTCGCATCTGCAGAGACAAGTCTTGAATGAATCAGGCTGAATCTTGACATCGGGATTGAGGTTTGACTCTTGAGGTTATCGGGTTTTAGCATCGCCTGCGTCATCGTCGCCACGGACCGACCCACCCATGCTGGACACAATAAGATACTCATATACCATGCCTAATCCGCAGTTCGCTTGCACGCCTCTTTAACGAATACCCTTGATTTGCAACCATCTCAGTCTCACCTCAGCTCAGCTGTACTGACGATTCTCAACCTCTTGTTGCTCGACTCAAGCTCAATCTCATCTATATCAACCTCGCCCAACGCCATGCTAGCGACGCATCACAAGGACAGCAACAACCTCGAGCTCGCGTCCCTCATCACCTCCGACGACGAAGAAGCCGCCATCTCCTCCTCGTCTTCCCCCGACGCGCCTCTCGCCATGCCAGCACAATCTCAGCCCTCCACCATGCCACAACCAAAATGGTTATCACAGACCACAGCGCGGACGTGGTCCTCCCGCATCCTCCCACTGCTCGCGCGCATCGTCCGCCCCCGTCTCACATGGCGATATGCCCTCGGCGCGTCCATCATCCTGTACTACCTCTACTGCACCATCCGCCAGACACACCTCCTCGCATCCCCTCTGCCCTCGTACACGGGGCCCCATGGCGTCGGCGCCGTCGATCTTGAGGTCCCCCTTCCGGATGGTCCGCAGAGCATATCAGAGCACACCTTCAAAGACGGCTCCCCAGCCTTCGAGGTAGAGTCCCTCCTCGTCACGCTCTACTACCCCACCGATCCAGCCTTTCGCTCCAAAAAGCCACGATACACATGGATCCCCAAGCCCGTCTCACTCACGGCGCGCGGGTACGCCAAACTCGCCGGCTTCGATAACTTCATCACCCGCCCTGTCATGACCTTCTTCCTCTGGGCGGTGGGCGGCGGCATCACCATCCCCGCCGAAGTGGACGCACCCTTACTCGAGTCCAACGACAAGCTATCCCCCTTGGTCTTCTCCCATGGCATGGCCAGCTCACGCACCGACTACACAAACTTCCTGGGAGAACTCGCCTCACGCGGCCAGGTCGTCGCCGCCATTGAGCACAGAGACGGATCCTCCCCTGGCTCCCTCATCAAACTCAACGCAAACGACGCCACCGGCGGCCGAGAAAGACTGCATTTCAAGTCATCAGAGCTCAAGGAAGACGTCGACACCCCCAAGTTCAAGGAGCTACAACTCGCCTACCGCGACGCCGAGATCCTCGCCGCCATCGACCTCTTCGCCGCCCTCAGCAAGGGTGCCCCCATCAACAACACTCGTGCGCACGTTGACACCCTCTCCTCCTGGGCCGGACGTCTCGCCATGGACAGACTCCTCATCGGCGGCCACTCCTACGGCGCAACAGGCGCGCTGCAGGCTCTGTCCACCGTGGCCCCAGATGCCATTGGCGGCATCATCCTCGATCCAGGCAAAGGCTCTGGGCCCCTGAACAAGGACACCAAAGTTCCCCTGCTCATCGTTCACTCCAACTCGTGGAGTCGAAAGGTGAGCCCGTTCCACGGCCGTCCGCACTTTGACACGGTTCGCGACCTTGTTCGCGATTCTCCCGCCCCCGGCTGGTTTCTCACCTCCTTGGGCACTGCCCACCCCAGCGTGACTGACGCACCGCTCCTCGAGCCACTCCTCTTGAGCTGGACGACTGGTGCGAACCTGGACGTCAAGGGTGCGTTGAAGGAATACGTCAATGTGGCGGACGAATTTTACCATTATCTTTTCGAGGGCAAGACCAGTCAGGGTGGTCTGCTTGCTGAGGCGGTCACGCACGAGGAATACGGCAAATGGATCAGTGAAGAGAGGAAAAAAGAGTTCTCCATGGACAAGGCGAAGTTATGGGAAGTGCACGTCAGTCCACAATTGTAGATGTTTCCCTATTTTTGTTTTACCACATTAATGATGACACGACAGCAAGTATGAGTAGCAATTCATTAATCCTATTTTCTATCTCTCGGGCAACACTGTTCAGACTGTTCCAACCCTGGTTTGCCCTTCAGAGCCCCAGCCATCGTTTGTTTTCCATGTATAAATCCCCCCAACCACCATCGTCATCCAGTTGAATTGTATACTTGGTCGTCATAGAAATGCTGGTGAGCTCCCCATAGTACTGTCTGCTGTGCTGCCTGCCACTCTCTGGCGTCGACTGCTTAAGAATTGCTCGACCATTACCTTACTACCACTGTGCTCTGTACCGCTGCGGGCACTCGGGGGCACGTTCTCTCCGGCAATGTCCTTGCGATAGCTCCGAGGCGGCGTGTCCACCACGACCCTGCCAAACTGCCTCTCCACAGCGGCCGTGAGTCCAGGACTGGAGTGTGTCGATGAGGCGCCGGCGCGCCCTTCCATGCGAGCGCGACGCTTCAACAAGGCCTCCTCGCGGCGGGAAGCGCTGTTCATCGACATTGCTTGAAGAGAAGCAGTCGGACGAAGGGTCGCATAATTCCCACTCGTCGCGGTACGCAGGTTGCTGGCAGTCAAAGCGGGCATAGACGGTGCCATCCGAAGCGAGCTGCGCACGGGAATGGGCGGCTTGAGGGCACCTGTATCCTCCCCACCCGTGGGTGCCTTGTTCTCTGTATCATCCATCCGGCGGCCTAGGGCTGCTTCTCCAGAAGGTTTGTCAACGACGGCCCTCACCGGTGTAATTTCAGTGGACGAGCCTGCTGCATATGATGGAGACTGGGCAAAGTCGCCTGACGAGTCGATTTCCGCCCATTCCCGCACATGTCCCACACGAGGTGAAATCTGAGGCTCGTTTGCGGTCCATAGCTTGGATGAAGTGTGATTGACAGGTTCGTCCAGCTTAGAGGCATGAGAGCTCAGCCACGTCTTCCACTCCACCGAGCTAGCGTGCGAGACTTCGCGGATTGGCGAAGGCTGAGGCGATCGTTTGCGGTCTTGTAGATAGATCACTGCCATTCCATGGTCATCAGTGGGTGCCCGGGAGACAGGGGAGCAACCCTTGGCGTCTGAGGAGTAAACACTACCCGCGCAACTGTCGTGGTCGTTCATCTCTGACTTTTCAGGGGTTCGGTGCCGTGGTGGGAGACTGACAGCGGACATGGACCCCAGATACTCGGTATCCTATACACGAGCAGGTTTCTGAACGTCATCGGCAGCGGCCGCCGCCAAGTTGCTTTGCAACGCCTTCCGGAACGGGCTGGTGGTGCGGAACATATGGCTTGTTGGGCTCGCGAAGAATGTCGACATCCGCCGTTCGCAGGCTGTGGGGTGATCGGCATCGCGGTGCGTGACAAAGCTCGCTTTGCCAGGTGAGTCGCTCGCCTTTCCCGACCACGGGTTTGGCGAGCCTTCGCTTGATGTTAGGCTATATGAAATCCGAGGTCTGGTCCTCGGGTTGCTCTTAGTTGTCCCAGCACTCTCTCTGGCTGCGCTCTTGTTGTCTTGGAAGACGTCATTATCGTCACGAACACAGCGGATTGTTGGTGGGGAGTAATCACCAGACCTGACCTGGTCAATAGAGCTGCTTCGTGGAGGCGCTTTGCCATGAGCCTTAATACCGTGCATATTCTCTTCTCGTTCCTTCGCCTGGCGCATCTGAATCTCGTTTGCACGTTTGATCAGCGCAGAGTACACTCTCTGGCTATCAAGGGAGCCCAGCTGTGATGTGACAGTGTCTTGGCCTGTCGAATCTTCCAAGGGTGCCGGAGAAGAGCTGTGGGCTCCTCTTTCGCGGATCACGGGCAATCGTTGACAGTCCCAATCCACCTGCGTCGGTTGGCTGAGCACGGTGTTGGTGACCGAATCGGTCCAGCTAGTCACACGCGACTTGTCATCGGTATTCGAATGTTGATCGACGCTTTCGAGACTTCCCTGACGAGATTCAACCTGGTGGTGGGAATCGACAGCCTGCAGCATCGCGATTCGAGATGGTCCCCGGGAGACTGTTGCTCCTTCGCTTTCAGCTGCTATCACTGGGCTGGGGAAGCTCTCGTCCGTGTTGCGAAGTTGGTATTGACCATTGATCTCGGAGGACGATCCAAAAGAAGACTTTTGCCGTCCGAAAAAGCCCTTCATTCTCGTCTTCAGTGTGCTTGATACTTTTCTAGCCTTTGCACGCAAGCTGCCTCCTTTGGGCACCGCCAAGGAGTCGCCGGAAAACGCCGAAGATAATGCTGTGCTGTTATTGCTGCTGGTGCGCAGTGACTTCCTCAGCCCCAAGGATCCATCAGTGCGTCTCATCTTTGATCGGAAGAGCATGGATGGTTGAGACTTGAGTTCCGAACGACTCGCGGCTTCGCGACACTCATCCATGGTTGCAGTTTCATCTATCCCCAGCCCAAGGCGGCTGACTGTGTGCGACATTGTGTTTTCATGCCTGCCACGCAGAAAGCTCATCGACTTTGGTGCGCGCAGCCCCTGGTTGGTGCTGGCCTGGAGAGGTCTGTTCTCTTTTCCGACGTTGCTGTGTAGCAAAGACAACGGAACTGGACTTTCTTGACGGTTTGGGCCATTGCTGTAATAGCCGCTTTTGAACTGCGAGTCCGAAGTCTCGTACAATGATCTGGATTTGCGAAGTCGCGAATAAGGCACAGGATCTGAATCGTCTTCGAGGGTGCAGTAGCCGTCGCTGACGCGAAGCTCTCGGATGCGATCTAACGTTTGCGAATCGTAGCTGGACATGCAGTCTTCCGAGATCACGCTCCCATCACGTATGTTCTTCCTCGGGTCTGTTGACATAGGCCTCAAGGAACGTCCGCTCGCCCGACCTGCCAAATGCTTCCTTGGACGCCCATCCGGCCCTGCGAACCGAATGCTCTTCTGGCGGCGAAGACCTTGAAGCCCATCAGGCCCATCTTGCATGGCAGCTGTTTGTCGGGGAAAGCTTTGGTGAGCTGTCCATTGATTGCCTTCGACTTGCTCAGATTGATGATAGTACCATGGTGCCATGCCCTGAGTGTGGCGACCGTAGAAGCGCTCAAAGGATATGCGTGCAGCGATACGTGCGTCCCTCTCGCCCACCCCGTGAATTGCGTCGAGTTGAGATTCCTTGCCGTGAACAATGGAGCTGGCCGACTTGCTGCGAGGAAGAGTTTGTGGCCTCTTCCTTTTGGTGCTGTGACGACGAAGCATGCCAGAATGATATGGCCGATATTCGTGTACGTGGAATAACTCGACAAGTGTCAGTGGAAATGGGAATGATAAACAGAGAATGGAAAGGCATCAGTGATTTCGAACAACATGGGCCATCCTTGGTACTTTGGCAAGGTATCATTGTGGAAGGTGCATTGGCGGGGAGCAGGAGCGTAACTCACTGTGTTCGCACTTGCCCAACTTCCTTGGTGCGGAATATGAGGTACCTTAGGTACCTTACTAGGAATTCAATCAGAGTCGGGCAGCTGTTGAAAAGGAAATAATATTGGTGGTCGGGGTGTCTTCATGTGCAGTCTAAAATCAAACAAGATCCCACAAACCAGCTATACAAACAGCCAAGCACACTGATCAAAATCAACGAAATATGAACCCATGTTGTCTACGCCAATCTGCTATACTCAAGGTGTATGCATCCCATCCAATCATACATTAACTTCCCCGTGCCTAGATGTTGAGCTCTGCGATGAACTTGTTCAGTTCCTCGTCGACAGCAACGCGGACCTTCTCGCTGAGCTTGGCGGCCTTCTCCTCGAAGTGCTCGAAGTGGTGGAAGCCCTCGGCGATCTTCTCCTGGACAATCTCAATGTCGTCCTCAATAACAGCTCCAACCTTCTTCATGGTGGAAGGGGCGCGCTCAACCTTGTAGCTGCCAGCCTCCATGATCTTGGAGAAGTTGCTGCAGCCGCCGCCGTTCCAGGCAAGCAGGTTGGGGGTGGCGGAGTCGGGCAGACCGCTCAGAGCACCCTCAGTGGCAACGGAGATGAGGCTCTTCTTGAGCTCCTTGGGGGTGATCTCGGCAACAGCGTACTCGGAGTCGCCGGCAGGCTGGAGAGAGAGGTAGTACGCGAGGAGACCAGCAAGATGAGGAGAGGCCATGGAAGTGCCAGAGATGGTGTTGATGGCGTAGGGGGATCCAATCCAAGTGGACTGGATGCTGACGCCAGGGCCGAAGATGTCAGTGCACTTTCCATAGTTGGAAAAGTACGCACGGTCGTCGTTGAGGTCCGAGGCACCAACTGTGAGAGGGAGCTCGGCAGCGGCGGGAGAGTACTTGCAAGCATCGGCGTTGTCGTTGCCAGCGGCCACGGCAAAGTGAACACCAGCCTGAACGGCGGCGTTCACGGCGGCGTCGAGGGCGGAAGTCTTGCCACCACCGAGGGACATGTTGGCCACAGAGCCCTTGAAGCCCTTGCGCTTACCGTCCTTCGCGGCCTTGACTTGCTTCTCGTGAGACTTGGCAGCCCAGTCTACACCGGCGACAACGTCGGCCATGCTTCCGGAACCATTGGAACGGAGCACCTTGACAGCGTAGATGTTGGCCTTCTTGGCCACACCGTACTTCTTACCGGCGATGGTACCGGAGCAGTGGGTACCGTGACCGTTGCCATCTTCGTCGGCATCGCCAGAGGGGATCGTGGCACCCCAGTGAGCACGGTCCTCAAAGTCGACGTGCTCAGTGTTGGTACCAGTGTCGATCACGTAGGCATCAACACCCTCGCCGGCATCTTCGGCATACAGGTACTTGTTGAACGTGCCAAAGCCGAGGGTATCACGGTGCGAGACACGGGCAAGACCCCAAGGAGCCTGCTTCTCGGTCTCTCCATCGCACTTGTCCTCGGTGACAGAGTCCTGAACATCAATGGGAAGCATTGTGTGAACAATGGTGTCACGCTCGATGTACTCGACCTGTTACATGCGTTAGTTTAGGTGACACAAGGGCCGCGAGCTAAGCAAAGCTTACATCAGGGTGGTTGCGAATCTGCTCAATCACATCCGGGTGGAAGTGACCGGCATATCCTTTGAAGCCCTCACCAATGGCAAATTGGTGCTTGAGGCCACCAAAGGCCTTGCCAAAGAGGTCATCGGTGAGGCCACGCTTGCGGAGCTCGAGGTACTGGTCCTCGGCAGGCTTCTGCTCGTGGAAGGCCTGAACCCAGGTGTGGTGGTTGTCGGCGGCGGAGTTGTCGACGTGGTCCTTGAACTTGATGATGTACGAGTCCGGGATTTGGTCCGCATCGATGGAGCTGAGGATGGGCGCAGCATCACCGTGGATAGTCTCGGTTGTGAATGAGGCGGCCTGGGCGGCAACCGCCAGGGACAAGGCTGCGATGCTCTTCATGGTGTCGCGATTCTGGGACGTCTACCGGAGACGCTGGGAAAAGGACGTGATAGAAGAAAATAAAAGAATTTGAGCCTCCCGAAACACGCGGAAGATGATGATTTGATGAAGAATGGTGATGGATGATGGAGGAAGGAGGATGGGAGGAGGAAGGTCGGGGAAGAGGGAGGGACGAGGCAGAAGCATGACGAGCTACGGCATGCTGATAAAGAGCATCCGGAGCGGCAACAGTGACGCATCCAGTCACCAGGCGCGGACGATAGCAGGATGTGGACCGATCTGTCTCAGCCAGGCTTAGCGCAGTGCCTCGGGGCCAATGGAACAGCAAAGCCGGTTTCCACAGCGATGCGATAACGGATTCAATGGTGCGATTCCGCCTCACACGGATAAGCAAGTACTGCTACTTGGCGCACCCTAGTGGTTCCTGCATCAGCTGGTCATTGACGCTGCCGTGTCGAAGACGCAAACTTGACATCCGTAAGAATATGCATCGGTGAGCTTCATCATTTGTAGTCTGATAGTCGATAGCAATCACGCAGGGACAACATTATCCTTCATTTTTCCATCAGTCAGCGACCAATGGACTATCAACCGCCTCGTGTACTAGACTGGCCTCGGCTGGGGAAGCCAAAACCGATGGTTACAATCAGGTACCACTACTTGCTGCTGCCTGCGGTACCTTCCCCTAGCGGCAACCAAATGCGGGGGAAGCTCTTCCAAGCTGTCCGCCTGATCTTGCGCAGGGTCATTCTCATAGAGCACGTGCTCAGCTCTTGACTGTCTCAGTGTGGCTGATATTCCGTTATCTTTAGCTATTGGAGCGCGACGGGAATACTCATGTATACCTTCGTAGCCAAAGAACGGTAATGTTTTGGACTGAAACTCGTGAGCTTTGTGAGCGTCAGTTAGTGGAGTCAAACAGCGATGCGGCTTAGCTGGGGAAGTGTGGCTGTGCTGCCGCTGATCATTCCCCTAAGTCACACCTACCCTAGAGTCCGACCCAGTAGTCGGTGTGTCTGTCGCAGAGAGCTCAATGTGCGTAGACTATAAGGCAGGGACATGAGTTCCTGTTCTGAATCCTGGGAATCTGGGTTTTGGAAAGGGACCTGAAGAAATCTCACGGTCGAGTACTAGATTGTGGTTCTACGTACGAATATGAGGCTTTGTGTCGGCGTCAAAAATAAAGTAATCAACACAATGACATGCCGTCCGCGGGCCAAAGGTCTAGGATAATTACAGCACTGCCCACGCATCTCAGCAGAATTCACCAAGATACCGCATACTACCTACTAGTTAATCACTATCATACATTTCATTGCGCGTGGTGAAAAGTACATACCTATCCGCACGCTGCGCAACAATGAGGGTAAGCACTGTAAGCACTGTAAGACTGCCCAGTTGCTCTGCAAGTTTTGGAGACAGCGGGGCAGTCAGAGTGGAGGGTGGCCGTGCCGTCACCAATAACCAAGCCACGCAGCCTCGAATCCGACTTGGAGCTTCATGCTCACGCCAGCGGTTTCCAACTGTATAGACACGCGACGGCGTCAAGAATTAGCACGGCCCAAGACGTTGTAGAGCCGCTGCTACGTGAAACACGACCTCCGAACGCAAAAACACGATAATTTCCCTTCGCACATCCTGCCTACACGACACCTATCACTCGAAACGACTGCTCGACATCCTTCCCAGCGTATACGTCCAATGCTTACTCTGATAACGTACACCTCGGACCCTTGAAGGGCGCCTGAGAGATCCAGGTCGTCCGGTTCGAGGCGCAAGCCGCCATGTCCGCCCTCCCTCGTCGGTATCGGTCGTCCACCTCGGCCTCGAATCCCCCGATCAGCAAGGCACTTGAGATTCTCAGGGGTCAGCTCGACGACATTGCCAAGGACTCTTGGACACGCAAGGACGATGGGTACCCTGACCAAACCAAGTTGGTCAAAGGCTTGAAGAACGTAGCCCAGCACTTATCTGCTGCTGGCACAACGGCTCAAGATGACTTCCGTCATGCACAAGGATTCGAGCGGGTTCTGGACGTGCTGCGAGCTTATGCAGGCTACTACAACCCAGACAAGAGGTCGGAAGCAGAAGTTCTCGCTCTTCTGAGGCTCATCAAAACCGCTCTAGACGTCTTGGCCGCAGGTCTTCGAAATCATGGTGGTAATAAGCGATTCTTTCGATACAGGGTTGAGGATGGCGGGTGGGAGTCCTTGGAACAGGCCATCGCAAGCATTGGTCTAGGTGGCGCCGAATCAGACCCCTGGGTCATGTGCCAGCTCTTCGGGAAACTCCTCGCATTCTGTCTGGATGACGAGGCCATCGATTTACTCTGCCATTCGATCGCAAAGGCACTCCGTCCCGATGCCGCGTCTCAGGCTGACGAAGGCAGCGAAGAGTGGGAGCTGTGTTTAGTCAGATCGGTCGACGATATCAACCCGAGCGTGCGTGAGCTTGTTAATGCCAAGGCTATCATCCGACACCCAGAGATCCTCAGATCGCTCGTCAGTTTCTGGTCAGCTCTCCCGCACACCCCTGACTCTGAACCGTCGGCTGGTTCCCTGTTAGTCTTGGAGACGATTTCATGTGCTGCCTCCCAGTCGATACACAACCGTGCCGCCATCCACTCTACAGGTGTCCTGTCGCAATTCCTGAGGGCTGCTTTTGGTGTTGAGCGGACTCTTTCCTCAGTGGAACATCAAAAGGTCTTGGAGATATGCCGTCTTCTGATGTATCTCGGAGTCAATCAACCGGCCGACACGCAGTTTCTGCTTACAGCCCCTGGCACGGAATCTTCAGAATTCTGTCTAGATATGACCACGCGACACTCGGGGCCGCCATTCTTTCAGTTCGATCTGTCACT